ATAGGGTTATAATGGTAATTAAATAATAATCATGATGATGTCACCTCTTTTTTGAGACCTATCACTGAAAACAGGCTCTGCTTTTGGTCTGTAGTGGACTGTAGTGTTAGTTTTAGTCATAAGAAGGACCCCCATTGAAAAAGTCAGCCTTAAACGTTGGTTCACAGAACACACACCTTGACTCCTCACAAGAAGGCAAAAAAGCAAACAAACTGAAGAGAATAATAATTATTTTTCACAAAGCACTTTAAGAGGTGCTCAAAAAAGGTACAAATACTCGCATTAAACATTAAAGCCGTTTTCAGTTCCGTACACTATGTAACTCTTAATATTATAAGTAATATTAGAGTCTGTACCTGCATTACACACAGTGTGTGTGATTTATGTAGAATTGTAGTGTGTAAACTATCAAGAGATTTTTTTTTCGTTAATTTAAGTGCCTTAATGGTTTTCTTGGGCACCTCTTAATGTGCTTCAAGGCAAAAATATACTTTTTTTCAAGGTTCTGTTTTTTACCTTCTTGTGAGTACTCAAGATGTGTGTTCTATGGACCAACTTATGGGAACCCTTCAGGGGTCCTCATTATGATGGTCTAGTTTCAAAGAACTACCCATTTAAGAGGACTTTTTGAGTGGGTACCCAGAAATGTCCCTATAATTTGAACAGACCCCACTTTGCTGGTGTGTTTTCATATGAATGTCCCTGCAAGGCTTAGTGTGCAGCGGTGAGCACATACACACACACCCTCTCATGCTACACACACAGAGAAATTTGCAATCACGTTTTGGAAAGGAAAAACTCATCAAAAGGTTTAAACGTCAACAAAAAGTGAGGAAAACCCCAAAAGGTACTCATCGTAGCATCTTTTGAAGGAATTCTCCGGAATACCCCCCTGGTAGAAAATCGAGGGTATTTTATAAACTGGTTAATTAGTAATTCAATGAATTATTCGAAGTGGAATTTTCAGTTTAATGTCAAAGCTTTCTCTGATCTTCGTAAAGCTTTTTAAGGCTTTTGATATTCACATTTAGTAAGCACAATAATTCAGACTTATCTAGTGACAATCATACGAGGTCACCACTTACGTGTAGAAGACCGTAGTAAATTCGGAAGGTTGTCGCCCAACCAATTCTTTGTCCGTGTAATGGATTTTGACGTTCTGGTAACTGATTTTCAAGCAAAGATCATTAGAAATCTTCCACGAGGAACAACTTAATTGGCCAAAGTTGGTCACTTACTGTTAACCCCGGCTGTTAACCGTCCTTGCTGTTTCCGCTTATAAAGAAAGTTTATGGCACTATTGCTCTTGACCAGACTTCCTTATCTACACACGGATTTTTGCTGGGTGTGAAACTCAGATCTAATTAGCAGTCAGCTGCTTTAGACTTGCATAACTCTAAAATATACGTGCAGTCTATATGGGGATATCAAACGAACCCGCTCTGAGCATTTGGTGGATTTGCTTTGCTCTTTGGATGGGGTGCTTCGGGTTAAGCATAATACTCTGGTGGTGACCAGGGAGGGGGGCACCCAGAAAAAAGCTAAAGCGACAATTATTGAAGGTGGTTGGATATGGTTGGACACAACACAATACACTCCATTTTAAGTTTACAGGGTACGTACCACATCCCTTATGATATAATTGTAAAGGATTATTAGACACGAAAGATCCGGTTATTGGTTAGCGGGGGTTGGTTTTCTTTACACGTGGGTGAAACTGATGACCATTGCGTAGCCCTTGGATCAGTGTTACCGTATCCAAGGCTAGTGTGTGGCGCAAATGATCGGGGAATTCTTCCACCAAATAAAGGCTTATCCATTTAAAGCTGTGCACTTCTCCTACCATGATGGAAAAAGAAGCAAAAGAAAGATCGTCCCTTGCATAGTCCCTTACGGCCATAGGCGTACGGGACATTTTTTGCCAGGGGGGGCGGTAAACCATTTGCCCAAAAAAATCACGCAAGTTGCCCAAATTTTTACGAAAGAGTCGAAAAGAAATGAGAGCCATATTGCAACAACATAGGTCGTCCTGGCATATGAAGGGGGCTCGATACGGTTTTTCAGGGTCAATACGAAGTCTGAGCATAAACTACGTCGCCATAAACAAACATTTGGAAAAATTGCGACCACAGTTGTATTAAGATGAAAATTTGTCATCATCAGGGTTACAATGACATCGGAGTTGTCATAGCAACGAAATGCCTTCCCCCCCCTTCAATTACCTATTTTACTTCCGCAATGATTCCCGGCACAGGAACCTTACAAAATCGTTCACAGGAGCTTTTTTCTCCAATACAGTCGCCTCAATGTTCGTGAAGTTTAAGCAAAACCTTAAGCAAGTTAAGAGCGTTATCGAGATATTTTGGAATGAAGTTTTTATTATTAGAAATACGGTAAGAAAAGGAAAATCTTGATTTTTGGCCGTTATCTGTAGAAAACGAAGCGCTTTTGACCTGCAATTTCACCTCATAGTAGTTTTAATCTTTATAAAAACATGTGTGAAAGATCATGGACATAGCTCTGCTTGATTGCTAGAATCGAAAGAAGGATTTGATTAGTATGTATCGAGACACTCTTGTTAGCGGTTTTGTAAACATTTCGGTCTACTTTGACAAATTAGCGAATAATTTTAAACCGTTCGATAGATTTTTTAAAAGAATTAAGATTCTTCTCGTAATTCAAACTGAGAATTAGTCAGCCACTTCTTCATTTTCATATCCATTGCTAAATGCTATCTGCCATACTCTGTTCTTCGAGTGGAGATGATTCTAGAAAGTTATGCGAAAGTTTATTTTAATCAATTCACGACTGGAAATAACCCATTCCAGCTAGTGCAGTGCAGTATAGTGCCCAACAAAAAACTGCAAATATGTAAATAAATCATCACATGCTAGGCATCCACTGTAATGTAACTGGATTATTACGCCGACTTCAGGTTAATATTCAGGTCTTTAAAAGAATTAAATAAACATGGCGACGTCTTTAAAAACTGGCTTTGCCCAAAGTTTCTCTCGCTGCCCAAAAAATCTCAGTTGCCCCCCGGCCCGTACGCCTATGCTTACGGCACAGGATCCAAACCAAGGGAACGTCGTGCGAACATTAAAAACTAGCCGAAATATCGTCACGTTACAGTCTCGTTACGCAACATAATACCGCATAGATAACATTGCGGCCTAAGGACAGAGGGCTCGTATTAGGTAAGATGCATGAAAGATCGCTACCGTCGTGCCTCGCTTGGAACGCTCCGCATTTCGCCATTGCCTTCGGGCAACGGGTTTTGCGCCCAAGAATAAAATAATAAAAATCAAGCGGCAACGTTATTTCTCTTCAAAATGCCATAGCGTCGATCAGGAGATGTGAAGGTCCTGAAGTCAGGAAATCTGCGCAAAATGGATCCATAAAGAACCGGCATTGGGCTATTGTGCGACCAAGGTAAGGCGTTAAGAAGAAATTTATCGGACCCAGTGCTTATGGCGTTTTTCAAAGGCTTCAAAGTCATGCATTTCGATGATGTCTCTGAGATGATAGGTCGGCCGAACCACGTGATGTGAAAACTTATCAATAAAATGTGGAGAACAGTGAGGCCTAGGGAATTGGCAGGATTGTCCAATCCTTTTCTCAGATTCCACGTCTCATGTCGAGATATGCAACTGCAGGCTATTTATTCAGACATCATTGTCGATCTGCCTACAGCCTACTTATTCTTATGCAAAACAACTGAAGATGTATATTATGGACAGACCGCTTCAAAAGGCTAACATCAAAAATGACCTAAACCCTATCCTTAAGACGAAGATTAATTATTTTTGACTACAATTGTCCTCGGCTCATTCCTGATGTTTTGAGGCATCATCAGTCATCAAGAAGGGAAAGGAGCCTATTACTCTCAGACAGCATGTTAAGACGCTTGTCACGGGGTTATCACAGACCAGTTTATTTTTAGAAGCATTTTTTAAAAGTATTCGTTTCTATGCAAATGGTACTCTATTCGATATGTTTTTAAAACAGCTGCTTTTAATTTTGCAGCTGTACATTGATATATGAAAAAAGTGCCATCAAGATCTCAAATTTCAAATGATACGATTTATGTTCTTTTTCTCAGGATTGTTTTTAATACTTCCGTGAAATGCTAATATCAGTTTTGTTTTCAATTTCACGATTCGTACACCTTATTCAGCGGTAAATACCTAGAACGTTCCCATGGTCCATCGCGCGATACTCCTTGAACGCTTCTACCAAACACTTCAGACGCTAAGGAACGAGGCAGTCACTTATTGCGATCACATGTACTTGAAAATGTATTATTGATAAATATTTAGTCACAAGTGAATAAATGTTCTTCTTTAAACTCAACTAATTGTGTTCTCATTTCCTCTGCGCTGTAAGCGTTAGCGCAAAATCGCACTTGTCGCTCTCGAATCCGCTAGTAGGCGCCTGGGTACGAGGCAGAACAAGTAAAGCGTATGGCTTTCAAATTCCCACAAAACTGGAGGCCCGGAAGTAACATTTCAAGCCAAGACAGTTTGAGTAGTGAAATCAGAATTTTCGAGGGGCAAACAAATTAGTGTTTATTCCGTGTTCAGTTTATTGCTGAATGGATTAGACTAACTTGCCATTACCGGTTAGTAGTCATTAATTTGTTTAGTAAACTGTGGTAGGGTCTAATCACTACAACCACTATCTTTGGCCAAGAAACTAGCCAGAGTTACAAGTATAATTATAGGTACAGTTTAAAGCAGCATTTTTCCCTTTTGTTCCGCAAAAGTTCTAAGCAAAATTCTTAACGCAATTATTCCCCTTTCCTTTAGACCCAATAATTTAAATATACGAAGTAAACGTGCCATTCAATTCAGTCATTCGCACCAACCTATGATAGACTATGATATGGTAAAGAGAAATTTGTAGACAAGAATTAATGGAAACAAACTTAGAGCTTCATTAAAGGGCTCTTTTAAGGACACTTTAATTGAAAAATTTGTAATAACTCGGTTTGTTTGTTTTCAGGCGCAATTACCACTGACAGGATTGCTGTAGGCTTGAATTATTGAACGCAGCGAAAATATAGATCCGGTGACCAACACAGCACTCCCAACAAGTAGGATGACAGCATCCAGTAAAAAACTGTACCAGGACATTTCTGACGAGTAAATCTTAAGGTGGAAAAGAGGAGGAAAAATAAACTCCAAACTAATTCCCGCAATGCTGCCGACAAAAGCTAGCAGATAAGTGTAGGCGGGAAAAGTAGCCGCAAATAAAACACTGACCGTTACCATCCACAAGCGAAAAGCGATAACGGATGGACTTAACACAGATTTACCAAAATCCATCGGTAGGCAAGGGAGGTTAGAGTTTTCCACGATTTCAAAAATTGTGAACATTGGCAGCGTGTATGATGTGAAGGATAACACGGCCGCCATAACGTTGACGGAAAGACGGAATGAACCTTCTGGCAGATTATTAGTGACAACTTCGTGAGTATTAGATTCAAACGAGAGATAAGCGACCAGCCCAATGATGACATTTAGTAATGTCATTGTGCCATACGATAAATTCATCAGTGAGTTGAATCTTTTCTTGTAGCGCATGCTTTCTTCGATGAGAGGTACAAATGGTTGTGATAAATAGCTTGCTACCAGTACTCCTAAAGCAGATGGATATGTGCTGGCGTCAAACTGATCTAAGGAACTAATCTCCCATTTCTGAAAATGCGACAAACTGTATACGAGAACTGTAGTGAAAATGACTTTGGCTGACAGCACTGTTAGTACACTTGTCCAGGCCACCTGAGAAAGATTTTTAAGAAAAATATTTGGCACAAACGCAATGCCTCCGATCAGTGTCCAAAGCCAACAGGGAATGGCGATGTGTGGAAAAGACTTGGCTAGTAACTGTCCAACCAACAACGGATAAACAGCGGCGACAAAAAGAAGCTCCAAGAACTGTGTACCAAGGACAAGATGACCACCAATATTCGGAAAGAAAGCGTTTCCAACATCTGCGTACTAATTGCGGACCCGTTTTCTTTTGCCACTCTCGTGGTCTACTTCGTACAGACAGTTAACAATAGTCTTTCCTGTGTAGTTTGAAGCAACAGCAACTAGTAATAAAGTTGAGAGCGCTAAATAGCCACCATCTTTGAAAGCATAAGGGATAACCAAAATTGGTAACCCTTGAATTGTATTGCATATATTCCAGAAGGTTTCGCATGATGAGGCGAGGTTTTCTTCTTGATATTTTCCGTGTCTCAGGGTGGTCTGTTTATCCAAGCCGTCTAGTTGGTCTTCTTGCTGAAGTTCTTTGTATCCTGCTCTATTCATTTTTCCATCCCTTGCTTGCTATTTTATTTGTAGAAAACTACTGCTCATAGGGAGACTAGACCGCGTCAACTTGGACCTTGAGAGACGAATTCAGGAGACTGTAAGGCAAGTTTTTATATTCTGTACAGTACTGATTACCCTTCATCTGGCTGAACCAAAAGAGTATAACATGTAAATCAAGTGAAAATTGTTTACCGAAATAAAAATTGCCCGTAGAAACGAAATTAATCGCAGGGAATCTGGATGTTGCACAAACACAAAACAAATGTAAACTCTTTTGCTGGTAATTCACTTTGATTTAACTGAACCCTACATTTTTACATCGATTTTAAAAACTCAGGAAAGTAGCATCAAACCAAAGAAGTAGAAACAGAAATTATAAAAAAGAACATTCTGGATCACCCATCACAAGTCAAGTGTCTTGGAAACAGGGACACTCGCCCAGATATGTTATTACAAGCATAAAATTACAAACAGCAAATACAGAGCGACATCAGGCAAGTAATTGAGAATTAGTTGATTTCCAATTTTTACTGGTTTCAATGTTCAAAAGATCTAAACAACAAATACACATGCATGGTAAGGAAAGCAAGGAAGAAGAACAGCAAATACTGGAACCATTGTGACGGTGTAGCCACAGGTGCGTTTGTATACACACAGGCAAAAATGAAAGGTTTTTTTCATCTATTTTGGCTGATTTAATGTTTTTTGGGTGTGTTTGATAGCTTTGCCAATGTCAGTATGCCATTTAATAATTACTAATAGAAAATTTTTGAATAAAAATTATCATTCCTTTCCCACTGGCACAAAAGCAACAATCCTTATTTCTGTTGGTTATTTCTAGACCTGATGCAGTACGGAAAGGACTTCCATGTCAGTTTCGAATTCCACACAATAGACTCTGTTTGCCCACCAATATGTACATAAACTATTGTTATTATTCATGCAAAATATTTCCCCAATTCTCATTGGCTAAAATTAAAAGTAAGTTTTGATCCCTATAACACTTTAAGCTAGGAAATCCGAATAGAAAAAAAAAATTTTAATTCTATATCTACCGTTTAAATACTAAAATACGTTTAATAACCAGTTAATGATGACCAAATTTGGAAGAATTTTGTGTTTAACGAGGAAATGACGTCAAAAATGCAGCCAGCTTCTACATGTTAATGCACCGTTAATCGAGAAGACCTGGGGACGAGATTGAGTTGTTTTCGTTGTGAAAACTAAAATGGTGAACACTTCAATCGTTTCAAGAGTAAGAACTATAGCTGGAACTAGGCGAACGAATGGCTAAAAACATAGTAAAAACAGCAAGAAGACAACTCGGAGGGCGACATCTGCTATTTGGAGAATATTTGCGGAGCTGGACAAACCTAAACGTACACTATCGAAGACATACTTAACATCGATGCAGGTAAGCATGTTTTAGCTATGTTTTATCCACCTTGGCCTTCGGCCTCTGTGGATAACACCCTCCTCGATCTGCTTAATTCTTCATATCCTACTCGGCCTCATTCATTAATTGCTAATTTTCAAATTCTCGTGAGATAACTGCTTATCCCCAGAGCATTTGAAAACAATAAATTATGCAAAATTTTGGGGCTAAACATAAAGAGAGTATTATGGGGGATTTCGAAATAGTCAATACCTCGGATTGCGCGAGGACTTAAAAGGCTTTTATTACTAGGCAACGCGACTCAAAATTTATGTGTTAGAATTACAACCATTAGAATAGTCCAGAATATTAATCTTACTTTGGATCCAGGTAGAAACGTTTGGGACGTATTGGTGGAAAATACGACGACCATTGTAGAAGACTAGGAAACTCCTTCGGCGAGCTCCCAACCGGTAAAAATGATGGATTGCTCGTCGAAAAACTTATGAAAGCAATCACTAACTAGAAGAAAAATACTGAAGAACAGATCAAGAAACGTAATTACATGACTCGAAGTTATTCACATTATTTTGGCCAGCGATATGTGTGTGTGTGTGTTTTTTTGGTGATTTTCCGTTCCTTGGGTCTGTTTCTCGAAAGGCCTGAAAACTTTACGGGCCGAAGGCAAAATGTAAAATCAAAACCTGTTGAATAGTTCCTAGCTCACAACCAGTCATGGCCTTACCTGATAGTTTCATTGTATCATTTTCAGAATTATTGAATCTTTCATGTTGAATGCAAAGGCGGTAAACGTAAAACAACTGTTTCCGGGCCCGAAAAGTTTCCGGGACTTTCGAGAAACGGGCCCGGGCGAGACAACAGTGTCAACAGTGTAATAAAACTGTTTTGAATCAGTTACCCTAAAGAAATCTTCGCAGTGTTACGGTCTCCGTAAATTATTTAGACAAAATACATGCTTTTCGTTATTTTAGACCATCAACTGATTCTATTTCTCATTGTGTTCTTATCTAAATATACAATTTCTTTTTTTCAAGCGTCGAAATTAATTTTATTCACTCCTGAAAATACATAATTACGTACCATTGACATTAACCATACAGCTGGGCTGAGTACAATAGCCTTTAATTAACGCACTTGCATTCCTGCGTGCTTTTGTCTTTGAAATCTTATAACAAATTCATTATTTGCACCATATTTGTACCTCGTTGCTTTCACACCATCCTAACTGAGGAGCACGTTCTTCACACCAGCTTGGCCAAGCATTCAGATTTTTGTGTGAAATATGCCTTTAAGAGAAGGATACCACAAACTTGACGATAGTCTAGTCTTGGAAAGCAATGAACGCAGTAAGAGCCTCGATGAGACCATAGAAGACCTGAAAAAAATTTCAACTATGGATTCTTTCTGGAACGCGTGTAACTCGGTCCAAGGTATCAGCATCTTATCCATGCCTTTGGTAACGCTCTTTGGAGGGTATTGGTTCATAATTGGTATCATAGCTGTGGCTGTCATCTCTAACCATACCTCGAAGATATTGATAGAATGCCTGTATGAAGAATTTCCTGGTAAAGGCCGTATACGCGTGCGTAATACGTTTGCAGACATCGGAGACGCGTTCTGGCCCAAATACGGAAGGCACATGGTTGATGTAACGAAGTTCCTTGAACTTATATTTATGGCAACAATTTATCCTATAGCCTGTGGAGAGGCCATTTACTACACTTTTCCATTTCTTCCAATCGGAAAACAAATTTGGATCCTTATTTTTGGCCTGGCTATGGTACCAAACGTTTTTCTCAACTCAGTGAAGTTGCTTTCCAAGATAAGTATGGTGACGATCTCTTTTGCCTTCGCAACATTCGCCATAGTAGTCGCGTACTGTCTGGGTCAAAGCGCTTCGTGGAAGTCCAAAGATTTGCTGGTTTTCGATCCGCTACGGTTCCCGCTGTCTCTTGGTGTAGTACTGGCTGGTTACTCGTCTCAAATCTACCTCACGGTTCTCGAGGGCAACATGCGGCATCCAGAAAAGTTCAACAGTGTCATAAACTTCGCTTATCTTGCCATGACCGTCCTCAAAATTGCAGTGGGAATATTTGGTTACTTAACTTTCACAGACAGCGTCAGTGACATGATATCTAACAACCTCCCCCAAGGTGCTTACCGTACCATCGTGAACACTGTTGTAACAGTGCTGTCCTTCATGGGATACTCCCTTCCCATGTTTGCGGTATTCGACATGACGGAGAGATCAGTGCCACGGTGCTTGACGGCAAGGTTTCTGAATCATGACGGTAGCCGACCTGGCATGGCATGCCTGGTTCTATTACGGTTGACGCTGACCGCCATTACTATTCTCATGGCTATACTCGTTCCACACTTCACGTTGTTCGCAGCATTTATCGGAAGCGGTACGGGCACTGCCATCGCAGTTATCTTCCCTTGCATTTTCTACTTGAAAATTTTCTACTGGCAGCTCAAGTGGTACCAAGTTATTCCAAATGTTTTTATCGTGTGTTTTGGAGTACTGATGTCAGCTTGTGGGATGATTTCAACTGGACGAGAGCTCTTTATAACCCTTAAACAGGACTCAGACTACTGAAACGCGGTTTTACTGGTACAAACTTCGAAGAGACCCAAACGCACATTTACAAAACAATCAAAGCATAAAATCAAGGACTTGGTGTGTTTCAGCTCCAGTGACGACGATGCACGTCTTTACGACCCACTCATAGTGTAACTGGAGGAAAGTATAGCAACCCCCAGGGTACCGCTAGGGTAACATACTTATTAAATCTTGTTTCCGTTTTAAAGGTAAACAATTGCTTGCCGATCGTTAATAGTCATTTCAAGTTTATTGGCTGTTGTCGTTTTAAAAGCCCACCAAAAGAAAAAAAACGTCACCAGAAAATTTGTTCAAGTCTCCTTGCAATTCAGGGTGTAATTTTAAATCAAAGCAAAAATCAATAAATGTAGTTCTAAAAAAACCTTTCTACTCTGGTTGAACCTATATTAATCAAGGTAATACTCGTGACTCGACGCTGTACATTGGCAAAAGTAATTCATAATTCTGACATAGACAATAAAAACATCAACTAGGTTCCAGAGGGGAACTTTGATAGGAAAGAAAAAAGGAAGATATAGGGTTAAGGGGTGCAACGCGCGTCAGGTTGACTGGGTCTCGTAAAAGAAACTATGATTATAAAATTATTAAATCTATTATAAAGTTTGCTCTTGATTTAAAGGTAATAGAATACACACAACAAAAGAACCAAATGCTATTCAGTTTATTAAATAATTTGAACATTGATCCCAATTTCCCACCCTTACCGTTGCTAAGCAACATCACCTCGAAATTAGCTTAATGCTAATCCCGAATAATGGGTATCATATAATGAACGAAATATTCGATTTCTAAGTCCTTTTAAGTTTAATTTCCGTTACAATATTATATGAGAAGAGCAAATTAACAACGATCTCTTGACTTGAGATTCACTGGGGCTTAATTCAAGCAACTTATATCGCTCAATAAGAGGAATCCATATTCAGAGGATGCAACCTGTCATAATAAACGGAGACATCTTTCAAAGCGTGCCCCAAATAAGTGTGACTAAATCAAGAGAGAATTAAAACACAAGCAAGAAATAACATTGATTTGACGACAAAAATTCAAAGGAAAATAAAAAATTTCCCTTCTTTACAGACGAAGTGTTACAACAATGCTGTCATAAGAGTGTGCATCTGTAACAGTTTGACTGAAAGGTGACTTAGTGGTGACCAAAAAACCACTTCATTTGCTTCAAATGGTAGTCTGTTTTAAGCTACAAGCAATGAAGTCAGCGGGATCAACTGGACATTAGTAAACTTTTACACTGTTAATGTAAATAAGCTAAACTACACACATTTGTGATTGAATTTCTTTACATCGAAATTTATTCCAGCTTTACTGGACTTTTCCCAAATGAAATTTCTTCTTTTCGTGAACAATAGAATTTAAAGAATATTTTTAATTTCTTCTTAGGTTTTTTTTTTGTTATTACGTTATAAAACGAGTGCGCCAATTCATCTATTATACTCCAAATTAGTGATTAACGATACTGTATCTCCTGTTCTTGTTGTTGAAGGCAATTATCGCCGTTGTGTTTGCCACAGGCACTACAAAAGACTTAAAAAGAGTGCAAACTTCAAACAATTCAAAGAGTGCTCCTGACCTAAGTTGAGATTAACATTACTATTTAGCTTTACGATCAAATTAACATAACACATAACAGCATCCCATAAATTGATAACAGATAGATTACCGTCCAATCACGTGATGGGTTGATCAAGAGTCTATGTTTAACATAAAGCGGCAGAAAAGGAACGGAAGTCAGTGAGTGTTTTCTGTTACAGGCCAGGAATTCCGACAACTACGTGCTAATTACAGAGCTGCGCAAGTACAACGACAAACAAAATTGAAAAAATTGGCAACTGAACGAAAAGCATTTCTTGGGCTATGTGGCTTGTGAATGCTACCAGTGATAAAAAAAAAAACAGCCGCCCTTTCCTGCAGGGAGACAAAAATTCACAGACTGAATACTGATAGGCGTCACCCAACCCCACCCTGGAGCGTGCCGGAGAGCTTGCGCGTAGATTATCGCTCGGCTACTAACACACGATATCAGGTTAGAAATGGATTTTATCTTAAACATGTCTGGCAGACGTTTTCATGCTACTTACTCTTATCGTAAAAACCTTGTATAAAACTAGCCTTACCTTCATCTGTCTCATTTTTTTTTCCTTGAAAAAATATTACTTGATTTCTTAGGACAAACCAAACGGACTAATTTTGATAGGGCGTGACCAAGGCTGAGTAAACCAATTCAAAGCACGCTTAAGTCGTTATTTACTCGAATAAGAGCCGCCCCCAATTAAGCACCGCATTTGGTGATTTAGGATAAAAAAGTTAAGTAAACGCCCTGGAATTTATAAAAATCAAAAGACGTTAATTCTGTTAGTATAATAATACCGTAGCTTAAACAATTCTTTGTCGCGTCAAACTTTCAAATAAACGTGGCCCTATAAGCATCACACTGAGGCGTGAGGCTTAACTTGCTTATTCGATTGGAGGAAATTTGCCTAGTCCCTAGGCCTCGTTATTTCGTGCGGCCAAAGCGTTTCGGGTCACGTAATCCAAGCGAAGATGTGAAGAATTTTGTGATCGTTTTTGACTCAAAGTTTCTAAGGGTTACCTTATTTACTCGTTGCCTAGTCCCTGTACGGCGTTTTCTCAGTCCCTCTCGGTCAATTCACTTCGGTTTGCCTAGTCCCTAGGCCTCATTATTTCGTGGGCCAAAACGTTTCGGGTCACGTGGTCCAAGCAAAGATGTGTTTCCCGCCCGTTCGCCTCGGATATAGACTGCAAAACAGTGGGTTTTTTTCTCAAAATCAGTAAAGAAATCGGTAAAGCGTGGCGTAAGAGTCTTACGCGCGCGAAGCTCTCAGTTTTCAGCCGCGTTCCAGATTTTTTGTTTAACTACTCGCGCATACTTGAATACGCAAAAATACGAACTGTTTTGCAGTCTACCTCGGATACGTCGCCAAAGTGAATTGACCGAGAGAACCTGGGAAAACGCCCTACAGGGACTATAGGCATCCAGTAAATAAGGTAACTCTAAGAAACTTCGAATCAAAAAATATCATATCTTGTTAATTCTTCCTACCCAAAAATTTGACTTTGGCTGATTTTAAATGATTGCTAAAACCGAAAATTAGCTTTGCTTCATAACAGAACAGCCACTCCTACATTGTCCCTTGTTTTAAAAGCAGTATTCGACCAGGCCCAGACGTGATGGGACGTTAACCAATGTTTCATACCTCTAACACTAACCGTCTTCTACACTAATCTGTACTCACTTAGCTTTCATAGAAATCTTCGGCGCCATTTATTATTAAAGCTTTGTAGAAAAGGAGTCTTCACTTTCTACAGAAGTGATTAACTCTTGATAATCAGGTGGATCGCATTCCTGACCGCATGGAATTTTTAGCAGTTCTTGTCCAAGCCCTGAGATTGGCCTCATTTTATGAAATTCAATTAACTCTTTGAGCGTCTGGTGTGCAATTTGATTATGACCAAAAAACTGGTAAGTGTTCTCACTGGTATCAACAAGGTAATGTTTGCAGCGCTCAGGAGCTCGGTATGTTATGGTGTATCCCCACACACGCTCACTCACACGAACCAAAAACGATCCAGGAGGCTTGTTTACAAGTAAATTTTCAGCATCTTGTCGAGAGATTATACCTGAAAAGAAAAGTTACGTTAACTTCCCAAAGCTAACAGTTTCGCATATACAAATCCAATAACGCACATGTCCTTCACTTTTCGCATTTATTAGCTCGAGCAAAGGACTACGGTACTTTATTATCCAAGTTTAGACTTCATCTTGGGTTTTCGTTCCTGCTGCCTCTTACGTAGGCACCTTAAAAAGCCCGAGTCCCTCTTCTTTTGAATCAAAAGGATTATTATTCTCGTTACTTCAATCGTCAAACCATTGTTTTACTAATTCTTTAACTAACGTTGGCTCTCACCGTGAAAATAGGGCAATATTTTATCTCCATCATAGCAAATTCTCTTGGAGAGCTCTTCTTGTTGAAACCAATCGATAACATTCTTTCGGTTTTTAGGCTTGACACTCCTTCTGGGCCTCATTGGGCTGGTGCCGGGAGGTGGTGGTCTGGGTGGAGCCTCCGAAGTTTTGTCTCCAGGTCTGGTGATTGCAAAACAAACAAAATGAGAACGGAACTTAGAGTTACTGTGCTTCAAAAGAGAGACTTTTTTGAGAAGGGCGAACTATCTGTACAAAAACAAAATAATCATACCACGTTGGCTTCTGTTAAGTCAAACATTGGTACACGCATGTATATGTTCGCTTCTTTCGCTGAAAACTTTATCTACTCTGATTATTTTTTGTTCAGCTGGTTTTCTATAAAATACTTCTTAAAGTGTTTCACAGATTTCTGCCACAGACAAATGACGGTCTCCCTAAATAGTTATGGTGACCTTTCGCAAAAATGTCACTCCCGTTTTCAAGATTTTTTTCTTGAAGCACGACGTTGTAAGTAATTTACCAGGCAAGGCCACAAGGCCATTGAGGATTGGAGTTATCACGATCACCTTTGGGTGCTTTCCAGCAGGAGGGGTGGGGTGTGCTTTGGGAATGGGAAAGGGAATGGGCGTGGGAAAGTTTACAGCATTAACCCAGGGGAATGAGGCTTTCTACAGTATTTACCTGGGTGGGATGGGTGGTGGTGGTCTCTGTGGTTTTATACTCCATGTTTGTCTCCTCTCCCCTGGCGCGGATACCATCCCCTTTTCAACCAATATGGTGGACCACCTCTTGGCTTCCTCTCGCTCTCTTGCCACCTCCTTACGCGCAAGACTGACCGAGCTGCGCCTTCGTTGTTCTTCTTCCTTCGCTTTCTCCTCCTGAAGAATCCACGCTTGCTCCTCTTTTTTCCTCTCATCCTCTTCCTTCTGTTTAATCTCTTCACGAACCTTTCTCAAGCTCATGTAAATCTCTTGCGCCCGTTTGGTTTCGTTCTCCAAGAGTTCTTTTTCTCGACGTTCTTTCTCTGCTTTCCTTTGCTGTAAGCGTGCTATAACTTCTTTCTGTTTTCTTTCTGCCTCTTTTTGCTGTTCTTCGACTCTTCGTTTCTCTTCTTCCAGTTGCCGTGCCTTTTCAATGGCCTCCTACATAATATATCAAACTTATTGACTACAAATTAACACCTTGATTTCTCTGCACGCAAATTTGGATTCTTATTCGTAGTATTTGTAAACCACTATGTGATGCGGCCCTCTTCATTAAAGATTAATTAAGTAATTGTTATCATCTAGTTAGTTAGTTATTAGAAGTGAAAAATTGTCTTGCCTTTTCAATGTGCACTATGGCTTCCACGGTCAATTTTGTGCGTACATGTAAAATCTAGCCTAAGAGGGGCCAAATTATGTGCAGATACACTAAGCCATATAAAATCCTAATATTAGAACTTCTTAAAGGCGCTAGCTACTCTCTTCTCCACTTTGTGTTTTGACAAAATGATTCTGGAATTAATCTTAAGTTTTAAATCTCAGGGATATCACTCTCTCTAACACGGACAATCGTCAGACCACCGCACCAAGAGGTCAACCCAGAAAGGTGTCTGTAAAGCATGCCAAAAGGTTGGTCAACGACATTGCAACTTACCCTAGGTTGTTTTATGCCGTACAATAAATTCTCAATTACAACCAAAAAAAAGAAAAAAAACATTTCTAAAGATATGCCGTCACGCAAAAGGAAGAATCCTTTGGAGAGTTTCAATTTTGTTTTGAGAGCCTGGGTAGGGTTGCAAAAAAACATTTTAAGATTAACGGAACTCGTAAATATTATTTCAAATAAATAGGTTATTGTTTCAGAACAAAAGTTAAGAGTCCTCTTATCTTAAGAGGTTTTACGCAACCTAGCCCTGGTTCCATATAGGAACTAATGAACTTTACTTAGGACGCGTGGAAACCAGATTTCACCTTGCATTCCTTCGATCTGATCAAAAGGTTAATCTTAAAATCTTTCCTAGATCATACTAGTTTCTCTCATACAATATACAGCTATTCTGCTCTCTGCTGCAATCGTATCGTTCCTTTCACATTTCCAGCAAGCGTTTCAACCTGCGTAAACTTTATCTAACTAACCGGATATTGTACATTCTTTCTATTCGATACTAACTTTCTTTTACACAAATGACATCACCTGTTCTGCTTTTTTTCTTCTTGCTTCTTCCAACGCTTTTTCTTTCGCTTTCCTCTCTTCTTCAGCTTTCCTTCTTGCTTCCTCCGCTTTTTTTCGAGCAAGTTCTTCTCCAGCTTTTCTTTTCTCCTCTTCTAATCTTTTCTTTTCTTCATCTGCCTTCCGCTTCTCCTCGATTGCTTTGCGCTTCTGCGCTAGCTCAGCTTGGATTTTTTTCTCTTCTTCCTCACGGCGTTTTCTTTCTTCTTCCATTCTCCGTTTTTCCTCATCTCTCTTACGCTGTTCTTCCTCTCTTTGTCGTCGCTCTTCTTCTTTTCGCTTCTTTTCTTCCTCTTTTCGTAGCTCTTCGGCTTTTTGAGCAGCAATTCGTGCTTCCTAGAATAACATCAACATGCAATTACGCTTTAGTAATTTAGGTCAAATGACCTACAGCTGTATCTCATGCAAATCCAATAGGTCATTTGACCCGATAGGTTATGGTAGGATAGATAATGAGCTACAACACTAAAAATACCAGGAATTGAAAGAACATAAAAAAAATGGTGGTTATGTCAAGTTTTGAACAGTCTACAGTGCGATTTTAGGGTGGTTTGACGGCGAAAACCTCACGTGTATGATTTGCATGACTTGAAGATGATGACTTTTTTTTAATAAACACATTATGTGAAATACCTCGCTGTTCTGATGCATAGTCACCTCCCTTGGAGGTACCACATAGACTATATTTAGGGGTAGGCATCATTGCCAGGCTTAGGCATTTTGTGCCTACCAGTACTCTCTTAAAGCTTTATCGTTCCTAAATTGAGCCGCACATTTCTCATGGACTAACTGCAAAGGGACAGACAAGCTGCCAATTAAAATCTGAACAAAATTCTTTTCTGACAGCAGAGCTTATGCCATTCCTCTGTTCGTCAGTTCTGGTGTCTTGCCCCTGAATATGCTGCACTTTAAATATTCGGCTCTCCTAATGCACGATGTTTTCAATAATCGCGGGCTCCTTCTAAAATTTCTGAATTGCCTTTCCCTTCTAATCAGATCCACTCTCATTATACCAGATTTTCTGCTGCAGATAATTTTCATGTCCAGAGATCTAACTAGATTATTATCTTTTTTTTTAGAAGTGGTGTAGCATTTGGAACAAAATCCCTCTTGCGTTACGTGAACAGCGTAAACTATATAAGTTACTGGTCAAAGTTTTGGAGACTGAGGAGGTGTTTGTTGATATGAATACCATTACCAGTTCCTACATGAACTACTTATTCAGTTAAAGTGTTCTCCTTCCTTATACCCATAGTTTTATTTAGTATCGAAATTGTCATAGTTTTACCATTTACTACTTGTACTGAGTTATTTATCTATTTATTTCATTTTATTTTTGCTTTTTCTTTATTTACTTCCTCTTCCTTTTTTCCCGACTTTTGAACCTTGAACTTTGCACTTATTTATAGGAGACAATTATTGTATTGTTGCCCACCTAGAATGGCTCCACTGATTGTGAGTAACATAATCCTAAATTACTTGCAAATTCAATAAACTGTGGTTCTTGTTGTTGCATGCTCTACCAGCAATTTTCAACTACGACATTGAGTACAAGAATGAGAAAATGTCGCCAGGAACTCATAGTCGTCACTGATGCATGTTAAAACTCTCTACCACCTATAAAGAACTTTTGTCGCTTACCTCTTCCAATCGTTTGCGTTCAGCTTCCCTGGCTGCTGCTTCCTTTGCTAATCTTTCCTGCTCTTCTTTCCACTGTTTCTCTTCCTCCAATCTCTCCAGCTCTTTTCTTTTCATTTCTTCAATTTCTTTATGAGCGAGTTCTTTCGCTCTCTTTTCATCCTCTTCTTCAGCTTCTTTCTCTTTTTCTACAAAATAACAGCTTTATATCAGCATCAACTCTTCTACAAATGGATGCCTTTGCTTTACCTTTTTCCTTTTGTCTCTGTAATATCAATGCTTGATCATTATTACAGGTCAGGACAGTTACAAACATGATTACCCAGCCTGATTTAAACAATTAATGAATGAGGCCGAGTATCTTATGAAGAATTATGGAGATCGAGGAGGGTGTTATCCATCGAGGCCGTAGGCCGAGGTAGATAACACCCTCCAAGATCTCCATAATTCTTCATATGATACAAAAGCCGAAATCAATAATTGTTTTGTTATTCAGACATTCAAAATAATTCCTAGTTTAAAAACTTAGCTAAAACATCCTTACTTTCATCTACGTTAAGTTCATCTTCAATAGTGCACGTTTAGGGTTGTTCGGCTCCACAAATATTCTCCAAATAGCAGATGTCGCCCTTCAAGTTGTCTTCTTGCTGCTCTTCCCATGTTTTTAGCTATTACTTGGGGGAGCAGGGATGGCACAGTGGTGAGAGCACTCGCCTTCCACCAGTGTGGCCCGGGTTCGATTCCTGGACTAGACGTCATATGTGGGTTGAGTTTGTTGTTGGTTCTCTTCTCGGCCCCGAGAGGTTTTTCTCCGGGTACTCCGGTTTTCCCCTCTCCACAAAAACCAACATTTCTAAATTCCAATTCGATCCGGAATGCTCGAGCGTTTAATATATGAGACCCTGGCTCGGGAGATTGGGCAACTACTCCTCACGCTATCGAGCTTAAGTAAAATTGATTTGATTTGATTTGATTTGATTTGATTTCCCCTCGTTCTTACTCTTGAAACTAGTGAAATTTCCGCCATTTTTGTTTTCACAACCAAAACAAATTATCAACCTCATCCCCAGGTCTTCTCAGTTAATGGCGCATTAACCTGCAAAAAGGCTGCACTTTCGACGTCATCGGTTCGTTTAGCTGATGACGGTGAATTATCTGTGTGCTTTTAGCCAGTCAGAATCGGGGAAATATTTTGAATGAATAATAACTTCCTTCAATGAATTCCCTCAAAAAGGCACAATAAATGCATAGGAAGCAGAAAGGAGAATTCAATATTGTGAAACAACAGGTGACCCAACTACACTGTGTAAGTGGGAAACCTGGGGTGTGCTAACCATTTATACAAACCACCCGGGTGGAAATCTTGTGCATAAACATAAAACTATAAAATTTGACATGGGGAAAGAAAGACCGGCAACAATGTATATCAGCTGAACAGACTAAAAAGAGCAGAAAAATTTCATCCCCTAAAATCGTAGCCCTTGTCTTCTGAAGTTCTCCGAAGGGAAGGACGTGAACCATTAATTTGATTTTCCACGCGGAATTTCCTGTTTTCCCATGTAATGGTAAGTACCCCTGGACGCTGGAACTTAATCGGCCATTTTGAGGTCATGTATAAGACTGGGTCTGTTTGTTTAATAATTGTACTCAGGAATGCAATTGACCCCTTTTTCTACGCATCATTTTCACATTGCCTATACTTCAGTTTGTTCCCCACCCCCCAACATGTTGCATAAACCATTGTTTCTAATTTCTCCTGGGTACTACAGTCATCACAAGAGAAATTGAAGACAATGCTTATGCAAAGTTTTGGGGGTACACAACAAAGGTGCGTTAAGGTTAATGTGAAAATGGTGAATTGGCTTACAAAAGTGCAATATTATACCAACCCAGTCTCAGCTACAACTTCTGAATGGCTAACAGAGCTCTTGTATTGATACACTATGCAGAGCCTAATTATGGAATTTTTCTTCTCATTATTAACAACCTTTACTTTAAAGGTACACACAACGCTTGAAATTAAAAGTAAATTAAATCCTGTCACCTTTAGTTTATTTAAATTTACTTTTGTTTTGCCAGTTTACATTCTCTGTAAGCCAATCACTAATAAGTACAAAGTACAACTGAAATCAGTTAGATTTATTTTTGTAGTAGAAGATAAGTCTTTTCAATTTCATGGCTCTAGAAGTATTATTTCATTTTGGTGCACGCAGCCCTCCATGTCTCAGAGTCCCTGTGTCAAGTTACTTAAGGCAGGTCTACCAACACCCAATAATAAAAACTGGATGCATCACAACATACAATCATGGTTGAGTTTTGAATTCTCTAACTTACAAGACATTAACAAGAGAGCTGGTCCACTTACTTCTGAAAATCTCAAAAGAATCTGGCTTGTCATCTCCTTCCCCCAACACCCAAACCCAAGGATTTCCATCAGCAGCAATCAGATAACTTACACTCTTTGCATTTGCTGTGAAGAGTAAAAGAGTTATGATATTATTATCCGTAGTTCCACTACTATTAATTTCACAGTAAAACTAGTTACTGCAGTGTAATTTAAGGCCCACTAAAACTAGGACATCCAGACATTGAGGCCCAGTGGGTAAGAAATCTTCATATGTGCAGGCCAAGAATGTTGTCTTTAGTTGGCTGCATCTACATGTAATTATTGATTGTTATGGTTTTTATGCATTCTTAACCCATCCACCCAAGGACATCTTCCCAAATAACACCGTCTGAAGCTAGCTTAATGCAACTTTCTGGACACAATAAAGACAAAAAAGCCAAACTACCCAGTTGAGTTCATATCAAGCTAAGCCTGTTGCTAGGTTTCTGCAGTCAGTTCCACATGTCCTGCATGCATGACTACTAGGCTGCCGCCCATCAGGGTTGTTTAAACTTGGTAGTATGATATAAAGCAGAAAAGATCTATTATTTATTAACATAAGGTACAAGATCACTGAAAAGTACTGACATTTCTTTAGACGTGGTCTTGGTGGGTTCTGTTTTTCTTTCTTTGCTAACTCATCTTCCCGTTCCCTCCATCTCCGCACTTGCTCTTCTCGCATCTTAACAAAGAGAATCTGCTTCTGTTCTTCAGGAAGCTCTGCCAGTAGCTCTGGGTCAACATACATATCACGCAGAATTTGGGCCAACATGATGACAACTTAGTTGATAAGAGTTTCTAAACCAAGAAAACAGCAGAGGAAGACAAACGAAAGAGCTTAAAAAAGGCAGGGCATGAAATTTTTCCCAATACTAAGGGGAAAATGTACACATATCTAAATTTTTCACATTAGCAACTAAATCCTAATTGGGCTGCATGGCAACAAGAATACTAAGTCTGCATCACCCTTTCCTTTAAGACCTTCTGCATTATTGCAGAAATGCCAACCACAGGAGATCTAAAACTTGGAGACTGTCTTTTATTGTGGTACTCCCCCAGTGTGACTCCATTACATGTACATGTATCAACCCAACCCACCTTAACCCAGCCCCCAAATCATAATGTGGTCGTTTCTCAGGACGTTATAGGAAGTCTTAACCTAATGAAAATTAATAATCTTTATCAGTGATTAAATGCTAGCCTGCGAAAACATCCTTTTCTCCTTGCTCTTTGCTGCTGGGGATGTTTTGCGCGGAGAAACGTCTGCGACTCAGTGACAGAAATTCCATACTGATGATGTAAAACAGTGTTTAAAAAATAAATCTGGTAGTAATGGGGTTTCAAAAGCACATTTGTTCAATTTTACGTTTCTCCTGGTCGATTTCGGTAAAGTGCTGTGTTCATCTACGAATGAGCTCCTGCAAAACTCAAGTGCTTTTTCTAGAGAAGACTAAATTCCACAAATATTGACTGTTTTGTTAGAGATTCGTCTCAATTTACATTTGACCTTTGTGGCCTTTTGTCTTTTAATTGTCTGTCATTTGTAAACAATAGCTAAAACATGTGTAACTACTCCGTTGACCAATCAGCGCTTCTGACCCGATTCTGGACATATTTTACATCATCAGTATGGAATTTCTGTCGCTGAGTCACAGACGTTCCTCATCGCGAAACGTCCCCAGTGGCAAGAAGCAAGGAGAAACGGATGTTTTCGCAGGCTAATTAAGTACCAGTATGTGCAAAAATGCTTCCAGAAACCATACTTTAAACTTTTCAAAAAACATTTTTTAAGGATGTACGTTTGGGTCAAATTAGAACCTAAAACACAAAAAAGCTCAAAAATTGATTTTACCCAGGGGATTTAATGACCTGTTTGACATGAATCTACTGGTGGTCGAGGATGATCAAACAAAAACTATTAATGAACACAGTCAAGTACTACAAGTTTAAAAAATATTTCACTAAACATCAAGCGCTTCCTATTCAACAAAATTCCAGTTTGAAGTTTCAGAAATTCCATGTGCACCATGGAACAGCATATTTGGGTTGCACATACCCAACCCAAGCCACGGCACATTTAGTTATTGTTCTTGTAAGTAGGATGCAGAAGAGTGGTACTGGGCAGAACAATTTTGTCAAATGGAAAGGGACATTTTGGTCCAACAACTCGAAATGAACTGACTGGTCAAAGTGGACCAGCTTCACAATTCACAATTAGTTGATGTGTCAGCATGTGTATGTCGAGATATTTGAACACGTGGAAAGTGTTGGAGAGCATGAAAGAGGCATAAGTTATTAAGAGTTGCTTGAGGCCCAGCCAAGAGCAACTCAAGCCTTTTGAGTGCTCTCCAAACTTCCCAAGTCTATTTATACTTTTTCCCTAATTTTGATCTGTTATCAAATGCATTTTAAAATGTTGTATACTGTGTACTTAGAATATTGAAATACAGTTAAGAAAGTAGAGTATTCTCTACTTTTTACAACTGTGATTAATGAGCTACTCACCTAAACACAGTTTTAAGGATGGGTTTGTTTTAAAAACATTCCAATACACAGAAAAATGGCTGACAGGATGCTTAGCACAAAACACAGAACCCCAAACACCAATAAACAGCAGATGACATTGTTATGCATTCCAAATAGCCACCATATTCCTGAAAACAAGAGAAGTCTATGTTTCAACTCAGAATGGACATAAAACAATGTCTAATCATAAAGTCATTAAGGTTTCTGAACACAGTTTTTCTAGGACTCTAGTGTGCTCTTTGAAATTCTCTCTGATGCCTGGATGAAAATGTGCCCATTAGTCACGCACTGCTTATCATGACATTTGAAGTGTTGAAAGGGCATTCACTCAATCTACTCTATGCCCAAGAAACCACAACCGCTCAGCTTCGAAGCCATTCTTGTTTTCCTGATCACTTGGTACAAATGTAATTATAAATGGAAATAGAATACTTTCAAACGATTAGAAAAAGGGATTTCGCAGAAATTCTACAAAATTTTTTGACTGTTGGGCATTTACTTTTTTCAAGACCCTTCCCGGCTGCCGGGCACATAGCCACAGCAAATAAATTTAGGTAAATAAACACGGGAAGTTGCGACAGTGGGAACTATGCATGTAGGCTTATGTGGAATGCTGTATTTTTAAAAGCATCCCACATTCAACTTCAGCTCATGCCGCAGAGGAATTAGCGACATTATTAATCCATAAGCTGTAGTTAACCTTTAAAAACATGTATCTACAGTTGGGTTAAACTTTAATGTTTTGGAATGAACATCCAGCAAAAATTTGCCTTTGATTTGATTTGGCCGAACAAATGGTCATGCAACTCACGCAATGACAAACTAAAGGAAAACACAAAGTACACTGCTGACTACAGGGTATGAATAATAATTAGTCTGCAATTTTTCTTTTAGTTCTAACTTACAAAAAGATCCTTTCATAAAGCCGTTTTGAATGTGAAAAACATGAAATTGATTCAAAATTATTTCCATATTAAACCGAGACGTGTTAGTTCCTACCGAAATTTAAATGTGAAGAGACTGTGATCGATCAGCATCTTACGATTTCTTTTGTTCATGTTAAATTTTACACGTGTTTTTTGGGTGTATTTGCGTGTAAATCGATATGAATGTCCTTTCATATAATTAAACTATTCAGAACAGATAACCTTATAGCACATTTTTAATTTAATGTTGATTTATCATTGCTAACAAACTCTGTATTTCAAGCAAGATACAAAACAACAAAAAAATAAGAATCATGAAGTGATGTCATCGTGCATGAAGTCTTAGAATAGTGCTGTATTACGAAGGACTGAAATGAAAAATTGCAGTTTTAAATATGCTGTAAGTGGCACTACTTGATTGTGTGATCAATGAAAACTGCTGCAATGTTGATTGAGGATGGGACATTTGCCCTCATTTTTTTGTCCCCACTGTGGGGCATTTGGCAGCTCAAGTGTCCCAACCCCTAGGAATTTGCCATCCAAGGCAAAAATATGCTAATGAAAAGGGTTGGCCCGAGAAGGGCATGGGTGCAGCTACAGGGCTCAAAGTTAGCCACTAACTGGTCGCATATGCGACTTGATTTTTGGTTGTGCGCCTAAAAGTTCATGTGTAATCGCACCTGTGTGCCGTAAAACCCAAAGCACAGTGCGACTGACTTACTTCCGACTATACTTACAAACTCAAACTAGAAAGACGGTCTATGTTTAATTGGTCTTTTCTCCCAATGGATTCTACGAACTCGAACGTTCTTTCTCGTTTCGATGTTTTACTCCACCCCAGACTCTTCTGTTTTGTAATAAACACCACTGACACATGCAAATATATGCTACAAACGAAACACGTACTTTTTGCGCAATGGACGATCATGTCGAACGTTCAGTTTTAACGTCATTCAAAACAAAAACAGTGCGGATTAGGAGCCTTTTTTCCAGGTAATAAAGTTTTTTAAGTTGTATTCCAGTTACATGTAAGCCATTGCACATTTAACAAATTCATTAAAGATTGATTTTCATTCTCGTTCGACACATTCATTGTTGTCAGTTTTGAATTGTTTTTCAAGTGTAAGTTTTCATTAGTCATAACTGTACTGTCAAAAAGAGAAATTAGTATTAAAAATCACAATGGTATTACTGCGTAGCAAATCGGCTGTGTTTTATCAATCACCGGACTGAAGTAAAAGTAACAAACTGAAGATGACAAATAAATGTGGCACTGTCAGGCTTTTTACTTTTTCTTTTGAAATAGATGCTCCCAACATTATAAGCTGTGCTCCTAAAATTTTCAGCTGTGCACCTAACATTTCGGCAGTGTGCCTAAAATTTTACATGTGGTAGCACAAGTGCTCCCAAACTCAAATTTAAACTTTGAGCCCTGAGCTAGAAATGACTGATGCATAAAAGCAAATGTTACCCAATATTTATGCCACTTAAGATACTCTTTCATCTAATAGAAGTACCGTATTTCCTCCAATAATAGCCATCCCTCCATTAATCACCTCGGTGGAATAATCGCCCCCACCTCCCACCCATACTAGGTTACCTGCTAGGGATATCCATAGCGGTAAACTAAAATGGAGTGTGATCCAGCAAAACTGATCAGTGACAATTCAAGCTCTGACACCGAAGACATAACGTAATCAAGGAACCAAATTTGGAACACTTTCAATGCCAATGTTCAGTTTATTTGATGTGATTATTTTTTTGATTTAATGGGAAAATAGAACATAATATTTAGGGCACAACTTCTAGTGAGCAATATTTGAAACAATCACCTCCCTCAAATAATCGTTCCCTTTTAGGGTGAAAAAAGAAATAATCGCCCCTGGCTATTTTTCAAGGAAATATGGTAATGTCTGTTTACTACTATAACAATGTATTGATAGAAATTTCCAGTAGACATTTCACCCTGGGAAGATGCATTATACACAAGAAAATTGCATCCGTGAGGGCAAAAGCCAAATACCACATGGCAAAATGGGCTATGAAATTATTGTTACTTTAATTCTGGGTTACTTCCTTACGACAAGGGAGTGAAAACAGTTTACATGACAGGGCCTCACTCAGCTGAATATGTTGAAGTGTAGCTTCCTGCATAAGCTTACATGGAAAAACCTACTACAAAAGCCAGCATATAATACATATGTCTGTTAGGAGGTATGTCTGTCATCTAATTTGCCAAAGCACATCAAAATATTAAGGAAACCACAGAAAAAAAATGTATATGCTATATATAAATAATTATTGTTGCAGTTTCAGTGAGTTTTAGTTGTGATTTCACATGTTCAAGTTTAGTAATTAACTGGAAGATCATCCGGGTAAAAGCACAGTAAACGCATTTTTAACAATTCTTACCATCATAGTGGTATGGTTTAATCGACATTTTTCGGCACTCACCTAAGCTTACTTTAAAGCCCAATTTGCTAAATCAATGGGACAAAAGTTCACTTGTCATCAACACAAAACAAACAATTGAACCTTAATTTACTTATTCCTGTCATAGGCAAACAAATCTCTCGAAAAAAGGATAAATTTAAAAATAGATGGAACTCGCAATACTCAGCAGGGAAGGCGTGTCAATTGAAAGTTGATTGTATAAATAATCACATCGATCACAATCCAATGCAAAACAACCGCGACTTAAAGAGCACCTTTTAGCCCAACAAAAGTCACTTCCTCAGTGGTCTATCAGGTCGAAACAACGCACAACGACAAGTTTTGAAAGTGACAGCTTATGATCGCTAAAAACATGGAAAGGATAAGAAAAAGTAAGCGTAAAGAAGATTCAACGATATCATATCGATGTCGAAATCGATGGCCTTTCGTGACTTAGGTTAGATGGTCAGTACAAAATGAAGACTTAGGAAACAAAAGACCCAAAAGAAGAGCTTAATCGGAAGACATGCTAACACAATTGGCCTCTAATAGTATCGCGATAGGAATGGAAGAACAACAAAGTCAAAATCAAACCTCATGTGATCAAGCTTTTGGATTCACGCGAGAGCGCCGCCATCTTCCTCCGATCGAAACCAAATAAGGCACCCATATTTGACAAAAGCTGAACTCTTACCTTAGCAGCTGGATTTTTGAGCCAGAAATATCTTAAGGAAGCATCAACAACCTTCTTAATTTGGTATTAAAAGTAACATCTATTTTACTTCGCCTTTTTGCAAGGAATCCTGCACCGGTCCCCAGGCTGCCAAATAGTAGTTGAGCACTGAACAATGCTAAACCTGTCCTTTGTCTTATCCGCCAATCACGGCACGCTCAACCAGAAAGAGGCCCTGACAGGGGTGGAAGCTGAAGACCGATTTTTCCGCATTTTAGTTCAGTCGACTACGTATACTTCCTCACCTCTTACCCTCATTTTAGTGAAAATGCCCTTAGTTTTCGGCTGTTGCCTTAGTTTAGCCGCATATACCATGGCCTGATGGGGGAGGCAAGGAGAGGGGTGGGGACAAGGAAGTTTGAGGGTGAATCCGTTCTGGAGGGCGGTGACCTAGAGAAAGGACGGCGTTTCTTAATTTTTTAATGCTGCATAAAAGTGAAAAATAAATCAACAAACAATAAAAACAGTCATAAGTATAATGTCAGTGGGTCTTAAATCTTTACAAGTTCCTTATATCCTACAGTTGCACGGCGCGCTTTAGAGGCTTTTGACAACTGGTATGGAATTAATTATGGTGCGGAAGCGATTGTGGAGTTTCACACATTGTAGGCATCTTGATGAACAGTTACGATTTATAGATATTTCAGCAACAACAAAAATGTGGGGAAGTTATTGCTCGCACCTTGCATGGTAAATAAACTTGTTATAGGAGGAAACTATGATGTAAGTTTGAAGTGTCAGCCAATCAACCTGAAATGGGCTTATGGCTACGTACTTTCAGACTTACTTGAAACCTTCCCCTAAGCATCTCCAGATAAGTATTGGCTGAAAACTAACCTAGGAGAAGTAACCGTGAACATTCTGGCAAATCAATCAAGAATAAAAGGGAAAAAATAGCTTCCTCTCCCGTTTTTCGTAGTTCCGTTCCTTTTGTCGCGTTGAAAAATATGCCATTTAAGGGGACAGACTTTGCAGAAATGTTAACAGGCCCTTGCTTCCAAAACTACTGTTAGGATTCAGGAGTGTTGTGAGCTGCATAAATTTTTTCGTTGAATTTTTACATATAATCAAACCCCTTTAACACAGACACTGACGGGGAATAGAAAGTGTCTGTATAAATGGGGTGTCCGTATTAAGCGTGATGAATTTAGTGAAAACTGAATAGTTTTCTTCCAATTCCCAAAGCGAAGACTGAATTTTCCCTGCATAAAAATATTGGAGCGCGAGAGCTGTCTTACGGAGACTGGCACGAGGCAGTGACAAATAAACGGGTTTCCATGGCAACATTGCAAAAATTGCCATTTTGAGGGGTCATGCGGAGGAACATAAAGCTTTGTAATGGCGGAAAGGTTGTGATCGATAAAGAGACTGTTCATATTCTTCATTACATTTGGTTCATAATCATTGTTATTCAAAAGTGGAATTTTTAACGTAACAGGAGATACTTTTCGATGGATTGTCGGTAGGAAAGTCTTATGTTGTTGGATGAGAACTAAACAAGTAAGACAGTTGTAGTAAGCTACTACGAACATTTTCTTGGTTGGCCGTTTTTTGGTGCTGGAATCGTCTCTTAATTAACCTTATAGGGAAGCACTCCTTGGAGAAGTTTCAGAGACACAGGTTTGAAGCAGTGTTATTTTACCTGACGACGAGCCCGCCTGCATTCGTTTCGTCTCGTATAAACGGGAAGCGTGTTGCTTAACTAAGGAATTTTGTCGTTGCCATTGTTCTCAAACGAACGACGTACGACACAATTAAATGGTTCCACTAGTTTCGTCCTTAAAATACGGTATGAAACTGCGTGAAAGGAAAACAGTGACTTATTGAAGTATTCGGAAGGTCTGCATATTAAGCGAAAGAAGCAAGCGCTATTAGCAAGGTTTCATCAGTCATTCGAAACCAGAAATCACATCTGGCTTGCTGATTGTTCGTACACAAGAAATGTGTTTTTTATGTGGCTTATTATTTCATCCTCTTAAAGTTTTTGAGTGGAGATTTTACTGAGTGCATGGAAACGACTTGACACTGTTTTTGTTCGATGGAAAAGTACGAGAATTTAGGTTTGGTCGGGGAAGGCTCATATGGTATGGTCATGAAGTGTAGGCATAAAGAATCCAACCAAATTGTGGCGATCAAGAAATTCATCGAGTCTGAAGACGATAAAATGGTCAAGAAAATCGCTCTAAGAGAAATAAGAACGCTGAAGGTGAGTTCAATGGGATCATAATGTTTAAGCTATCCATAACCGTGTTTACTGTAAGAAAATACACGATATTTGAACTGTAGCTTGTTTGTTTACCAACTTGGCAATTTTCATAAGCGTCATAGGTGTTTTGCCTTTGAATCCTTGGATCTACGGCTTCTTCTGAAGCGAAAGATTCGCTTTGAAAATTTTTCTCTATACTGTTAGGTAATGATCGTTAATAGCCCCTCAAACTTGTGGATTTCCTGCTTATTATTTAGATATTGCATTGTACTCAATTAATTATTGCTGAGTGTCATGGTGCGGAAGTTTTGTTGCTGTAAGCTAAGAAAGGGAATTGTCAGTTTGTTCCCAAAGTTTGGTGATTGTGTATGACTTGTCTTAATATTTATCCGTTTATGACAGCAGTAAGGTTAATTTTTTTCCCTTACATCAGTTCAGGTAAAACGGCTATACAAACGTTTTCGTCAAATTAAACGATGGATTTTTTCTACCTCAGTTTTTACACAACATTAAATTATTTTATTTTCTTTTCTTACATCTGATAGATGACTTTAAATTTTTCGATTGAGGGTTGTGCACTGAACACGTCTGTTGTTTTATTTTCCTTAATTTTTGAGTGAAAACTAATTAATTATGTATTATTATGATATTGTCAACTCATCTTAAATCTTAAATTTGCATTGAAAAATAATGTCATTAGGTAAAAAATTATAAGCCAAAACTGAAAAATTAAAATTCACTGATATGAAATGGAGGCCATACTGGAAGCCAAAATAATTATATTTATGTACAATTTGCATGAAAACAGTTTGCATGCACAGTTTTTCCAATGAGGACTGAAGGTTTACTGTTCAGTGCTCTCCAACATCACAAAAAACTCTATACAGAAATTAAAAGTAACTTTTTGCAGATTCAATGTCATTTAACAGCATAAGCATAATCAGTGGCATTTTTTTTATCAATTCCTACCTTTACATTGAGGAGCTTATGAAATGACAGTCAGTTGTGGCAATGGTTATAAGGACAATGTTACACCACAAAATGTAATAATCACTGCAAAATGTAACATCAATGCAAAATGTAACATCAACGCAAAATGTACAATGCAATATGAATTGCTGCATACTAAAGCAAAATGTAATAACATTGATGCAAAAAGTATATGATAAAATATTCGAGGGAAAACATATAGACTACGAGTAGTCCCCCATTTTTCCTCAGGGATAGTAGAGCAAGCGAAACACGAGCGCGCGTGAAAATCACCCCAGGCAAGAAAAGGCGACACGTGCGGGGAGAGAGAAAAATGAGGGACTACAGACAAAGCCCAAGCTTTTGACCCTTCACGGCCGATTGATTTTGGAGTGTGAAGTTCTTATCCCCTTCCAAATCAATTAAGCGCATCCAATGGCATCCCTTCCCTTATTGAGCTGTCATTGCTCTTGTCATCGGTAAACTGCGGGGGATGTTTATTGCAAGCAAAAGAAAACCCAGATACTAATTTTCTTCACGGCTGTTTCGCGTGAAGAAATTGATAGTATAGGCAACACACGACTTTAATGCTCATGCCAAAATGCTGCTTATTCCAATGAATTTTTTTTCTCTGACCGGTAGAATTATGCTCTGGAGGAAAACGTTTTGACTGAGCAAATGTGATTTTTGCCGCTTATTTCATACTGAGAGGTCGTGACACGCATATTAATTTTCTGCGGTTATTGTCTATGGTCAGCATGATTTGCCCTCTGATGTAAGAGCATTTTCTTTGACCTCTTTTGAAAAGTAAAGCTCTTCAACGCGGCTAAATAAGGGTTTTGGGTTGTTTAATTTCTCCGGCGATTGCCTCCTGGATCTGAATAATTTTAAGCGATTTTCTTTTTGGCCGTGAATGTGACGGTTTCCTGCAATGTTTTGTCATGCTGGGCCCAGCTCGTTAGCGTTTTTGGCAGGACTGATAGTGATGTCCAAATCTCGAAGAATTGATTGCAGCTTGAACTAAAACTACATTAACTATGGAGAATTGCGATGTGACTCAGTCGTGCTCATGAATTTTAACTGCCGCTTGTTTTTCTGGAGATAATGTGAGTCTTTGGACTGGAGCACGTAGTTCCTCTCTTGGTGATAACTTTTGACTTAGCTTAAACAGCCTTGCGACTGTTCTGTTATTCCCAATTTGTGATCACGCAAGACCATGGTTTCGGTTCTCCACACGAACCTCATCAGTTGCCGGGTTGGCTTTCTGCTTAGTTGCTTCAACAAGAGCAACTCTAGTTATTTGTTTTGTGCTGTTATTTGTTCTGTAAATTGTGATTATGTTGACTGTTGATAGCGGCTGACGTGTTTTTGACAGATGCTGACAGATTTCCATGGAAGGGCCAATCAGAGTTTTGCGTTGTGAGAGCAATGCATTAGTTCAAAAGCTTGGGCTTTGTCTGTAGTCCCTCATTTTTCTCTCTCCCCACTATGTGTCGCCTTTTCTTGCGTGGGGTGATTTTCACGCGCGCTCGCGTTTCGCTCCCTCTACTATCCCTAAGGAAAAATGGGGGACTACTCGCGTGTCGCCTTTTCTCGCGTGGGGTGATTTTCATGCGCGCTCGTGTTTCGCTTGCTCTACTATCCCTGAGGAAAAATGGGGGACTACTCGTAGTCTAGAAAACATAGTAATCTTTCAGCACAAAATGTAATAACTTTTCTAACGCATAATGTAAATTTTATACAGTAATAACGTAAAATGTAATAATTTCTGAATGATATGCATGGTATTTTGAATTTCTATACAAATTGTTATTCCAAGTCATATGAGTACACGTAGCTATGATGCTGTCATTGAACATTAGTTTATGATACAAGGGTAGGGCTAATTTAATGTTGATGCTGTCACTGTATAATAATAATAATAATAATAGTAATAATAATAATATGTGGCCAGCAAGTGGAGAGCAAATTTAATGCAGATTGTGTTCGCAACATGAAGAGACAGTGGACCATATTGTATCTGGATGTGAGGTATTAGCCAAAACAGAGTACATCTCCAGGCACAATAATGCTGCAGCATATCTCCATTGGAGCATATGTAAAGGAACCAGAGACCGTGACACACAATAAAGATAACAACATCACCATCATGTGTGACGTGCCAGTCAGTACTGATAGAACTATAACAGCGAACAGACCAGATATCATCGTTAAAGATTCAGTGAATTCCACCTGCAAACTTATCGATATGACTGTTCCATCAGATAGAAACATCGCACTGAAGGAAACTGAAAAAAAAATGCAAGTACAAAGACCTAGAACTAGAAATACAGAGAATGTGGCATATGAAAACCGTAGTGATCCCTGTGGTTGTTGGTGCGCTTGGTACAGTGAAGAAGGATATTGTAGAAAAAATCAAGAAAGTATCAGAGAGAGCTACTATGACAGAGATTCCAAAGATCTGCATGCTGGGATCTGCACGAATCCTTAGAAAGGTGCTCAGTGTATGAACAGAATGATTGACTTGAGTGACTGACGCTGTAGGTGCATGGTTTGCACCCGGCTGATGCACAAAAAGAACACCAGCAAAGACTGTGATAATAGAGACAATAATAATAATAATAATAATAATTATTATTATTATTATACATTCTTATTGAACACATTTCCATTCCCCAATGCTACAATGTGCATTGTTGTTTTAACATGTGTTTGAGCTGTATTAGGAGATGAGAGATTTCTTCATTGTTTTGTTGGTTGATTTTTTGACATAAGTGGAAAATATTTTTGTAAACTTAGTTATACATTTTAGTTGTCAAATTTCTATAAAACCTCACTGCTACAGGGTTGTCATTAGGAGCCGGGGGCTGGGGATTTTCCCCGGCTACTAAGAGACTGGCCCCAGGCTACTTTTGTTGGAAAATAGAAGAAAAATAGAACCAAAAGAAATCCCTAGCCATTTGATTCCCCGCCTGCTTGTTGTATTTACCTGGCAACTTGAAATCTTAGTGACAACCCTGCTGCCGCAAGTTTTTTTTACCTTGTTTAGGTACAGTTATGTAAGGCGTAAATAGCGAATCCTGACTGAAATACAAATACATGTAAGCTTGTTGCAGTATCTGTTCATATCCCAAGTATAAGCACACATTATAAGGTTTAATAGACTGTACAGAGTAGTGCTCACCGTTGTAAAAGTTTAAGAAATGAAAAAGATCCACCATTATGTATTTTTACCTCTCACTGATTATTATTATTTTTAACTTACCTGCGATTATGAATATCAGATAAAATTTTGAATCAATTTTCAATTAAATATAATTGGCAATCATCACACTGGTCACTAGTGTTTGTGGTCATTGCTGTACAGTCTGAATAATGCTGCAAGGTGGCTAGAGTTTTATTCTGTAGGTTGAGGTCAAACTATTAACCCTTGCTTTTCAAAGAAGGTTACAGCTGTAACCGTTGCAAAATGTTGTGATTGTTAATTTTATTGTACGGGTATGTTCAAAAATGGATTGTTCATATTATGTTGATTCAAAAATAACTAATCAATTTCATATTTCAGCAATTACGACATGACAACCTTGTTAACTTGATAGAAGTTTTTCGTCGAAAGAAACGCTTGTTCCTTGTGTTTGAGTTTGTGGATCACACAGTGCTTGATGAGCTGGAGAGGTATCCCAATGGTCTAGATGAAAACACTGTTAGAAAAGTGTTATGGCAAGTGCTGAGGGCAATTGAATTCTGTCATAACCATTATGTAAGTACAATAAAATACCTGACCTCATTTGAATGCTCCAACACAAAGATCATCCTCACTTTTTTTATATAAATATCCTTTAAAATAGTTACCAATTTTCTTTTGTTATATAAACTTAAGGGTGCTACATGTATTGTACCCCTCTTAAAACACCACTTACCTGTACAATATATCTATAAGTTGAATACAGCCATAGGATCATTCATTAACCAGTGGACAAATAAGTCTGCTCAAAATGCAAAATTCCTAGCAGATTTCCTTTGCATACTGAATTTGTGAATTGTTAAAGTTCAACCCAGTTCCCAATGAAAAGAAGCACCTTTTAGGTAAATCATACTACATGTTTAGAGGAGTCTAGAACAACGACTTGTTCTCAGTAAAGGTACAGTGTAGTGTATAATACTTACTGTATCTTCAGGTTAAATGTTTGAGTTTTGTTTGTACACATTTGCAGCAGCCAAAGATAGCTATGTCTGGTAGCCTGGAGCTAGCAGATTTTGTTATTGGACGCTAGCAGATTTTGCTATCAGACTTATTATAGAGTTCTGTTCTTAACTTGCTCAATGGGTAGTTGAAGTTCTTTGGGGGATTTGAAGTTACAGAACCTGCTCATCAAAATTTTTTTCAGGCTAGTTAAAAAGACTTTTGGGCTATTACATGCTAGTTACAGCTTGTCTAAATGGCAAGGCCTAAAACTGACTTTTTTTTTTCTTTACACCCTACAGGCTGTATTTATATAAACCTTATAACCTTTTTGTATCACAATAAAAAGACAATTGAACCTCCATAATTATTTTATGCTTTACAGCTCTCAAGAATGACTATCTGTGATAAGTGACTTCCACACATTGGTATCTTCCACTGTCTATAAAACAATAATAATTGCTTTAAAGGAATAAATAAAAATAACAACTTGTGTTAATTTTAGATTATCCACAGAGATGTAAAACCTGAGAATATTTTGGTATCCAAATCTGGCGTTGTAAAATTGTGTGATTTTGGATTTGCAAGGACACTAGGTGAGTAGTATATATCTGACAAGAAGCCAGAGGAATGTTACTTCAGTTAAAGGCATTACAATGAGTGTCAAATGGGGTTTGTAAGACTATATTAACATTATTAGTCTTGCTTGCTTGAGCAGAGTGAGACTCTTAAAATGCAGTCGTTTTTTTTTTTCGTCGGGCCTAGTTTGTAGGCCCCGCGTTCTTAGCGAAGACCGTGGAAAAAGGGGATAAGAATCGTGACGACTTTCATTGTATGGAAATGAGTCTCGTGATGAGAATGCAGTTTATTTTGGCGATGACTGAAATGATGCATGTAAGTTTAATTTTTGGCAATGACGTAATTTTCCTCGAATGGAGGCCCTTGATTTTCATGTAATTATGCACGACATGCAGGCACATCTACAAGGAGGATGAGAAAATATTATAGCGGGGAAATCCTCAGGATTTTGTGGCTTTTTAAGGCGTTACATTTCTCAGAATATTGTCGCAATTACAGGAAATGTACGGTTAAATAAATTCATTTTGTTCTATGTATTTAATTGATAGATTTTCACAGTTGTTACGATATGAAGTCGTGTTGCACTTCATAAATACTTGAGATATGAAGGATCCACTGTCACGTAATTTTTACGTGCACACGTGCGTAAAATTTGCTTTCGCAAATAAAATAAAGGCAATGTATGAAAGGCTGCACGTACAATTATGTAAGCGTAAAAGTAGAAACTCGCTTAATTTGACGTTTAATCTCAATACTTTATGTCTTACCTCTATTTGATATACGTGATTAAAACTTACGTGCGTTAACGTGCGGAGCCAAAAATGCATCAGTGGAAATCCACCCTAACGTGTCACGGATGTGTTTATACGGGTAGCTTTGGACTTACTAACCGCACACTCTACTCGCAGCACTTCATGTCCATAGTTAATAGAAATCCCATATCGAGCTTTTCCGGAATGGGTTGGTCCAAGAATTCTATGGTTTGAAAGCGTTGTTTATTTTGGAACAACTGATCACTTCAGTGGTCGAAAGAAAAAGAATAATCTTAATGAGCAAAACTTCAAGGTTTACTGGAAAATCAGGATCGAGGATTGAGGATCGACCAATCAGGGATCAAGGATCGGTTAAAAAGAACTTGAAAATAAAAGAAATAAATAAATCGTGGATCAGTGATGATGTGGGCCGCAGACTGTAGATAAATTTCACAGAACATAACCCCGTTCGCTGTACTGAACGCTAAATTCAAGTAAACTAATCTGAGTCTGTCTGAGTCAGTGATTGTTTTGACGAGAAAGTGAAATTTTCCGGGAAAATGAAACACTTTATCCTGGTGATACTGTAATACAAGAAAAAACGTTCAACAGTTTTTAATTTTTAAGTGTACATTTGCTTTCAGTACTCCTTATTTTTCTTGTAATTGTTGTAATTGCTGATCTTTTTATTGTGCCATGAACTAAGGTTCTTACCTATCCACCCCCACCAGCAATGCTGATCTTATTATTATCTATCTATCTATCTGAATCTATCTATCTATCTATCTATCTATCTATCTATCTATCTATCTATCTATCTATCTATCTATCTATATCTATATCTATCTATCTATCTATCTATCTATCTATCTATCTATCTATCTATCTATCTATCTATCTATCTATCTATCTATCTATCTATCTATCTATCTATATCTATCTCTATCTCTATCTATCTGTCTGTCTGTCTATCTATCTATCTATCTATCTATCTATCTATCTATCTATCTATCTATCTATCTATCTATCTATCTATCTATCTATCTAAAATGCATGCTGTGTACAACTTTAAACATTGTACTCTGAGACTGTACAGAGATATTAAAAGTAGATACTAAGCAGCTATGGAAAATGTCATTACTTTCATGCGATATTGATATGTTATAAAACGGACAACAAATTCAACAGGAATACGCGCAAACTGAATTAACTGTGTGTTGTATAAGGTTCTGTTCAACTTACACCTTTTTCCTGTGCTGAACATATACTGTACCGAGCCGTATCTTGGTCCGGTACAAAGAAGCTATGTAAATTTATACTGACAGAGTCATGGGTCCCTGATACCGATAAAAATCATCGTTCAATTTTTCGATTGTAGAATCCCTGAAAGAGTACTCCTCAATGGAGCAATATCAATATGTAGACTTGGTTTTCAAAGGTTTCACACCGGTTTGAGGCTAACATGTGCGGCCTGTCTCTCCTTGCAATTTTTACTTTTTGAGTTTATACATTATGACATACAACACTCGTTTTGTATTCCAAACGAGAAAGTAGTATAACGGCACCAGGTCTTTGACAACAAAACTCATCTCCAAGCAAGCAAGACTCAACACTACTAAGAGCGTTCTTGTTATTTGTTAAAATGCACTTTGTATAGTGTATGTGCACTAGTTAGTCATCAAGTTTCTGGATGTTTTGTGGGCAGTTTGCACTACACTTAAAATTTTTCCTTGCTGCTTGTTTGTAACTTTTTTGTTTTTGTTTGGCCTAATCTTGAAAGGCAGTAATCTCTTTGTCACTGTGACACTGTGACTGATCTCCAGATGGTGACATCACTGAAATCTTGCATTCTTGTACTTTGATAAGACTGACCAAAGTTTTAGTTAAAAACAATTTGCAATAGTTAAAATACAAAGTTCTTCTTACTATATGTATATTCATGAAAAGAGACTTCCATGATGCACAGAATTATTCATAATGTGTAAAATTTTAAGGTGGTAAAGTGTGTTTTCTTACATGTAATGTGCAGGTGTATTTAACAATTACTCCTCGAGCTTGAGCCCAAATAGGCTCTGATTTAATAGCCCATGAGGCCAACTATTGACTCAGAAGCCATAAGGGCGAGAGGAATAATAATGTGTGTGTTTTAGTAAAATCCAACTAGTTGGTAAAAAATATCGAGACAAAACAACGGTAGCCAGCAAAGTGCGATTCAGCCACCATTGTTTTGGTTTTCAAAGCCTGCGCTTTTGGCTACTAGTGGGCTGTAACATAAATAGTCTAGTAGTAGCACGACCAATCAGAGCGCAGCATTGATAATAGACCACCAGTTGGATTTTACTAAAATATAATAGCCAAAGGGTTCAGTTTTCTCTTAAGAATGGAACATCTAAGTTTTATCTGGCATGTTTGTTCTGGCTTGAAATATTAGAGCTTAACTCTCTCTGAGACAGACACCTTTGGGACCGGTATTTAGTGTCCATCTTAGAAAGATGTCTGTCATATAGGGAGTCAAATAAAGTAAAGAAAGGCACCACAGGTGTCCATTTTACAGAGGTGTCTGTCTTATAGTGTATCAATAATATTAATTTTTGTAGCTACTGGCCCAGGGGAAGTTTACACTGACTATGTAGCTACCAGGTGGTACCGAGCTCCTGAACTCCTTGTTGGAGATACTAAATATGGAAGGTAAACATCAATTTACAGAATAATTGTTTATTCAAGTTAGATTAGTAAAAATAATGTGAACGTTGGGGTCTTTCTCCTCCATCCTTGTGGCTCAAGGTTTGATTTCTTGAATCGGGACCATTATCTTTATATGTTGTGGATCCTTGAAATGAAATGTTCGTTTCCTAATTTGTTTTGGGGTATGGTCAGGCTTTTCTGGCAGTGCCTGGTGGCCCCTGGTGCCTTTCTTATGCTCTTGGGCAACTACATGTAATAAATCCCATGCTGGAAACCCTTGATTTCACAAGTTGGAATGGAGGTAATGCTCCCTTCAATTTTTCTTAGTGCACAGCCTTGATGACAATTGGCCTCTCTAGCCTTTGTGCTATAATCTAAACAATATTATTTTAGCATGCAAGCAAGCTCTCCGGGGCACTTTGGCAAGAAAAGGAAGGAGAGCTTGCAACTACATCTCTGGAATCTGAATTCCACCTCCAATTCCCCTTTGGCTCCCCGATTACTGAGGTGTTAGATTTCCACCAATCGTGCAAAGTGGAAACAGTCCCAAATGTAAACGAACATTGAAAATAATGTTCCAAGGGTAATGACAGCATTACATACGTCATCTCCACCAATCAGCATTTCGTATTGACTTTTTCAATGCAGATATTCAAATTCCAGAGACGTAGTTGTAACCTCTCCTTCCTTTTCCCACCCCACCATCAGAGTGCCCCAAAGAGCTTGCTCGCAGGCTAAACAATGTTATAAAGGGCTTTTTATTGCAAATCACTATTAAAATAGTATTCAAGCCCTCTTAAGAAGGAATTAAACTGAAAATTGATTTTTATGTAGAGTGTTTTGTTATCCAGAAATTCTGTTTGAAATACAAAATAATGTATGTTTTTTTTCCTGTACAGGCCTGTAGATGTATGGGCAGTGGGTTGCTTATTGGCTGAGATGTTAACTGGGGAGCCATTATTCCCAGGGGATTCAGATATTGACCAGTTGTATCACATCATTACTAAGATTGGTAAGTAGATAATCCTCAAAAAATGAAAAAAATTGAACTAAACACACATTAAAAATAATTGTGATCTTATCATAACAAAATAATATCTCCAGAATATTTTCTTCCTTCTTTTGACAGTCTTATTTCTGTCCACAATAATCGCTGGGCATGGTGAGGTGATAATACTTACCAACTTACTTAGGCCAGGAATCATCCCAAACTGCTCTAATAAAATCTTTCCACACAACCTGTATGTAATTCTTGGTCTACCTCGATTTGGGTGATGACCATGTTGAGGTTCCCAAAGCAGGACTTTTGAAGCAGTCTCTTTATTGTGATGAGCACAGTGGCCAGCTATCCTAATCTTCTCGCACAAATTGTTTCAATAACTCTTGGGAGGTTCCTGTATAGTTCCTGGTTGTTCTTATGTTGTTGCCAGTGTACATTCAGGCCGTTCACAGCATTCTAGTGTAGCATCGATTGACACTTTTCTCCAGCTTCTTGGTCACAGTCCACTTTTCACTTCCATAGAGTAAGACAGACTCCACAATTGCTTTAAACAGCCTGATCTTTGTGGCAGCTTTGAGGTCCAACACTTTTCTTATTTTGTTGCAAGCTATCTAAGCTGAAGCCTGAACCCAGATACTTGAAGTTCTCAACAGGTTCAATGACTTCGGTGTCTCATATTTTGAGCCCAGCATCAACATGATGGTTAAAGAACACGTAGTTTGTCTTCTTTGCATTTTGTAAAGGACCAACCTTGGCCAATGCTTCTTCAACATTTCTGAGTAGCTCTTGCACTTGTTGAAACTGATCACTAAAAAGAGCAATGTTGTCTGCAAAGTTTAGATCAGTGATGGGTGATAATAGCCAACTGATGTTTGATGTACATTTGAGGACCTATGAGTTGTTTCAATGCTGTACTCCAAGTTAACATTGATTGTACTAAAATTGGTGTAATTATTTCTTTACAGGAAATCTTACAAACAGACACAGAGAAATTTTTCAAAGAAATCCACTCTTTGTTGGCATGAAATTGCCTGAGGTGAAAGAAGTAGAACCTATTGAGAAAAGATTCCACCGAGTTTCGTCTGCTGCCATTGACATACTAAAGGTGTGTTTTTTCACATTCTGTGATAAGATGTTGATTATAGTCAACAATGGGCACTTTCCATTCAACAGAAGTTCTGGTTTGAAATTTTGGAAATTCTGCGTACCCAATGGTACATTCCGGTTGTACAGACCAGACCCAAGCCACTGTGCATTTGGTTATTGTTCTTATAAGAATGATACAAAAGATCAGTACTGGGGACAACATTTTTATCAAATGGAGAGGGGCATTTCAGTCTGACTGACTGAAATGACCAGACCGGTCAAAGTGAACCACCTTCAGAGGTGGTCCAAATATTCTGGTCGGACCAAACCAAAATGGTCCTTTCTATTTGATTTCTAACAGAAATTTCTGGAATTTTGGGCTGAATGGAAAGCGCCCAATGGTTTCTGTTTTGCGTTTTTAGGGCCCGGGTGACATTTTAAAATTTGATTTACATGCTGTCAACCTATTGCAGGTCTCATTCTAATGAGCACTCTAATTTCCTCTTGTCAGAACTTTACCCTGTGAATCATTCACTGCTCTTAAACAAAGTTCTCTGATTTGCCCTATCCTATGAAATCCATGACCACTACAGTATGTAGTCAGATTACATATATCCCACCACCCACCCACCTTTGCCTAGGACAAATTAAGAAAGAGTCCCAAATTTCTCTCTAGTAAAGCAATTTTGCTCTGAAGTAATACCTCAGTCCAGCTGGATTGTACTTGCTGATTGTAAGCGACAAAAAAAAAATTATCATCATGATGTCAATCTTTGGTAATTTAAGTGCCTTGAGTATTGATTGAAAGTGTGTTGGTACAATGTAGCTTTTAATAGAGCATGAACCTATTTATTTTCGCAGTAAAAATGGTATACTTTAATATGCAGTCGTTTTATTGCAGCTGTGTCTCAAGATGGATCCTGCAGAAAGGCCTCTATGTTCACAGCTACTAAAACATGACTTTTTTAAGAAAGACAATTTTTGTGAGAAGTTTGCTCAAGAATTGAAAGCCAAAATAACAAGAGAAACGGCAGATAATCCGCTTCTGAGGTCAATTAATGGACGTCATGACTCTAAAGATGAAAGTGCTGAAGAAAAAGCACGAAGGAAAAAGAGGAAAGAAAAAGAAAAGGTAATAAGAACACAAATACACGTATGTGAGTATTACTCCAGTCACACTGTGTGTGATCTTGTTTGAATATTCAGGTCTTCCTATTTGCCTCTCTCATAATCAAGAGACAAAATATGACTTGCACCTTTGTAAACGCTCGTACAGATCCATTTCATAAAAGAAAAGTTATTATAATGTACCTTATTGGCAAATCTACAGTATCAAGAAAAATTGAACTCTTGACAGTGTGTATTAATATCCTGCAAGATTGTGACATTGTACCTGATCTGTGTTAGGATTGTTGATCTGGATGTGAATAAGATTTTAGGAAACTATCCACCCACACCTCCCTTCACCTAACCTGAGATCAGGCGTTATTATTATTTTTTTGCTTCTTGGCTTCTTTGGCTCGAGAGGGAAAAAAAACGACCTCCTCTCGAAAACAGATTATAGAGACAAAGGGAGAGGGCATGATCGCAGGCTACGCTTGACCCATAGTTAACACTAACTTGTCACGTAATTCAAAATGTTGGGTTCGGGGAGGGGTTAGTGTAAGTAGGCAGTTTCCCAAAATCTTAGTCTGATTCACTCAGAAGTTCCCTAATTTGCAGTCATAAGAGATCGGGATTGAGGGGAGAGGGAAACTGTACAGTGATCACTGAAACTAGAAAAACTTTCTTCTTTATTCAGGAACATCGTGAGAGTAAAGAGCAACGTGAGAGAGAGTCTAAGAAATCGGAGACGAAGGAAGTGTTAAGAGAACCAAAAAAGCACAAAGACCCCAAAGAATATAGAGAGAGTACAAGTCAAGACAAACCGAGTAAAAAAGTTCCTTTGTTACCTTCAACATCGTCTGTGTCAGCACAAGAGGTAACGGCAGCTGCATCAACAGCTAATTCACCTCCTCATGAACCTCATGCAACTGTAGGGGCTTCCACATCCAATATACCCACAACATTATACGGCATCACTGGCCCGTCTACAACACAGGCAGCCCAGCACGATACGTTTGTCACTGGACACGCCCACGGGAAACAGTTGTCCCCTATACAAAGTGCCAGCACCCTTAGAAACTCGCCCACTCAAGAACCCCCTGGTACAGTATTATCAAAAGGTTCTGTCCCTACATCACAGGGATTGTCTACCAAAGGAACCAGTTCACATGCTATGAGTTTATCAAAGACAAACATTGGATTAGGTGTGGTTGGACCTCGGCATGAGTCGCCGCCAGGACCACCTCCATTCAGGTAATGAAAGTACAGTATGCTAAATATTTGACCCTTCTCCCAGTCTGTCTGCGTGAAAGTTCAGTCATCGTACTGTGTAACGGAGCAAAGAACTCGGTTCATCTCCTGGCCCCATAACATCACTCAACAGTTCAACGTCTAGCCTGTTCAGCTAGCGGGATTTATCGCGTATGACTGCTTTATTCCACGGGTGCTTTTGTTGCCTTTACTTAGGCTGTAAAGCCACGAGAAGAATGGAATTCCTCGTGGCTTTGCCGCTAGCTACGCGCGGTAGCCCTTCCGCCTAAAACACAGTATCCTATTCTTATGCTGCTAGCTGCACTGATTATGTAATCCCGTGTCCTTTTTTGTTTTTGTTATATATTTTTAAATATGACCAAAGCTGTTTCGATTGAGCAATATTTGTGTTGCAGTTGGTTTGTTTTCCTTGACAAAATATCGTTCATAACATCGCTTTTGGTTATCTCCTTTGGTTTAGTTGTTGAAAATTAAAAGTTGGGTTATTTTGGTCTCTGCCCAAAAAGCATGCACTGACTGAAAAATAGATTTTTCAGTGTTAAAGCTTTAAAACTACCTGTAGATAGTAGTACCTTCTAAGCAATTTATATAAAAAGTTTGTCGCACCTGTAGCTTCATTTGTTTACAAATCATTCTTGTTTATCACCAAGCGAACGGCGTCCAGTGGCCTCTGAGGTTAAGTCACATGCAAATTAAACTAGTATTCCGGCGTTCTTGTTTTCAGGGTCGTAAATGAGAGTAAAGTAAAGAAAACGCCTCCATCTTACTCGAAAAAAACAAGTGGCCCTCCTCCAAATCACCACAGTACGTCTCTTTATCCCACGGGCGAATCTTATTACGATCAGAGAACTTCAAGCAATTTTGACCTTGGTAGCAGGCATAGTGAGAGGTCATCATTAGAGTCAAACTACAAAAAGAAGAGAGACAAAGACAAGGAAAAGGAACGAGAAAAAGGGAGAGGAGGAGGGGGAGAGAACGAGTTTCCACATTTACCCGATGTACCAGGAGCAGAAGGTACAGTGCAATATCACAACAGTAAAGTGAAACGCCACTTTAATTATAACAAGTATTCAGTTTTAAGTGGTACTTTTCCAAAATGACCAACTGCTAGAGGTCAAATGTTGAACACATTGAGAGAAGTTGTGGGTTTACTCCATACTGACTAAATGGGCCATTGGCAGCTAACAGATGCTCAGTCTGTAGCTTGTCATTAATGTGGTACAAATTGCCATTCTGGAGAGCAAGGAACACACCAGGACAAGACGAACAAAGATATTTCATTTAAAATGTTAATTTCCGTTAATAACAGCAACAACAATAATAAGCAACAATAATTTCCAAATGAGTACGAAGTCAGTGTTTTTCACGTTAACGGGTGTCCGTATAAAGCGAGTTGAATTTAGAAGCAATGTAGGGGCTTTTACAGGTACAAAAAAGACTTACATAGTGTGGGGTGTCAGAACTTTTTCATATATATGGTAAAGGTGGTGGAATATTAAAGGAAGTTCAGAACTCTTTAATTCTTCTTCCGAGTACTGTTGCCCATGTCACTGACATCATATCTTGAAGTTGACCCAGATTGTGACGAAGAGGTACAACTGCAGTAGCAATCACAATGATCGAAACTATTTTACCTTTCTTCAAATTAAGTATTTTTTTGCTGTATTTGCAGCTAAGAACAGCATCAAGACAGGGAAGAGCTCCAAAAGTGTCACCAAAACTTCTATATCGATGATGCCCCACATTACAAACCTAACTCCATTTCAGAACGGCACGTCGTCACAAAGACAGGTAATGTAGTAATGCACCTTGTTCACGATACTCGCCATCTTAGCACCCGCTTAAGGACTGATGGGATAAAAACAATGTCACGTGGTTTCTCAGGGAGCAAACAAGTGAAAAAAAATTGCCATTGGAAGAAATCGCGGTTGAGTTTGTTTATACTAGACAACAGGAAATGAAGACCTTTTCGTCTTAAACACGATAATGTCAAAATATGGGTGAAAGTGATCATTGTTACTTTTTTTATGCAATAGCGACCGTAGATGTCCTCATGGCAATCAGTAATGACGTAAATCTTGCCAAAACTCGATATGTAGCATGATTATGAAATCGTCGTCTCGTTTTGATAGAATAATCGAACTCGGCCGCTACTACTCGTATCGGCAAATTTTATCACTTTTTTGCCTCGTGAAATACCACGTGACATAGCTTTTATCCTATCGTTCCTAGAGCGTGTGCAAATATGGCGAGTGTCGTAAATAAGGTCTATTGAATAGACCCAATACGGCTATTGCTCAGTATTCACTCCCCCAGGGGTTGGGGAGGGCGAATCTATGACGTCAGAATCTATGATGGTAGAGGGAATCAGCCCGATTCGTTGTTCCATTTCAGTGACCTGTCCCTTATTTCGAAGACTTGGCGTTACGGGCCACTGTCAAATCTCTCGATCCTGGCGATCTTACGAAAAAATAAGGGACTGTGAACTGTCCAGAATAAACCATAAGATGTATAATATATATACTTATTTATTTATAAACTTCGCCAAGAGGCTTGGATCACTCACAGAGCAAGCTCCACTACGAATTCCAGAAAAAAAAAGAAAATTAGTAATACAACTAAACAGAATGACAATACTTTAGAAACGACAAAAAAAAAGAAATGCAAATGCAAAAACAGAATTGGGAAGGACATCGATAAAAATATCAACAACACATACGATCAAGCAAGCAGTTCAATGGCCGACTAGTGTGGTACTTCATACAAACACTCTTTAAGGTCTGGGGGGTGTCGACATCATAAACAGACTTCGTGAGATACAAGTAGTAATTAAAAAGGTCTTTCTGAAAGTGCGCCACTGGGCTCAGCTCTACAGTAAAAATTGTCTTCAAAGCTGACGGTGCTGGCCCTAGTCGTTTTCAGCAGCGTACCCTTGGAGGAGACAGTGCGCATGGGTCTAGTGGAATTCATCACTGAAATAAAAGGGTTCGATAGACTAAGTAAACATTTGAATACGTACACCAAATCTAAAAATTCGGGCCAAAAACATAATGGTAGGAGCCCAATTTTCAAAAGCAAAATTGGTATTAATTAACCACGACTGTAAAACTTTACGTGGACTGATCCGGTATTATTTAAGATTAAGGGGGAGGGGAGGGGAGGGGCTTGATAACTGTCTTTCCCTGAAAAGCGGGGAGAGGGGTGGTTAATAGAGGATGCTTAGAGGATTTACGGGTCGTCACTTGTTTCCATCCTCCAAACTGACATTTTCCTCTCAGTGGCTCTCACAAGACATCTCAGTTTTCTTACATGAAATTTCTCTTTCTCTTGAAATTTCTGTTCAATTTTTTAGGAAAAAAAATCAGGAAGGCACGAGTAGAATTCGATTTCGGAGCATCGGCTCTGCAGTGCATCACTTTACCCTCTACACCACCGAGGATTTGCTGACAATCAATGGTTTGATTTGAACCCTTACTTTGTGTACGAATCATGAAACTGTCAAGGTCAAGTGGGCGGATGGAAATAAGTGTTAACCGGATTTACGATATTGAAAAACTTAGTAATAACCTGTTCAAACAATGGTCAAGTTCATTAATCCACAATAAGCTCAAACGAACGTACAATTTTTGTGCTGATTAGACAGTTACCTTCTGTACTGTGTATTGGTGTTTCTGGTCTAATTTGTGCGGCATTTTAAACCGTCGTTATTGTTTTTATTTGTTCATAGAATACACCGCCAGGTTATTATCAAGGAAACAGTCACGATTCCAATCTGCCGTCCGTATGATTCAGGAGAAAAAAAATTCAGTCATCAATTAATATATCAATGTAGACTATAATTATGTCAACATAGGGTTTGCCTATGGTTTATTGTAAGTCATATAATGTTAGTGTGTAATCATTATTGTAGCTTATATTTAGAACATACTTAGAATACTTGTACATGTTTTTCAGTCCAGCTTTGTTTTATATCCGGGGCGCAATTCATATATCGCGGAAACGTGAAACACACGTTTTTTATCCATACATGAGAAAGGGGGAAAAAACTGTACATTTGTTGTTGTATTCATACCGTTACCATAAATTCCAACGCTGTATTCCCCCCGTACATAAGTTATTTTTAAAAAAGAACTACGTGCAGGTTGAATGTATGCAAACTTGTATGTATAGTTGTTATTAATGAAATGGAGTTGTAAAGAAGTTACAAACCAATTGAATTCTTTTAAACTGTTTTCAACGTTTGTATTTGTATTGGGTGTGTGTGTGTGTGTGTTGGAGAAGGAGGCTGGTACCCAATTGGTTAGTGATGGAATCTATAAACCACACAACATAAGTAGGCAAAAAATCTCACGAACGACCAACACAAAAAATAGGTACAATGTAACACACCAGTCTTTTTTTCCTTCCCTTCTCTCTCATAGAATAAAAATTGATATACAAATAATAACTATATATTCCTTTCTAGTTTGAAATCAGTTTCAATATAAAACATAAATTCAGCTATATTCTTATCAAGATACCCTTTGTTGCCTTTTTCTTTATATTAGCAACATAACATGCGAAAAATTATTAGGAAAATGTATGGAAAATTGGGTTAGAAATTCCGCTGTACCATTTTGCTACTGAATTAACAATTATTTCTACAAAAATGGCTGTGGAAATTTCGGTCTTAGGTTGACTAACTAGGTATCCCCTAATCTACGATCAGGCGTTCTTTTCCGGAGAAAGCGCGAAAGTCGGCCAAAACCACAAGGGAAAAAGAAGCGCCTGGTCGCAGGTTGGGTAGCCTGGGGCAGGAACGCCTGACGAAGCCCTAGGAACGTATGCGTGCGAGGCTACTCTTTAGGGTGTCGACGCAAATGGTAATAGAAAAGTGGACCACTTCTGAAAGTATTTCGCCTTTTTTTTCTTGTTGTATTTGAATTCACATTTGAACATCCGCTCGCATGACTTTAAGAAAGTACGGTTATTTTTTTATATTGCTTGCAAGATTAAGTAAATCTTGTCTGGCAAGATGCGTCCATCTTGCCCACTCGGGATTTCCTGCATTGGTCTAGCAAGAAACAGCCTGTGTACAGACGGCCCCTCACCTCAAAAAAAAAAAAAAAAATCGGGTAGAGGTTTTTTTAGGGGACGGGGCGTCTCTACACGGGCTACGCAAGAAAACGTCCTTTATTGGCCAAGTTGGTTCGGTCAAGATGGCTGTGTATTGGCCTCGTTCCTTTTTTGTGTTTTTATTGATCTCGAGTTCGTCTCGTCCATGAAAACACAAAAAATAACTTCAGCAATATCCACCCATCTTGACCGAACAAGCTTAGCCAATAGGGACTTAGCAAATCGCTACGGCGGCCCGAAGTCAAAAAATGACGCAATACGCATGCTTGGAAATGACCTTTCGCCATAAAATAGCGCCAAATACAACGTCGCCACTACGTGAGTACAACAGACGACTTTTCTCCTATTTTTTTTGTTTTACAATCACTGGTTTTAAAACCTATCATCGATTGTTTTTCACTTAAACAAGAAAGTATTTGACGCTTCTGGCTTCTTCCTTGGTTTCTCAGTTTAAAATCTTATCCTCAACCGAGGTCAAATGCTGTGTATAAGTCGACGTACGGCAAATCTAAGTTTTAGGGCTTGTACGAATTATACAACATTAAAACTGCTCGTCATTGCTTAATCCTTGCTCATAAGAGAGAAAAAACATATTCTCTAAAGGAGGTCATAACAACTTACTGACAGCGAAAGCAAGTGAGCGAGAAATGCCGTATTCACTGTTTGGACGCCGCTTGTTCTTTAAGTTGGAATTTGGCAGCCTACGTGTCGTACTTTCCCCAGGAATCCACATCCATGACCGCCGTGGTAGAGGTCACCGTAGCGATACTGCGTTCGAAGGCAGCATGTTTTGTTCGTAAGTGACCAACAACAGTGCTTCTACAGTACTTGATTTACCAATCCTTACTGTAATAAGTGTCTACTTTTCAAAACGTTTCTAAACAGATCAATAGTAAAAATTGAACTTGCTATCTAGTCAATAAGAGCGGTCGTTTCAGACCTAGTAAGAAGAACTCTAACCCTGGTGATATCTGCGCATATTGTTAATTCGGCATTAAAACAATTTCTTGCGCACTTTCAACGTCCTCATCTAGAAACTTTCTTTTGCACAAAGAAAGCTGGCATTGCATTAAAATATTCTACGACTATATACTAAAAATCTTTTATCTTTGAGTTGGCTCCCAGCTTCCATATTTAGCACAAAACTCCTCCATACCGGCTTGCAGCTTTTCTAATCGATCTTGTGCTGATTCCCTGCAGAAAGAAAAATTGCGAGTCACAAACTGTAGAAACGTGAAACCTTTCCAAAATCCGAATGATGATAAGATACCACGCAAGTTTTAAAGTATTTGTATAGATATAATCATAAAGCGAAAGAGAAAAAATGGACAAACAAATTATTATTGGGACCTGTTTTAACAAACGTGACGTCCTAATCACTAACTACACTCACCGCAAAATGACGTCTGTGTCACTACCTTGACCTGGGTAGTGCCTCTGATTGGTTGAAGCAAATTTTCAACCAAACAGAAGCACTCCTCAAATCTAGGTCGTGACACGTCATCAGAATGATACAAGTGGTAGCGTCGCTAGATGTCTGCTGTTTTTTCAGGCTACAGGATTCGCATCCAGGACAGTCTTTACAACGCCTAAATTCAGCCTGAGAATAAGCCTGACAAGTACTAGTATTGAAATGCTCCTGCAATAAATGCTTACTTGGACTGCCCAACGTGCAAGTGCGTGTTTCATTAGTAAACGTGACATCAGAGACTTGTTTTAAGAGTTGCAAAACATATTAGGCAAACAGCGGTCCGCGGAATGCTTCTTAGGACGAAGAATTAGAAACGATAAAAAATCCTTCAAACGAATGTGAAACTTGTAACAGACAAGGACAGGAGAATACCAACTGATAAACTGCTGACAAATGTTGCCGAAATAGTACTACGAATAGCTCGGGTTTTATTTTCCTGTTCGGCTTCGATCCAGGCGCGATCTCGATGGATGTATCACTAAGACATTATACACGAGCAGAAGGACGAAAACCCTCACATTTTATGTAGCTGGAAAACTGGGATGAAGGTGGCTCACGACAGTGTCATGTAGTTAACTATTACTTTACTGTACTTCGCGTATCTGAGCTCATTCTAATTCTTTTTCAGTTTTTTACAACTTACTAACCTTGCTCTTTGTTCGTCACCCAAACGTAGTACTAACATTTCTCGGACTTTTCTTTCCTGCTCTAGCTTTGACTGAAGATCTTTGATTTGTTGTTGTTGAAGTTCTAATTCATTCTCCAACTCTTGGATATCACTTCGCGGATCTTCGCCTGAAAGGTAATACAAAAAAAGGGAAAGAAAAAGAAAAACAACGCTCAGCAGAATTAAGTCCACCAACTGGGAAAAAATCCACTTTTAATTTTTTCCCGGAATTCTTTTTATTTGTCGCTTTCTCACTATCTGCTAAATCGAAATAGTTGCAACAAATATGAAGTTATCCTTAAAACTTAGCACTGAATTACTTTTTAAGCAAACAGTTTTGGCTTTATCAACGGAGATGTTATTGTTAGACTTTCTAAAAGTCTTTTAAATTAACCCTCAGTCGGGGAGGACTAAGAGTGCGGTGGCGTGGTGAAAGGCTACGTCTATCCGCTGCGCTGTGTATTGCTATGGTCGGCATGGGTCTGCACAGTACATATTAAATAACCTACCATACTTTATCAAATATTGTTAAGAATTACGCAGAACTTTCCGCCAATAACACCCTCACCCCCTCCTCCTCTCGATCGAAATAATCCCTTGTGTCATACTGGTCCTCATCCAATTCAGTTTTTAATTATGTTATCGATGACCCTTATTTTCGATACTTATGCCTGATTGTTTGTTCTTCTGAGTATCCGTCTATACTTGCGAACAATCATAAATAATTTAAAATGGCTTGAGCCAAAGAGCTGAGGCCTAGGCCAAAAGTCGAACTTTTCATGAGACGAACCAAAGTTCATGAAAAGTTATAGAACGTCTGAAGATCGTCTCCGGGACAAACGTCGATCTCCACATGTAACGAAATAACTAATAAATTAAAAGTTTGTATGATCATAAATATTTAGCCTCGTTCGGGAGAAAATTCATTAAAGTTGTAGTTTTTGGTCTGATTCAGTTGATTGGTTCAACACGTCCTAAGTTTAACGTCTGACCGAACAGACGATCTTAACTTCATTTAGGTCGATCCAAATTAGAGTTTAGTTCGTCTCATAAAAAGTTCGACGTTTGGACTAAGCCTAAAAAACATTCCTTTATATTAGGCAGGCACGCGCTTTCTCCTGGCTAGCCGTTAAATAGATCATTACCGTCCCCTCCAGTCCCAGTCTCCTCTTCATGCTCGGTATCACTCAGCTGTGTTGTTGGCTGTGGTCTAGGCGTTCGCACGGGTGGTTCAGCAAAGTCCATCGGATCGCCTCTACAAATGAACAATACAGACATACCTGTTAACCAGAGACTGTAAGCGCAATAATTTTCTTTTCAATAAGCAAAATCAACGGTAATCACCCAAATTGCTGCAGTCGAGATGAATGAACGTCTTCATCGTCAGCCTTTGAGAAAAACAGCTCTTGCTTTCTGATCAGAATGCTGATGAGTTCTGTTACCAGGTTTGTACTTTCCATCATAACCTGGAGATCCTCAGACTGAAATTACAAAAACAGACGCAAAACAGTCCAGGTTATGTTGAACCACCTCGCTTGGACACAACTATAGAACACTCAGGCGAACCTCTCATTACTGACAACTTTTTACACCAGACGGCTCCCTCGTTTCCAAAATGAAGCTTACGATAGAAAACTCCTACATTTACCTCCATAAAATTAACACCACTGTGGGGCTAACACTTCACTCTATCCCAATTTTTGTCCATGCAATACTGTATTTTAAAAGAAACTTTGGTATAGGATTTAATGGAGCCGAAACAAATTGTGGAATTGCACACATTTTAGGCATCCTACTGATGAACAGTTGGTGATTTGCTCAATCGTAACGAATTATATAACGCCCATTCTACATTCACGCTTCGGAGAATCAATGACAATACGAAACATTTTGGAGTACAGTTGAAAAACTGAGACGGGTCAAGCAGAAAGTAAGCGTTTTGAACACCGAGGAATAAACCAGATCTAGATCCCAGTAGAGCTACCAACTCACTCCGGAGCGCAGTATGTTTGGACCAAACACAGTTGCAAGGTTCCTAACGCCCATCTTGTTTTCTTTGCTGTGTTCCTGTACTTCGTATAAAAAACGGCTGTAACAACAAACAAGAAACGATCAATGTAACGAAGAGCCTGCCATACACTTCTCTACTCAAAATAAACATTATGGATAGGTCACGCAGGGTCACGCAGGGCTCGTACTCTTTTAAGCTCTTCAAATTCCATGATTTTTTTCATGACCTTTTCAAGTTTTCCAAGACCTTAGGGTTAGTTGTCACTACCAAAAATTTTCAAAATTTCCCTTGTTTTGGGGTATTTTTTGACCATTAAAAGTTCAACAGAGAAACCCTGGGGTCCACTAAAATGCTCTCCGTTTGCGCTGTTTAATTACTCCTCTCTATCTTACATTGTTCATGCCTTGTCATCTGCAGTAACTAAACTACCAAACAAAAATTTAATTTTCCATGACTTTCAAGGACCGACAATTAAATTCCACGACTTTCCAGGCCTGGAAAATAAAATTCTTAATTTCCATGACTTTCAAGGTTTTCCATGACCTGTACGAATCCTGTCACGAGATGAAAAAATGCGACATAACCTTCAAAAATCAAGTCAGAACTTAAAGAAAGTCATAGCGGCATACCAAAGATATCCGAGCAGAATGTAATTAGGCTTAGGAAGTGTTGTTAGTTGTTTCTGGATTGCTACAATACCATCCTCTTCATACATTTCATAACCTGGTAATAAAAATAACAGCGGGTCAGTTTTTATTGGTACAACCTCCAAAGTCCCCCTCTACGTTCCATCGCTTTCTTTTCTTCGCACCGCTCTCCACTATCTGAACGCTTGGAACAGGCTATTCCAACCAGCAAAATATGAGTAATTTCGTATATTTCAATTCACATCTGGTCTTTGTCAGGCGATTATTCACTTCAAATCTAAATTTGTAATACCTTTTCCATTCTTCTTCATTTTAGAAACATTCTTAAATTCATCCAAACTTCGATAAAGGAAATATTGTATCGGCATGATTTACGTACATCCAAAGAACAAGGCATTTGACCGTAACGCCCCCTTAAATGACAAATTAAGTCACTTTAGATTTTAGAAAAACCAGAATTATCTACAGCGCCTTAAAATAAGCCTTTTTCCAGAGGTTGCGAGGCCTCTGCTATCGTACGGGCGCCATCACTATCAACATCATCTTCTCAACCCCTGTACTTAATTTGGCTTTGTCCAGCCAGTCTGTGTGTCAGGCATTTAATACAACGGGCCTTATTTCCCTTTCAAACGCCTGCCTGCATACCCTGGGTACCAGAGGTTTTTTCTCGCGTGCGACGGGGAGCTTCGTTTCGTCGGCCGCAGGCCGACACGTGTTCGGCCGAAGGCCGAAGACACGAGCGGCGAAGCAGAGCGCCTTGATTTACCTTGCTAGATCCTGCCTCGTACCCAGACGTCTCTCTCGATGTGCGCGCAAAGGAAGGCGGGAAGGAGACTGTACCCTTCCCAAGGTCCCTTGCGGTGTATCACCAGTCACTCGTTTCGCGCTCGCCTCTGCCCGTGCGAAAAACGAAGCGCCTGAGGAGGAGGCTGTTGCTAGATCGGCCTTGACGTTGTCTCTAATCTGTCAATCAAAGCGGCGGTCGCGCGGGTCACTTTTAAGACTTGACCGAAACCGGAAACCGCGCATGAAAAGCCTCTGGCACCCAGGATACTGCCTGCACGGCGCGACCGGCTACAGTGAGACCAGCTAGTTCAGTACGACTTACATCTAGCGGCAGTAAGAAACACTTCAAAGTAGTCGTAAGGAATAAGTGGTTCAGGAAGTTCTCGAAGGTAAGACTTGAGCACTGACGCCACAGAGTGAACCTCAGCTTTATTGGCCTCAAGTTCTGGAATATCTCCTGATAACAAAAACTCAGAGGTTTAGTATAAGATATTGATTGCCTTTATTACACAGTTATTTTTAGTATGAAATAAAAACCAAACCCTAGCCTTGCCTCTACAATTTTAAAGAAGCTCCCCTCTTCAGTAAGAACTCTCACCCCACCTAAAAAATCTCTGAAAAAAATAAGCCCTCAGATTTTGAGAAGATCTATTGCAGAAATTATGGTACTCGACTAACAAAGACGAATTTTTAATTGTTAACAAAGAAGTCTAGCTTGTTAGTACCTCTATTAAAGGCATCTTTTAAGTCTGCCACATTTTTTGCCTGTCCAGGTAATCTAAATAATCCTTCCTCTACTAAACCTAAAAGTAAAATATTACATTATCTTGGTCAAAGAGATACATTGTTCTTGCAAAAAGGTTGAGGACTGTTGCCCCAGTCTCTCATTACAGAAGTGCTGTATAAAAAATTTTGGGCTTTGAACAAGTGACAGTAAGTACTAGGAAAACCAATTGTGTTTTCCAGTCTCCACTGGAAATATATTTTATCTAGTGAACAGTGTTATCCACCTTTTGAACAACCAGCGCCTGATGATCAGAAATATCATGAAAGAAGTACATTGGATAACATTGTGTGGCAAGAAATTCACACAGGGAATTTCTTCAAGTCAGTGCCTATTAAAAAATGTATGAATGAGCTCACTCTACTTGAATGTGGCAAATGCATACCGCTAAGGTGGCTGAACACAGTTTTGGCACTTTGTGAGTATATGTCATTTGCCAAATCATGGTAAGAGAAAGGTTGCAGCTCACAAGCTGAAACTTGCCAAGTGAAAAATATACTGATGAAAGATTTTGATTGACAGGTAAAATGTGATGTTTTCGTAGTTTCTGTGGCAACATGAAAGACTGAATACAATCTTAAAATTTCACTTTTGTTCAGTTTACTTAAAATTCACTCATTAGTTGCACACAGCCTACTATAATAATTATAGTATGATTAATTATTAACAGAAACCCATAAGGGGTTGTTCAACTCCTTACGAGTTTCTGTTATTAATCATTACCATTCGAAATTTATTTGACCAAAGTTTAACAGACTGGTTTTTACATTTAAATCAATAATATAATTGTACTGTAATTATTAAATGTGTCACAAAATTCGTTTGTTCAACTTCCATTTCAAAGTTCTCATTATTTAAAATATGATAAAAGTAAAATTTCTGCCAAATGTCACAAAATTTTAATGAGTAGATTTTGAGAAATCGTCTTCTGTGTTCCATTGCTTTTTTTGCTGCTATGTTTGTTCCTCTAATTTAAAACAAGCGCCGTCGGCCACCTTAAATGTATGCATTTCATAGTTCATGGTGCGTCTTTGTCCCTCCAATCACAAACTAAATTTGCTGTGAAGCACTCAAAAATTAATAACTGAGCTAGAGTGTTTAACACAGGGACAATTTAATAAACTTCATATCGTAAAGTTTGAAGGCCTAGGAACTTTGCCATCATTCAATGTGGAAACAACAGTTTTCTGTTAATCTCTCCCACTCCCTGGACAAAATAACATCTTTTTCATTAAGAATTCATAATCACTTCTTTTGTAATCATGCCTTTTTTCATTATTAAGAATTTTTTTTGTCCCAATTTCATTTCATTTTTTCCATCAGAGACTGCAATTCAAAACAGTTTTTACCATGGCTCATCCTGGTTAATGCCCCTCCATTGTAAAATAACATTATATTTGTATATTGAACAATGTAAAGTCCATTGCAGTACATACATGTATGCGAAATGCACAAAAAAGTAGGCAGCTTAATGCATTGAAAAATGAGTTAAAGTATCTAGTAACAAAAACGAAAACTTTTACCATGAGCTCTAATGAAATCCACACATTTGTGAACAATAAGTGGTACGTATCCTCCACCACGTCTTGTTTCAAACTTTACTGTTTCAGCCAGACTTCTACCAAACATTCCACCACCAAACGGCTGCAATAAAAATTAAAAAACTTTTCTTTTCCAGCATTCATATGTTGAGGTAAAATTCATCAAGTTAAATACATCATCTTACTGCATAAATGATCCTGTTTATGGCCCGTATCCACTCTTCCATTTCCTGTTGAGAGGAAGCAATTAGAACAAAGGTATCATGGCTGCTGGAAACTGGTCGCCCTTCCTTGTCCTTCCCAGCTGAAATAAAATTTCAAAAAGATCAGTCTGGTTTACACTGACACTGGCACTTTTTTCCATTATCTCAATCTAACAGTATTTTATATACATTTGTATGAATTACTCACAAATGATTTCAAATTTGAATTTTCCAGGCTCTCCTGGCTCGGGTGGATGTCTAATAACTTCATTTCCTGCCAAAGGAATGGCAGCAATGGGTGTCTTGGGTTCCTGAATTGAAAGAACAGAATTAAGATTTTGCACTAAAATAACAGCTACGCAGTTCCAGCCAGACTACAGTTCATTCAATATTTAATTAGCATACTAGCAGTAGCCTTTGGCTAGGAAGTGCGAACATGTTGATGTTATAACTTGGTGATGTGATTGATGAAAAGTGCTTTCATAATTGTGTAGGTGAATTTTAGTTCCAGTGTCAACAAAAGGAATAATCACTTCAGATCATGAAAGCTGGATTGAACAACACAGTAAGCAAGACTCATATTTATTTCAACAATCATGATTTTATTCACAGTTGCGTAGGCACAATTTGCCTGCGAATGGTGAGGAGCGATGAGAAAGGCTGTGTATTTGACTGCAAAGATATATTGAAACAGTAATGCATGACAAAAGTATACGTGTATACAGTCATGACTGCACAAAGTCTTATTATTCAATCAAAATTAATATTCAATCCGTGTTCTCAAACTCTTTAATAATTCATACAGAAAATACAAAGGAAATTAAAGTTTAATGAGTGCTTGGAAATCAAATGAAAAACTGCTCATTTTTACATCCTTAATTTCTCCATATAAAATCCTTTCGTTTGCGAAGTAATATAAAGCATTCAACACATTGTTTCATCACCAGATGAAACACCCCAAAGTTCGTCAAAAATACTCCCCTGCATGTCATATTTTCAACTCTCTTCTTAGTGTTTCATCTGGAGATGAAACACTGCATCTCATGCTTGATATTATTACTCCAAAAAATGACCAAAGCCCATTGATATGCAATAGAAAATAATGAAACAACTTAAATTACCACTGGAGTTTAAAGCTTATTGAAGCCTTCAGATGACAAGAAATGAAACATGCTTGGAAAAGTAGAAATATTTAAAAACCATGCACGGTAGTGAAACCTGAATAAACTTAATTTACATCAATTTCTAGACTTGGCTAGCACTCGTATCTTACCGAAAACTTGTCCCGCACTAAGCTGAGATCAGGCCCTACTTACTACTAATAGATTTTAGACCGGCAAGGCGAATCAAAGAGTCTCCCTTGTGTACCTTAATTATGTGTGCTTGTGAATCGAATGTATTATAATGACTGTTGCATCACTTGCATGTGCATTTACATGGTTACCATGACATCAGACAAACCTTAAACTCAATACCAGGGCCTTTGTGGCCACATACCATGCATATTAGTCAGTATAACACGAGCATTCCAAGAATGTGGACAGAATTGGGTAAAGTCTCAAGTGCTGCTGACCAAGAGTAGGTGGCAGGCTCCTTTTGTCGCCCACAATAAGGAGGGTCCACAGTAGCTTTAGTGGGATGGGGGATTTGGCGATTTTTTGTTGTGATACTCGGGATGTGTGCTAAAAACAGAAGCGGGATCAGGGAAGTGGGAATTTCAATAATGAGCAAGAGTGGGATTTCCTTTTTTTTTAATGGGGTTGAGATGTGGGAGTCAAAGGGAAAAGTAGTGAGATTCAGGAATTCATTTTTTTGTGACTGCATTAAAAGGAAGTTTAAAGGAAGTCACAGATAGGAGTACAAGAACTTTTAACATGGTGTTTAATTGGTTGTATCGAGTTATCAAAGCCTTCAAATTATGTTTTTGCTCTCACAAGCATGTCTTTAATAGAGACTTACCTCTTCCACAAGATATGATCAGAGCTAGGTGTTTTAGAAATTGTTTTCAGCAGAGGCTGATTTTCTAGCAGGCTCCAATTTTCCATCATGATTTTTTAAGATTTTGCCCTGCTCTCTTTTTTTCAACATACTTTTGGATATCACCCTGGGTACTTCTGATTTTCTCCTTGTAAGCAAAAGGATGATGCCTCAACGTCACAACCACTGGCCAAAGCCACAAGCAGGGAACAAGAAAGAATTTTACCGTACTTCACTATTTTTAAGACTTGACCAAAACTGATAACTGCCCATGAAAAGTCTCTGGCACCCAGGCTAAAAAAATACCAGCATGCACTGACGCATTATTCAAAGTTCGTAAGACACTCTTTAAATGTTGTTTTCGAAGAGTTTGTTGTAAGCAATCTTACCACTTTGCCTTTAATAGAAACTCTGTTTTTGCCCCAGGAGGGGAATACAATGTGTATGTTGTATTTACTGTCAAACTCAGAAAACTGTGAACACCTGAAAAATTTCAGGAATGTTGATTGTGTACTGGCCAACCACCATAAAGTTCAGCACACGCGAACAAACCTCAAAACCACAAACTAATTACCGTTGCTGTTTGCGGTTTATCATGTGCCTTATTAGCTTATTTCTTACAACACAATAACATTCCATAAATATTTCTGGTGTTCACAGTTTTGTGAGTTTCACAGTAATTTTTTATCTCAGATAATTTTTGTTTTTCTTTTGTTTTTGAGTATGGTAATCTATGCTAATGAAGTTGAAACAAAGGAAAAAGAAAAATTACCTAAGATAAAAAAATTAACTACAACATGTATACACAGAAAGGTTTTGTTGGGGTTTACTGAGCTATGATGTCTTGGACGTTTTTCTTTAAATCTGTCTCCTTTCAAAACCATCAACCAAGTCATTCCATAATTATTCTTGGCTTGGTACTATTTCATTTGTTGTTTTCTAGCACCACTTAGAATATGGAAGCAAACAATTTTTATTTTCAAAATAGACAAAAACCAAGCAAAACAAAAAATAAATGTTACAGACACTAGTGGCAATGTTGAGAAGCTGCCCACTATGTAGACTGTACTTCAATTTCAACAAAGAAACTTGTGAAAACATTTTGGCAGGATTGGGATTTGGAATTTCTGCACTTGATTGTCAGACACCATTTCACGGGAAACCAGTGGTGGCATCACAAAATGTTGGCTGTTTTCTCAGGCTACATTATTTTGTGGACCCTCTATGAACATTCTACCCATAGTATTCACGTGTACAATAGAAGTGTTAAGCGATATGACATTGTTATATTTACTATGTACACAACTGCCAATACTCCATTAGGATTTGAGTACATGACAAAGTGAGTGTATTCAAGCTGATAAAATAAAAATTATGATAATCCATTATTCAGCCCTCCCTTTTTGTACTGTTGATTTGTGAGGTAATGAATCAAGGAAATAAATTGTTTTATGTTTACTTACATTATTATCTCTGAAGTAATATAGCTGATCCCCTTTAAGTTCAAACCATCTTGATCTCAAGTTTCTGTATCGGCCACCAAGCTTACGAAGCCAACCACAATGTTCCTGTCCAAAACAAAATGATTTCAAGTGTTCTTCAAAGTAGACAATATTATTATGTTAAAGGATACACTTTTTCCTCTGCATTTTTTTATTCAAGACTGTGAACATTTGCATTGAAGTTGCTGATAAATATTAGATCTGCAATCCTGCACAAAAATTCCTTGGGACAGTCATGCCCTATTTGTAATTACCTGTAACTTTAAGAAGGCCTTCTTAAAGCAAAGCTATAGGTGAATCTTTGTTTATACTTTTTGCCTCATTAACATATGCTTATCACTATATGATGATGACGCTAATAAAATAAAAACTCTGAATATTGAAAGGGCATAACAGTTTCAGTTATCCCTGAAAATTTGAGCCCAATACACCAAATGGTTTGAGAGAAATTCTCTTCTAAAATTAAACTTGAAATTTTACAGAGAATGTATAGCTCATTAACTTTTTTGTCACACAACAAATTTGCAGTTTTTGATGGCCGATATTTCCTTCAATATTGCTTGTAAAGAGCTTAGAATTGAACAAATTGTTCAACTTAATCAGCTCTTTCAACTTTTGCATTTAGTTCATTATACGGCCACGGCTTCTACAAGCTGGGTCATACCCTAATGAGGAAAAATGCAAACGACGACGTCAGCAAAGATTAGCCTGTAAGGAGAGATAAATGCCTTGCAATTCCTCCTCCCCCCACCCTACACAATGTTGACAGCGTGGAAAAATAGTGGGTACACATGACCTATGGCTTGTATGTGGGATGAGGGAAGCGGATGGCATGTGAGATCTAAAAAGTACTTTAAATGCAAATTTGTCCCAAGTATTTTACAGTGACTGCAGGTGCATTACACAGGAAATTGAAGTTACATTTGAGTAACAAATGCAGCCTTTTCGACATGTCCTGTTATTTTACTAATGATATCATCAAGTACACTTTGCACTTAAAAATCACTTTTGTCCATCCACATGAATCCATCTCTGTTGGAGTAGTCTGCAGTAATCAGTAGAACTTTATTTTCATTCATCCAAAATGGCACTGTGGACTGAACATGATTCGTTTTCCAATAAAGCTGTGTCATAATAGACTGACGGTCAAGGTGACTGTCTCACAGCAAGTAATCAGCTGCTGGTCTAGTCACCTACAGTGTAGCCATAACATATTCTAGAACTAATATTTTTTCACTTAATTCACAGCAAACCTTAGAAACCCTTAAATTCAACATAACCACTATTAACACATCATATTAAAGAAAATCGTCTAAATAGAAGATGGTTACAGAAAAAGTGCAGATGAAATTTAGTTGACCGAGGGGGGCGTAAGGGTTTGCGGTGATGCGGTTTTGTGTTATTTTTGGTGCGGTTTTGCGGTAATTTTTATTTTAACTCGCGGTATTGCGGTTTCAAAACACTAAGCGGTTTGCGGTTATTACAACCTGTAAGTCGCGGTTTTCGGTGAAAAAAAAGTGTCTCCGGTGATAACACTCTTTAGAACGGTTGGCATCCGGTTGTTTTGCAAGCGCGAGCCAAGTGTTTTGTTTTACAACGCATCAGGGTTCATTATATCAGCTTACAATTTAACTCTGTGGTTTGCAGCTTCTGGCCTTTTCAGTTAATACGCCGGTGATTAATCAGTTTGACCCAATGATCGTCGACTTATTGAAATTCCATGCGGATGTTGCTTTCGTACAGCCGTACAGCCTCGTGTTCTCGTTGCTTTGATTTAATTGCGACAATGGCAACTGAGGGTAAATTAAGCAACTGAAAGCCAAAGAGGACGTAGTAATTAATTGCGTGGCAATCTTCTATGAAGAAGGAAAGTAAAGGGAGAATTTCAGAAGAGCTGTACGTTTTAACAATCGTCTTCTCCACTGAACGTGAACTCTTTATGAGACAAGAAGGTCACAGTTCCAGAAGAAACATTTATTCCGCGTTCCACAACTAGCACAGGGTCGTCCAAGGTAATCAGTCACCCAATGTAAGACACGTACAGGATCAGTGACAGAGTTTTTCAAAGTCAAGGGAGATATCAATACTCGTTCAAGTACATGACCAGCATAATTGGCATTTGGTTATTAGTAGTAAATAGAGTATAATAGTGTAGTACAATATATCGTTAGCGTTCTGATGGTATGTTTAATACTAACGGACAATGTTATCAGAATATATCACAGGTCTTGCTGACGTCAGCTTTCGTATTGTGGCCTACATGTACGCGCGGTTTCGGTATTCGGGAAAAAATCCGATGCGGTTTTCGGTTTTTTGGCGTATTTCTGTGCGGTTTTGCGGTTTTCGGACCCCCCTTACGCCCCCCTCTTGACCAGATGCATCGAGAAGTACACTAAAATAACTGGGGATGTGTATAAGCACCTTCATGCTTCAGGGAGAAAAAACTACAAAAGATTACAGGGATCCTAGTAATGTCCTGTCCGGGATCAGAAGATTTTACAAATGATTTTCCTGCTGGGCAAGTACAGCTGCGAGCTGGGCACTTCCTCTGCAGTCATGCATGATTTGTTTATCATGGAAACATTGTAGGTAAAATCAGCTCTCAGGTTAAATCAGCACTCAGTCTAGTTTGATTCAGAATTTCCTTTGTTTTTTAGCTCTAATTATTCACAGTAGACAAAGGGAACTCTGGTTTAACCATAGAAAGGACTTTAAACCAACCATTATAGCCAGCCGGCTCGAAACATTTAGCGTCATTTGATACCACAAATAAAATGGTATGCTAGCAAATAAAACTTACAATCCTCTGCTTGGGTCTTCTGGTTGGTGGTATGGGTTGTTTCTGCATGGTGAATCAAAATAAACTATTCCATAGATTGTAAACTAATCAAGCTTCGCTTTCCGGCTCTTTCCTGGAGAATTGAAATTGGCAGCCATTTTGAAACGCCTCTTCTCGCTAAAGCACTGGGCCGACTTTTCCCCAGTAGAGTCGAGAAAGTGGAGTCGAGTCACACTTTCACACCCATGAGGCTTGCACTTCGAAAGGTCACCTTCACGCTGGTGTATGTTGAATTGAAAATATTTCGCACTTTGTCTTTAATAATATAATTCGCCACTCCCGTTACTTAGCGTTTTGGGCTGAGCACAATGCCTGCATGAAGTCGAACCCTTCCCCCGGCAAAGAAAAAACGGAGCTCCCTCTCTCCGTTTTTCCTTTGTCGGGGGAGGGTACGGCTTAGCTTGAATTTCATCCGATTACTGAGAAAACCCTTAAACGGCTCGAAGCAATCGGATGAATTTCAGGCTAGGTACGGCTATCCCTATTTTAATAACTCCCAACCTCATTTTTTTAGCCAAAAGCCTTGGGGACGAGGTTGAATAATTCCTTATCTTTTGCTTCGGTTGACACAAAACCTTCCAATATTACTCTTACTGTTGCCATATCGAAATGACAACTATTAATGGGCAAATGAGCAATTTCAGTTTGATGGGCTCCTAGCAATTTTAATTATTCCTCGAATAATAGCCGGGGCGATTACTTCTTTTTTTCGCATCAAAAGGGGGCGATTATTTCAAATATTGCTCACTGGAAGTCGTGCGCAAAATACTTTGTTTTATTAAAAAAAAATAATCACATCAAATAAACTGAACATGGGCTTTTTAAGTGTTCCAAATTTGGTTCCTAGTAATTAATTTTCCACTTTAACTTGACAGGGAGGGGTGGGAGGGGGGCGATTATTCATCGAGGGACGGCTATTATTCGAGGAAATATGGAGACGGCGCCGACTACAATGCGCTAATCCGGCTTTAACATCCCCCCGGGATCTCCGGACATTTGAACTTTTTAAAACAAACCCGTTCAAAAACCCATGACAGCCCAATGTAGTGGTCAAATTAATGTCTCACTCAAAGAAGAAATGTACATGTTTTGCTGATTGTGAATTCAAAAAAATAGACTCATGTAATGAAGTTTTTCAAACTTCACTTGTTGATCGGCAATCAGGAAGTACAAAAATTAAACACTCGATCTCGTTTCCATTCATTATACCTTCAAAAATGCAAACGTGTAGCTTTTGAAGTCTTTGCCGGACAAGCCATTCGTTTAGAAAAGCTGTTTCTTTACCTTTAAAATGAGCGAGGTTGTCAGACGTAGATAAAGTTGAAATTCCCCACCCCACCCGGCCAGGCAATGGTCAAATTCCCCACTCCCCTGGCACCAGTGATGGAAAATGCCTGGGGGGTCGAATTGATCGGCGCACAACGGTGACCGACTGTGGATGTCGCTTAATTAGTGCTGTTGGCTCTGTATTTGGGCAATATAAGAGTGAACCAGAATTTTAGAAACCGCGGCACTAAATAAGTTCAGCGCAAAACGGTCTGCATCTCACAACGTTTGTACCACGTGTAATTAAAAAAACGGCTGAAGCAAGCTATTAAGGCTGTAACTAACAGGTGTGAGAAGGATTTTGGGGGTATTTTCTTCCTTGTTCCTGACACAAATAGTTAGTTCATTGTGGTGATTTTTCCTTCGGCCGCCGGCCGGAGTCAGATGGCAAGGAACGTTTACTTACCGAAACTTGAACAACATTAAACCAACCGACGTACGGCGTTTCTTTCTGGCGGAAAAACTGAAGATTAGTACAAGTTGTCTTGCAGTGCGAGAATCTTTGTAAGATACAGTCAAAACTTGGTGTAGGGAAATCCATTTGGAAAGCAACCAAAAAAAATCGAAAACAGCGTCACGCCACCGTAAATAGAAAGGAAAGTAAAACGTTTAACTAGCGAAGCCGCATAATCCATGGCAACACCCCATATCCCTCCCTGGCTTCTGTTTGTTGGTTTCGTAAGTGGTAATATATACATCTTTCGCTCATCAGTACTAGGCGTCTTTCAAAAATTAACAAAATGAAAGTACGAGATCTTCATGAGTTGGACTAAAATAAGACTGTTATATGTAAAACATCGCGACTAAGATCCTCTTAGGCTAAAATTTGCCAGTTAGGCCACTTCTATACAAGAACCTGTTTAGCCTACAATTTAAAACAGGTTCATATTTTCAAACAATCTATAAAAATATTCTGTACAATTAGACAAATAAGATAAGTCAACAATCATTCAAGATCCTCTTGAAAAGAATAGAGGTTCTTAGTCCCGGATTTGTTGTAGCGGTTACGGCGGACTTTAGAAAAATTTCACAGCAAACAAAATTTAGCACTTTACGCCGGAAGAGCCCGGGAATAAAATTTAGGCATTTACATTCGCTAATGGCCGATGCTCATAGGATCGCTTTAAAAAGCAATGTGCACAAACTTTTATTTTAGTTTATACCTTGAAGTCTCTATGTAACGCCCGTTTCAAACGTGGTGCTACTGACGTGCCGAACTAAATTTCGATAAATTGATCGAATCAAATTCGCCTTTAGCACGGCAGTAGCGCGGCGTTTGAAACCAGGTCGTGCTACTGCCGTGTAGCATGGCAAGCTTTGCCGTGCCACAGGGCAGTAACTTGACTTGGTTTCAAACGTCGCGCTACTGTCATATGCCGAACTCAATTCATAAATTATAAAAACATTAGAATACATTTAAAAGTTTTGTTAACCGTTTCTTTATTTTTGTGTTTTGTTTTCAGCAACAGCCGTTCTACTCGACTGAATTAAATTCGACGTCTGAAACCAAGTAGTGCTGCAGTCGAGCTTCAGTCGAGCCAGCTTAGCACGGCAGTAGCACGACGTTTGAGACAGGCCTAACAAGGGTCAATCGCCTTCAAACCATCCCAGATCTCACGAAACGTTGTTTTAAAAGATGTAACAGCAAAATTTAAAATTATGGATCCTTTCATTCCGGGGATAAAAGAAAACAACTTATACCCAGAGGTAGAGGAATTTACCATCTTCCAACGTTTTGGCTTATCAATTCATTTTCAGTTACAACTAGCGCAAAAAAGTTTCTTGTCGGTCTTACACAAACGTGAGGACAAGTCAACAAAAACTGAATTAACTCAAAGGTTATATAGTTTTATTACATACAAAAAGAGAACAAACATCTGCAGTAACAGTGACAAAGACTCAAAGCTCAGCGAACGCAAATAAATAGTTAGATTAGGTATAGTTTGTAAAGGAATTGTGGCCTCGCCTAGGTGGGCCGGTAGGGAGAATAAGATGAACTGAATCCCTTTCACGGTGGCCAAGAGTCCCCTCCAACATTTCCCTAGGCCAGCAGGCTTCAAGAGCCGGCGCCAAGTGAATTTTCAACAAGAAAGGCAAGATTACTAAAAAAACTAAACACAGTTTAAACCGCTCTTCACGGCGGCGTTGAACAGCTTTGGGTTTCTCATAACTTTTCGAGTTATCAACTTATAATAACTGGAGAATGCTTCTATCCTTATCGAGTGGGGCTTGTAACCCAAACATTTGTAGTGTACTATATTTGTTGTTTAATAAAGTAAAAGTATAAATATAATGTTTTATATAACAAAAAGGAAAAAAAGAGAAAGGCAATAAATTTTACTTTCATTCGCTTCTGACACCTGCAATAATCATTCTGCAGCGTTTCCTCCTCGTCATTATATTCGTTACGTACATCTCGTCCTCAAAAGCACATGGTGTTTAGTTTGGTATACAAGGGTACATACGTTGTATACAGTAAATTTTAAAAATAACCCAATAAATACTTGAACAATCCAGACTTACATAACTGGACACAAATATCACTCTTCGCAAAAGTTCAGAGGTCATGCGTGCCTGGCGACGCTTATGAACATGAACACTAAGGCGTTAAATGTTGTGGAGTATTAAATACAATAAAATAGTTTAGCTGAGAAACATGGTACTTCGTTTAAACTGTAAATAAAATATAATAAATGATGACCTTTAAGGTTGCAAGTGGAAAATCCTCTATATTGTTATTTACACAATTAAAGAGTCCGTATAAATTGCGCACATTACAAGAAGGAGGAGGGAGTTTAATACCTCCACAATACCTCCACTGAAGACGGAAATGTCCAATTTGAACTCTCTAGCAGTACCTCTCAGAAGTCTATTTTCTGGTATGGATAAGATAATTGACTGGTCCAGTAAACAAACGGAATTTTCCTTCCGGTCACGTCGTGAAATTTACGAAAGTTTGTAAACTAATTCACAGCCGCAAGGTTAGAAGAGAGCACACAGGGTATCCCAGAAGTTCGTTCCTCTACTTTATAAGTCTGTATTTCAGTATGGTTGGATTTGGTAAGCATATCATTTAAACAAAAGTTGTGTCTTTCAATCTTATTCACTAATTTCACACTTGTTGTGCCATCTTTTGACTCGAACATTCAATTTGTGTACTTCCGCGCCAAAGGTGGGCGTGCGTGAGTATATTTTCCAGCCACAGCCCAAATTGCTCGAACTCCTCCCTTGTATTTTGTGAATATCACGAAAGATAAACCCCCTCTATGCAAAAACGTTCCGCTCCGTGAGGGCATAAGCATGTATACTTCGATTTACTGACTCATCCGTTGTAATAACTGCCAAAAGAGCTAGGAAAATCCGAATGTTGGGTGGTAAAATGATCATGGAGAAATGAAGGTTTTAAAGGTAAGAAACGAAGGGGAAGACCAAAAGTCCTGAATAAAGCAGCTAAAATAGTTTTAAAGAAGGATAGACGAGGAAGCTCTCACATACTTAGCAAGCCAAGTGCAGAACAGGTTCATGAAAAGCGAATGCTTTAAAGTAGAGGCCCCTGAGATGGCAAAAAAAAAACCTCTGCTTAGTCTGCCAAGTGACGCTCAGTTCGTCTCAAATTTGTAGAGAAGTGGACCGGGATGATTATCTTTTTTGGATGAATGCCCAATATATATTTTTTTCAGCTGCCTAAACTAAACAAATGTTGTTTGGGGGTTGAACTGGCTTCTGCGCACCAAGTGATAAAAATGCTCAAAATGGATCATCTCTCGGTCCACAGGCTGTATCCCACTCCATGCCGCAACGGCTACAGAATGTGATAAAAAACAAAAAGGGCACGCCAGTTACTGAAATTCTAAATACATGTACTCGATAGAGAAGTGCGCATCTTCTGGAAATCATTCATATAAAAATAAAGTTTTGATCAAAAGTTATAGTGCAAGAAATTAGAGGAACGAACTTTTGGGAAGCCCTGTATTCAAAAGCTTACTAAGTTTTCATAACCATATGCATGGCTAATAAGAATCCAAAGGTTCGGTGTATCCCACCACAAATATGACGGTCAGCAAAACACCAAGTGCTCTCGCCTTTAACGGTTGATTTCAAGAATAAATTTTTAAAAAGAACAGAACCCCACACAATTAAACAGTTTTAACAAGACCTACAAAACAGTTCTATGTCATTTTGACAAAATATGCAAAATATGCAGGAACTGCTTGAATTTGTGAAATTACAAATACGAGCACTTAGTGTCTGGTTTTTGATACATTGAGAGCCTGGCGATGGTGTGGTTATATATCTGACGCAAGTATAGAATAAAATATACTAAGTATAGGAATCCTTGAACACTTTTTAAAAAAGTTCTCATAGTGGGCACCACACTGAGCTTATACTCAGACCTGGTCCGAGTTGTTCAAACATTGGATAGCGCTATCCCCAGGATAAATCACTATCCAGCGGATAATTAATCGAGAAACCAATTGCGCTATCCACTGGATAGTGATTTATCCTGCGGATAGGGTTATCTACCTTTTGAACAACTGGAGCCTGGCCAATACCAGCCTATCAAGTTAGTTATATTCTTTGCTAAAAAGAAACTAATTGTTTGAGGTTTGCATTTGCGCAGTAACGAGACCGTAGTAAATTCCCTTGAGAGCCAATAGCTCCTGGTGGGTGCCTTTTTCTACCACACGCCCTTGATGAATGACCGCTATGATGTCAGCATTCTGTACGGTAGACAACCGATGAGCGATAATGATGGCTGTACGACCTTCACTTGCACGGTCCAGTGCCGCCTGGACAACCTGTTATGAGAGGCAAAAACCCAGTTATCATTAGGCCAATAGGGTGTTGACCGACCCATTTTTTTCGAAAAGTCAAAAAAAAAAAAAAATTCCAGATTCACGAGTCAAAGAAGAAAGAACTTTAATTTAAAGCACACGATTTTGTTTTATGAACCACAATTAGTATGATGTGATGTCCTTGTCTTTAATTAACATCGATGCTACGTTTTTTAAAGGCTGTCGAGTTGACTTTGTAACCAGGCTTTCTTACTTAGCAGCCCGGTCTTCTCTGGAACCCAGACCCCTTCAAGTATTCATTCTTTTCCCTCTAAATTGGTTTAGTAGAGTGAAAGTCTAGGATTATAATGTGGCTTCATTAAACTTGGCTACGTCCACACGAATGAAAGCGCATACTTATTAACACGAATCGGCCTTCCGTCCACATGAAACCAGTGAACCGGTCTGCGCCGAAACCGCACCGTTTTAAAACCGCACTCCAGAGCGCGGGTTTATGGCCCCGTACACACGAGTACGCATAAAAATATGCAGTTTCCAAAATGCCCAGATTCGTGTGGACGTGGCCTTAATTGATCGACCACGTTAACGACTAAATGTTATTTTAAATACGACACTATCTGTTAACTTTCGTTTTGCGTGAACGGATATACGAGTAGTAAACCAGGCAATCGCTAGGGCGTGGTATTGAAGCTAACTGTGGAGGTATCTCCTCCCCCCCCCCCCCCCCACTCAGCCTCCAATTGAACCGTGTATGAAGTTTACTACGAAGAAGGAAATTCAGGGAATGAAGGCATGAAGAGCAAAGGCTGAAGTGACAAAAAAAAACTTATCGCAAACACAGGCCCCTATGATCACTTTTCCTACTTATTTGTTCCTTCCTCAAAGGACGCTTTTTTCTTTGCTTCTCTTGGCCTGTGGTCAACTCGAGGAAATGGCTCGTGTTCCCATCTCTTACCTTTTCACTTTCAGTATCCAAAGCTGAGGTAGCCTCATCAAGGAGCAGGATTTGTGGATTACGGACCAGAGCTCTAGCAATGGCTATTCTCTGTTTCTGTCCTCCGGAAATCAAAGTACCTTTGTCACCCACCAGAGTATCGTAGCCCTACAAAAGAAGACAAACACAACTTGAAATATTAGTTTTGCATAGAACGTCCTTTTTAGCTTTCCGTGGTTCAGTATTAACCTCATGACGCTTGACAAAGTCGAGAAAATCTCTAAACTGGTTCAAATTCTTTATTTACTTATTGTAACCAAGTAACCGGCTTTGCGATTTTATATTGTTCGTTTTTGGGCCGTTATTTCAAGCCTTGTAGTTGTATGGATAAAAAAGGACCTTCCAAAGCGGCAGGGTTCTAGATCTTTCCATCAAATAATATTCCAAAAGTTGGTAATCCAGTGGTAGAATCTAAATATCTGGCTGGCGTATGTAGCATTCCAGCGGTCCAAAAAATCGCGAAGAGATTTGTCACAAATTTCTTCGTATTCTTAATCCCGCATTTTCTTAAAAATATAATACAACATAGTTTTACAATAATAAAACAATACAACACAACATAGTTTTATAATAGTAAAACAAGTTAGCCAAATAACAGAAATAATCCCGAATACGATCAGTGGAATGCACTCTTATTTAGCGAAACTCTTCACATTTAAATAAACGTTATGAATTTACCTGAGGAAGAGAGTTAATAAAGCTGTGTATGTTAGCCGCTTTGGCTGCCTCTTCTATTTCACCTTTTCCTACTTCACGTGAGTTATCACCATATGCGATATTTTCAGCGATGCTACAGCCGAACAAAATAGGCTCCTGTGACACGATGCCCATGTGAGAACGTAGCCACTGAATGTTCAATGTTCGAACATTATTACCATCGATCGCCTGCAAATAGATCATTAGAAATTTATTGACGTTTTCAATTATTATTATCATTTTTTTTTTTTACTGAAATAAGGACTCATAATTATAATGTCTTATATCATCAACTCACCACTTCGCCATCCTCGGCATCGTAAAACCTCTCCAAGAGAGAAACAACTGTACTTTTACCACAGCCGCTTGAACCAACAAGAGCAAGCTTCTGCCCTCTCTGAACAGACAGCGTTAATCCTCGTAACACCTTGACATCTTGTCGGGTTGGATAGCGGAAACGCACGCTTCGTAATTGAATTGTGCCATTCAAGGAGCCCTGCAAATAGAAAGGGAAAAAGATAGAGTGTCGGATTTCTGCTGGCTAACCACAACTAAGCTTCACGACCAAAATCAACCAAAGGCTAAGGCCTACCTCTAACAACTTTATGCACCATTAATTAAATGACTATAGGACTGTAAAAAGCTGCAATAGTTCCCTATCTCTGCTCTACTCGAAAATGTAGCTTTTAGAATTGGTACTTTAAGACCCGCAGAAAATGAAGTAAAAAAAAAACGTTTACACTGAACGACAGATCAATCACTTTCGCAGAAAGATTCCCGAAGAATAAAAATACCCTCCCCGTTTGTTCTTGAGGAGTCTAGCTAATTGAAAACATGCAGAAACCCATAAAGGAGTTTCTGAAACATGTTAAAGAGCACCTCAGCTGTGCTACGGTAATCATTATCTCGTAACGTTGTAGCAGCATTGTACCAGAATCAGTATCATCGTTGTGTCAGCGTCAGTATCTTTGTTTATAGCTTTCTTACCGGTCTCAAGCCATCTTCAGACGAGCTATCGATGAGGGTCTTACGCTCGAAGATTTTGAAGAGACGAGCCGCCGCCACCTTGGCCTTCTCATAATCAGGCGACAGAGCGCTAATCTGACCCAACACAAAACCCATCATCACGATAGACAACACAACTCTACAAAAGACAATAAAACAAACCATTTCATACTTTGCACAACAGTGAAACCCTAAGCTTCCGTGCTGTAGTTCACGAAGAGCAGTTCCAAGTGATACTCAATAAATATTTTAGGAAATTCTTAGTTTACAGATGATCAAAATTCAAATTTCCACTGACTGGATTAAGCAGCCAATGCATGGAATCAGTGAGAGCACTCCCAACGAAATGAAAACATAATGGATTCAAATCTCGCGGAAAAAACTTCTACACATAGATAAAACAAAGCTAGGGCTTCCGTTCAGAAACTACCGTCGTAATAAATAACGTTCTTTTGTTCTTCTGCCAAACATTCCCTCCTCAACAAGTGCTCAAAAACTGCACGAAAAACTTTTATCCTCTACTAAAGGAACCACTTGGTTACAAGCATTAGTATTTCGTCATAGCCTGGGTAACAGGTTCCTTTCATAAAGTGAAAGTGGCGAGATAACGAAGCCCATCACGCCGACTCTTGGTAATAGAGACCTTTCGATTCGAGGACGAGAACGACTACGAGTACGAGATTTGATTTCAAGTTTTTTCGCGTACTGTCAAAAAATAGACATCCCGGAGTTCTTCATGGTACTTTTTTTCACCAGAAAAGTTAGCACTGTTATCGTTACTGAGGGAGGTTGAGCCCTCCCCCCCTCGATTGCAAAATGCTGAAACTTCTGACATTTGATAACTTGTTTACGCCACTACGACATTCTTGCTAAAACTAGTAGTAGGGAACTTAAGAGGGAGACGTTTTCGGGGCGACGGCAACTTCAACCGGACGTGACGTCATGATTTATGCGACATCGCGCATGCTCTTGCTCACCACATTTGCTCCCGTCGGCGACGTAAAACTGGTCTGTTTGGCGTTGCGGCGAGAACGTGAGTATTTAACTTTCATTTCAATCAGGTTTTGTTGCGTTTAGCGACCAGAATTTTGCAGATTATCGTCCTTAAATTGTCCTTGTTTTCTTTGAGTCACATTTCAAGTGAGCTTTACATGGACAAAATTGTCCTACGAGCCAAATGAAAGTATCCAGACAAAAAGTATGAACTCTGATATTTTAATTGTGTGTTTTCAGCTCACTGTTTTCGTTAGAGTATCGTAAAATGAAACGTATTGAAAATTGTTTAGAACAGTAGGTAATACCACGTACTAACGTGGGAATACTGAAATAAAGTTGTTGTTATTGTTGTTGCATGCAAGCAAATAAGCATTAATTCTCTTAATTCTCTATGTGAAGTCATATTTTCCTCTTCGGTAGTCTTCCAAGGCGCCGTCCTCCTGAGTTCACTGCGATCTTGATGTTCGAATTTGGGAGAAAGTGACGGCTGCCTATGTTCTAGGCTTGCTCTGCCAGTCCGGTCGCGGTCGCCCTGAAAAGGTCTCTATCTTAAGTTCCCTACTAGATTGACGACGGCTTCCACGTTTTCCCGCCAAAATGACGCTGCCTCACGCGCGAGCACTACCTGTTATTGAGAACATCTCGTACTCGTAGTCGTTCTCGTCTTAGAATCTAAAGGTCTCTAATACCGACCCTTTAAGGCGTTAAGGGTTAAGGCGCAGTGTCTATCATCGTTACCAGATGTGGATTCTAAAGAAACCATGGCGGTTCACTTGAGACTGGGTTGGTGTTGTGCCGGTTTGCACTTTTGGACTGTTTTTAGGACACATTTTTGACAAGCCTCGTAAAAGCCAATAAAAACGGGAAGGAGCTAGATCACACCGATCTAAACCAGACTCAGTCACCAGCGGTTGAAGTGAAAACAAGGTTTTGGTGGAGGTAATCATTCTCGCAGGCTCGCACTTTGGTTTAAGTCGATGTTATCAAGTGCTTTCCATAAAAACGCGATCACATCACTCTTAAACAGGTAAACCAGTCTCACATGCAATCTCACAAGGGCTGGCAGTACAAACAGGTAACTGTAGCGAAAAAGTAATTGATATTTTCCACAGTTTAATTAAATGAAGAAGTTATCATCATTATGCTAACAAAATTACATGTACATTTATCGTCATTGTCAATATCACATTTACTCCCCCCTCCCCAGCCCCGAAAAAAAAATTAAAAAAATGGAGGGTTTAAACGAAATTTGCTAGCGTTGCCAGTGCGATACTCGGAATAAAGGCGAAGTAAACAGGTTACCATAGCAACGACATAACCACCCTCTATTACGATATCACAATAAGTAGGAAAATAAGGGAGGGTTTATGGCTTTAGCTTATTAACTAATAAATGAACTTTTTTTGTAAACCACTATTATGATAAGATTGTGACAAGGAATGGTACATTTTCCTCGCTGGAAAGCGTTGAAAACTTCTGTCAGCCACATTATCCAACTCCAATCTTATAACCTACGAGTAACTTTAATTAGCAAATCTTACTTCATAACTTGCTCCATGTCGATCTCGCCTTCCTGAACAAGTTTTCCACCATACCAAAACGCCACCGCATTAGCGATGAACATGAACGCTTCTGATAAGCCAAACGAGGCTCCCTGGAGGTGGGCACGTTTCAAAGCCTGTCTGTTAATCCACAAATTAAACTAATTAATGCCATTTCGCACTTCACTTGCAGGTCAGTTTATAAAATATGTGGGAAAATGTCAAGACTACAAAAAAAGAAATGTTTACTTACTTATAAGGACCCACTAAAGCGCCCGCATATTTCTCATAGAAAGTGTTTTCTCTGCTTAGGGAAGCTACAGTTCGGATATTTTCAATTGTTTCAACGGCCGTCTGTAAATAATAAAGTACATAAAACAATTAATACAGTGCCTACAGTAACTATAACCTGGATAAAAAAAAACGCTCGTCAACAATTTACAAGAACAAAATATTTCATCAAAAAGAAAACGAAAACATCATTGTTACATCTTTTTACATCTTTAGTCAATACCGACATCAATATCTAGATTTCAACTCTTTCGTTTTCCATTGTATTTAGCTACTTTTATCTATCTTGTTTACTATGTAACTAAACAGGATTTTTACAAGGATTTTTTTCAAGCTTTCACTCTTGGCACCCTGAGACTCCTGGTAGAGGATGTAAGAGTTAATTAAACATACAACAACAACAACAACAACATCTTTATTTCTTACATTAAATATACAAATATCACACCACCTGCAAATAGCAAGGCTAATCGAGGCAGGTGGTGTGTAGACGGCTTAAGATTTATTACGAATAGTTGAAGTGAAAAAGTACCATATTTATAATAAAAAAGGTCAATCACACCTTTTGCCATTTTGGCCAAATTTTCACAGAGCTACAAAAGTTGCGTCCGCACTGTACGCACACATGCGCGAAGTTCGACAATTTACAAGAACATCTCACCCTTTAGCGTTCATAAGTTTGGCCAAGTCTTATAAACACTACAAAGGATACTATGAAAAAAACCATCCTGCACGAGGAAACGCTACATGTCACCCTGCGCGCGAGGAGTGAGGAAGATTGCCGCAGCCCAAACTTCTGGACTAGCCAATCTTGTTCTCTCTTGTCAACCTGGTTTTTTCGAGTGCGAGCATCCGTTTATTGATAATCGAGCCCGCTGTCGCAGGCACACGGCTATTAGACCTGGGTTCGAAACTATATCCAAGCAACGTGCCGCGCGTGCTCAACATAGATCTTACTCGATTCATACAGAGTCTTTCTCGAGTACGCTTGAGTACGCCAAATTCGAGCAAGAGAAAGAAAGGCTGCACATGCATGTTCAATTGATACTTTGTTGTCGGCATTTGCAAAATATTATACCTAAATAAAAAAATAACTGAATAATAAATTATTAAACACAACTCCTCGCCTTGCCAGACTGGATAAGGTCATCTTCGCTATCATCAGAAACCGACGATCCCGCAAAGACCTTCATCTGAATAGTACTTGCAACGACCAAAATAGGAATAAAGGCCAGAATTACGAGTGTCAACTTCCAGCTATTATAAAACGCATAAACAGTACAAGCAACAAATGTGCTGATGGACATTGCCACACTACCAAGACGGCTACCGGCAGCCTAAAAACAAAAAATAAATAAATAAACATGACGCTGTATTGTAATTGTTTGGCATTGTAAGTGTTTGTTTGTATCTTAAACGAACAGTTCTATTAAGTAGAACGGCGAGAATACATCAGGCTTTAAAGCAAATGGAATTGAAAAAAAAAAAAGAAAGAAAAAAGAGGAAGCGAGCACGCGTTGCCGGATCATAGCGAATGATCGCAGGACAAGCATAGTATCATAGGGGAGAGAATCCGTATAGACTAAGGGGAAGGAGGAGCGCGTGGATGCTCTGAGGAGGGGAGTTCAAGGAAACTAACGTTTGCAAATAATCGGCTTCACGCATGACATTACGCTTCAAGTTTCATTTTAGAACTGCGTGGAAAGGAGTGACCTGACATGACTCAAGGCCTTGTAACGCACATCATGCTATTTAAGCTCATCTCCATTACAGCTTAAATAGAAGCTTTATGCAACTCAAAAGGAAAATAAAAAATGAAAGTGATCAGTTACCCACCCCTTGCACAGCGGAGGCGTGTGTTGCTAATGCTGTAGTTAGTGCTCCAGTACTGTGTAGTGGATCATCATAATATGACATATCCTATTGAAATCAAAAGAAGAGAACGACACCAATGCTGATAACTATCACTGGTCAGGGGACCATTGTCATATTACTAATTTAAATCAAGTGATTTCACGCAAAACAATCCCTGCAGCGTGCAAAGAAAGTAGTGTCCGATAGCCCGGGGCTAGTGAATTTTGCTATCGGGCTAGTGAATTCTGTTTTTAACTTTGAGGAATTCGAATAACAGAAGAACTGTGAAATCAATTCTGCTCGTCAAAAAGCTTTTGGGGCTAGTTGAAATGACGTCTGGGCTAGTAAATGCTAGCTTCAGCTTACCCGAATGGCAAGCTGCAAAAATGATTTTCTTAGCACCCTGCCCTGCCACAAAAATTTAAATTAAGTGATTGCCTTCTTAACAATTTCAAAAACGTTTTTGTAAGAAAAGTGTCTCGTTAACATTGTTTATAAGTTCCTGTGCACTGTAAGTGTGCCCAGAGAAAGCGCTTTAATGTGTTCTGACCTGAGAACAAGTTCATGGGCAGTACTTTTGTACTGCGCACCTTCTACTGTTTCTTAAAAGTGACTCTACAGTACCTAAGTTATACTGACCTGTCTTAACATGGCTTCAAATGCCTTCTGCCTCAGCCGCAAAGTTAAAAGTTCACCGGACTTGGCAAACATTGCGCTCTAAAGAAACCGGAATGAAGCAGGTTGTTCAGTTTTGGTCAATAAAAATACTGTGTCTAGCTTGACAAGTTTTAAGATAAAAATCAGGATGGTTATCTTTGCCACGCTTTGAGTTTTAAGGATCCCACAAGGCTCATAACTGCAATAACCAGAGACTAACGGGGAAAGACCGAAGAATACTCATGGCTAGAGTAGCTACTCTCCAAAAAGTGTTATGGTTTACTAAGGCCTGTTAAGGACCATCCGGACGGGTTCACCTTCGGACGGTTGGTAACACTGGAAAACATTACACGGCGATATTTCATGATGCGTTTTAACGCGCAACCATTTAGAACAACATGACAATCGTATCATACTCAACTTCACCAACCGTCTTGATCTGCCTTTAATGTTAAACTATAATTGCTTTGTGCTATATTTGGATAATTTCATTATTCGAGTACAAGGCGGTGGCCACTTCTATAAATAATGAACTAGTAACTATCAACAGCAAATACATTGCACGAAATAACAGTCTTACGATAATTATATGTAATTTAAAAAGAGAACACCATTACCTGGATAAACTGGGCCAGAAAGCTAGCGATAGCGATAACGAGAAACATGAGCGCCCAAAATTCAGATTCTGTTTTCATTTCAGATTTGCTGGACAGCGTAAAGACCTGAAATCAAAACAAACAAGTTGAAAATTTAGCCTTGTTGCCCTTGCCATGCAATGATCTATCCAGATCTTTGGAACATCGTTCGATCTGTTTCTTCTCAATACCTGGTAAGCTTCTGCAGATAGCTGTCTTTTTAATTCAAACAGAAAACAACATTACGGGATTTGCTTGATCTGACTCTAAAAATTAGGCAAAGATACATGCAAGATATCGATTTACTATAGCTTAAATTCAGTTTGCACGAGAATCTGTAAAATGTAATTTCTAAGTTGCTATTATAATTACAAACTGTGCTTTACTTACACTGAGAATTTCTGAAAGAACAAGAGCAAACGCAAATGGAAAGAGTCCATTGGCCATGCCAGCAAGACTTCCAAACAACAAGTATGGCCACTCAGGAGTGTTCAACTTAATGATGCGCATCACTGGGGCAGGTTGCACTTCTTCTTCTATAATCTTCTCCTTGCCATCTTTGTCTTTCTTGCTCTACGTAATATGATAAAAACGGACGCTTACATAGCCTGCGTGGCAGGCGCAAAAAGGGGCGGTGGAGGGGGAGGGAGAAAAGCACGAAAGAGGGGAGAGGGAAGGGAGCGCCTGCTATGAGAGCCGGTGTTTTTGTAATCCGCCCACCATTTTCTCAACTAATCCGATAATGTCACTGTCAATACGTGACCAATCACAAGTACGGGGCTTCTCAGCAATTTGCGGACGCCCGCGTCCGCAGAAATGAATCAAAGGGGGTTCTTATAGCAGGCGTCCCTTCCTTTTTCCCCCCTACCCTCCTCCCTTTTTCCCTTTTTCCCTTTTTTCCTATCCCCTACTCCTTTCGACGCCCGCTACGCAGGCTAACGCTTATACTATCTCATGTACAATCTGATATTACTAGAAATCTGATCTGTTATAAAACAGTCAGTGTAATTGTAGCCATTCCAGAACACTCCAGAATAATTTAGAGAGTAGATGAAAGTGACGATATCGCTAACCTCAAATGCTTGCAAGTTCCAACTGGTTGATCATTGTGTATTTTATCAGAAGCATAGGGTAATATGTTTCTCAATGTACCCAATAGTTCACTTGTACCAGCCATTTTTCTGGAACACTTGAGTTTTCTTTTCTCCTAAATCAACACTTAAGATAGTACTAAGTTTTATAGAGGCTGAATATAGCAGCTAACCTTGCCGGCAGATTTGGGTCTGTCCATGGCAGAGCTGGGCCTTCTCTTAGCTGACAGTCTGCGTGAAGCTCTAACAGAGAGTTTTCTTTCAAACTCAGTACCTTCATGTTCACTATCACTAGACATGCTTGACATGCTACGCATAAAATTTGCAGCCGCGGTTGACTCTGAAAAACAAATCAGCCCTGCATATTAAGTGACAGTCCCTATTCAGATTAAGAAAATAAAATGAAAGAAACTGTAACACTCAGATTATTATTATTTCCACTAAAGTTGTCAAAGTTAATAATAAAGACAAAAGGCTACCCTTGATTCCCATTTTGCGATTTTTTAATTCTATTCTGTTTTTACAAAAGCAATAGAAAACTTTCTTGTTGTGTTTGTCAGCCTGATATAAACACTCAAGTCAAGGGGTTGCAGAATTCTTGACGAATTCTCCAATGATTAAATTCAACTATGTAATTATGTAGGTAACCTAGCCAGTTCCTAAATGTCCAACCAGCAGACAAAGATTATAAGCTTCAAATGCTGAAGCGTATTGTACTGTGTCACATGGCAAGGCATTCATCATAAAGTGATTTTCGGGAAATGTGTAATGAAGGAAGGATATAATCTCAACAGACTTGTACATGTATGTTAATCTGGCTTATGGGAGATGAGTACAAACAATTTAAAACCTTTTGCTTCAACATCTTGTCCTTCAGTGTCATCATCATTGTCATCACCCTCGTTGCCTTCCTCTTCAAAAGTCTATGGAAAAGAACACAATATTTTCAGAACACAATAAAGTAATGTGATCTTTCACAGCAAATAAAGGGGCACTACATGTAAATCTGAATTAATGCGAAATCCTTTTAAAGTGTGTCTAATTATTATTGAGACATGCCGCAATAGATATACCTGTAGTGTGACTAACTGATGATAAACTCCATCCGTTTGCATGAGTTCATCATGGCTGCCTTGCTCAACTACCTCACCCTCCTGAATAGCTGCAATGACATCAGCATTTTGAACTGTTGACAAACGATGAGCAATCACAATGGTTGTTCGACCCTGACGAGCCTGAAATGAAAGTTCAGAGAAACAGATTAAAAATCATTGGCCTTCTCTTAGGTTAAAAACAAACATTTAGCACTAAGTCTTCATTGCAAAATCATGCAGAACAACAAACTTCACAGCAATTGCATCACCCAGGCAAGCCGATCTAAATGGCAAAAATGCCATGTGGAATTGCAAGAACTCTGAAAAAACTGTTAGAACTCACTTGGTCCAAAGCAGCCTGTACAATGGATTCACTTTCACTGTCTAAAGCTGAAGTGGCCTCATCAAGTAACAGTATTCTGGGATCTTTAACAAGGGCTCTTGCAATGGCTATGCGCTGTTTCTGTCCCCCACTTAGCTGGGTCCCACGCTCACCAACAAGTGTTTCATAGCCCTGGCATTTATAAAAATTAATAAAATAATGTCAGAAAGAAAAGTTCATATGAAAGTGAAAGTGTTCCTCACGTAATATATCAAGAATGATTTTAGAAGGAGATCAAGGCTGCAAAAATGAGCAGTTTTTCATCTGATTTCCAAACACTCACTCAACATTAATTTCCTCTGTATTTTCTTTATGAATTATTAATGAGTTTGAGAAAGATAATGAACAACATACTCTGTAAACAGTGGAAAAAGAAAGTGGCAGGCATTATATTTCTCTAAATCAGCTGACTTTTGTTTTTGTCTTACAAACTGCAAACAGTGAAATGGAGCGATTTTCAAATGACCTTGAAAAATGGTTTTGGTAAGTGCTCATCAGTTTTTGTTGCTGTTGTTGTTTTATTGGCGAATGGATGAAATCATCAATTTCCCACCAAAGAAAACCCTAATATGGAGAAGGCATTCTTCCATTGGCCAATTGTGTTGCAGTATGATGTCATAGTGAAGTATCCATTGATTTCTAGAAAGTTCTTGGGGCATGAAGTTTTTTCACCCTAGTGTTCGATTAACCAACCAAAAGCCATGCACGTTTGTATCTATTTGATAAACCACTCAAACTGCTCTAATTCCGTTTGTTTCTTGTTTCTGTTTTGTTGGCGTGTTTTCATTTCAAAGTCATATGAAAATCGCTCTAATATAACTAAGAAGTACACTACATAAGATCAAGGATAACAGAGTACATGTACTATCCTTAATAATTATACATCTATTAGATGATAATAAGGACATCAATTCACCAAAAGTTATCACCTGACTTATCTCAACAGCATAACACATTATGCATGACATAATCAATATTTCGCATCTTTTCTTCATATTGTAAAAACAACTAACCAACTAACCTGTGGGAGTCTGGAAATAAAATCATGAGCATTAGCCATCTTTGTTGCGTTAATAATTTCTTCCTGTGACACACCCTCCTTGCCATAACGAATATTTTCTGCTATTGTAGTGTCAAAAAGAACAGGCTCTTGACTCACAACACCAATGTGTTCACGCAGCCACTTCAAGTTCAAACTGCGAATGTCATGGCCATCAACAACCACCTTAATCAACAGAAAAACCATCTTAGTACAGAGACTAGACTTATGAAATTCATATATAATATGTTGCAGTTCAGTTTTATCCTGGATTAAAATTTTATTTTCCTTTGTTCCCAACTCACTATCAGGCATTAGCATACCCAAAAGAGAAAAGGTAACAGATACTTCCTCAAAGAAGAATATACATCTAATTAATTAAATGGGGACAGTGCCGCTTAAAGGTTTTGAAACTGTCTTTTTTGACAGACAATGAATAGTTCGGTTTTATCAAAGAACTTGCTAAAGAATTAACAAAACTAAATATTAATTTTTATTGTTCACCATTAAAAAAAACAAAAAGCTGACGTTTCAAGTGCTAGCCAGACCATTATCGGAGAGAATAGGCAGACATATCGACATAAAAGATCCCCACAAGACTAGTACGTGGTCAGGTGCTGGAGGCACTTTAAAAGGAAAACTGTAACTGCCTCAAAAAATAAACTTTTTTCCTGTACTGATGCTATTGGGGAGTCAAAGTTTTAAAAATGTACATGCCTAAAATGACAACAGAATGAAAAATTTCTTGTGACATAATCTTCCTATGCTAGAAAGTGAGGGAGGGGTACTCATGGCATTATGACCACACCATTTGGGCCTCATTTGGCTATGTATATGGGGTGTCATGATTTTGGGGCCAATTATGCAAAATCACACCATGACAAAATACCAGAATTATAGCCCTGTCATGGGTGCTTATTTTTCAAGGAAATACACGATATAACCTTAATTATAAGATGATGTCCACTAGTGAGGGTTAAGGTGGCTCGACTGGGTTTTTTTGCGTTTAAAAGTGACACAGCAGTCTTGACTTTTACTTTTCGTTTTCTCTCCTTCCCTCTTTTTTCGCTTTTCTTGCCTCATCTTTTTTTTCTCTTGCTGGGCATTTAGTAGGCTTCATTTTGGTGGGAATAGTTTTTAGGAAAGCTTTTAGGATCTTAGGATTAGGGGAAAGGAAAGGTAGGTGAGCAATGGAACAAGATTTTCATGGAGATTTTCAGGTCAATGTTACATGGTTTTTTGCCTCTTTCTCCGGTGTCCTTGACTGAATTGTGCTCATTCTGGTATGGTTTGAAAGATCTCTTCACTCTGCACAGGTTAGCGGACAAAGTTGTCCTTGACCGTTAAAACTGATGATGTCACAAAGGGTAGAAAGGACGTGGATCCGCACGGGCAGTTATGGGCGGTTCAGGGGCAAATGGGTTAATTGGAAAATTATTGTAGTTGAAGTAACAGAGACCATTTTAAGCCCAGGCAAGTAAAAAGGGAAAGGACCATAATGGCCCTTGAATGCTTTTGGTGGGGGCCTATCCTCGATCTTTTGTGGGATTCACGCAGTGGCGCACTCTGGCTGCAACACTGGACATTACATGTAAGGATTAATTACCTTGCCACCACTAGGATCATAAAATCTCTGTAACAGCTTGACAACTGTACTCTTGCCACAGCCACTTTCACCAACTAATGCAACTGTCTGTCCACTATACACAGTCAGCGTCAAACCATTCAAAATCTAATAAAAAAACCCATTTTATTCCAACTTTCACTCATGCCAAAAATCTAAGGATGCAATTTATGTTGGGAACAAAAAATCACTGGTGTTCATTTTTTAAATTCTATGAAATGAATGCATTTGACATTAACGCTGTTAAGATCTTTATATTTTTTAATTTTTTTTTGCTAAATAAATTAATCCTCAAGGATCATTCACAAAATAGCTTCCACTATGATGGGATTTATATTTTTTCCTTTTTACAACAGTTATCATTTTACACTGTGCAGTTAACCTTAAGCAACTCTGGTATCATTAAATAATAATTTTAAGTACCTTTATGTCTGGTCGTGATGGATAGTAGAACTCAAGGTCTTGGAACGTAATATCTCCTTTGAAAGAATTCTGGTCAAGGACAGTACCCTCAGTAGAACTGGAGTCTATTGGAGGTTCCTATTAAATATAAGTATTACAAAAATAAAAATATACATACGTGTTACATATATAACATGGCAAGCTAGAAAGTCTGCCTAAAACATTTTATTACTTGCCACACCACCTCTGATCTCCCATCCCATGAACCTTGCTTAAAATTATCTTCTCCACACTCCAACAGAAAGTAACTGAAGGAATTTCAGCTGAAGGGAGAAGATTTGACTGCTCTTTAATCAAACTGCAAACTTTGTGCATTGTACTCAAATTGGAATTTCCTGAGATGTTTGGCAAGGGGAGGCAGGAGTTGGGTTGGATATACACTGTGATCAAAACTGATAATGATTAACTCTTACCCTGTCAATAATTTGAAAAACGTGATAGGCTGCCCCTTGTGCTGTTGTTATGTCATTAAAATTTGGACCAGCTTGGCCCAACTGCATAGCACCAAACATGACTGAAAAAAATACCTGTTAAAAATAAACAGCTGGTCAATGCATGTAGCATCAATAAGGGTGATGGTATGTGAAGGAATAATGGCCATAAGATCTGGCACTAATACGTTATGGTTATACAGTTGATTTGGTACATTTCCAAATTAATTCATTTCTGTGACTGACTTTTTGTCCTCACCCCTTATTAAGGGCAATTTTACCTATTATGAATAATGCAGCTGAGCAAATGATTTTTGATGAAAGAATTTGAGGGATCTTGTTAAGTACTAGGGGTGTAACAATTCATAATTATTCCTTGCGATTCAATTCGATTTTTATCATTCTGCCCTTTGATTTCCATTATATAAATGTTTCTCAATTCTTATAACATAACGCATAATGTTAACAACATGCAACCCTAAACCCTCAATTTGAGAATAGTAACATATGGACAGGAGGATTCACAGTCGCTTGGTTCGTTGCCATGTTTGAGAACCTGACAAAGAGCGTGTCGCATATAATGATGGTTTGCCTTATTTGGAAATTCTCAAGGGGTGGTTGAAGGACAGTATTTTTACCAGGCAACACAAAATGGCGCACAAACTGCTGTCGTCTCTGCTCATCAATCAAAAATGCACATTTTAAAGAGTTCTGGATTCTGATTTCACAATATAATAACTCACTGAGGGTACCCTGGAAAAGGTGTGCAAAAATCGAACCAAAATCAAAACGTGGAAGCAAAGAATCGTGAATCTACCTGAATGTTCATAATCACGATTAATCGAGAATTCAATTAATCATTACACCACTATATACTTGTTACCATTAAGTGTGTATTTCGGTAAGGATGTCAAAAAAGGGTGCAAGTGACAAAAATTAATCTTGCTGGAAATGACGGCATTAGCTGTTACATGTACTCACAATAAGCAGGTCTCCTCCAGTCAATTCATCATCTATAACAAGCTTCGCACCATACCTTAAGGACAATGGGATATTAACAAATAATCAACATGGTACAACACAACAAAAAAGTTACAAAGCAGAACAATACATAACAAATTGGGTGAAATTGTAGTCAAAATTGATTAACTCACCAAAAGGCCAATGCATAACTGCCAAACATGGTGAATTGGAAGAAGCCCATACCAAGTCCTGACATGATACCTTTCTTGATACCAAAGTCTCGAGCTTTTCCCAGGTGAGAGGAGTATCTACAGGATAAACAAAAAAAACTGAATCAAGGTAATTATTGCCAACATGTGCAGTCAGTGGCAACAGCACATTTAAAATAAGTTTTTATGTGACTTATCTTAGGCTTGTTTTTCATAATATTTTTACTATTAATAGTTCTTAATTTTTACTTGCTACTTATATTTTATTCTAGAGGATAGTTTTTTATGTAAATTGTCAACATTGTGTGTCGGCTGTCCAAATGATTATTTTAGAGGACCCCCATAAACACTTTTAGTAGTGGCAGGCTCTTTAATATAATTTATTTTATCAATTTATTACAATATTAATAACTTTGAGGCATTTAAGTCAACATTTAAAAAAATCATACAGTAATCATGTGCAAAATCACATTGATTGAGCAAGTATGTACATTGTGTATTGTCCAATAAAACTCAGTCACGTGTAAAAGCTTTTCTCTGAACAAAAAAAAGGAGTGTGCACACAAACACTTCATGTATACACTGAAGGCATGAAAAGTTTCAAAATAGATATGTGTTGCCCTGGGAAATATATGTACTACTTTTAACAGGTGTCACCTGGCAGCTGGCTGCTGTCATTAGACCACTTAATATGTGTAAATAAATTTCAGTAAATACAATGTAGTATACAACTGACCTCTCAATTTCCTTCTTCTCCCCACCAAATGCTGCAACAGTTCTTATTGATGACAACACTTCTTCAGCAATGCTTCCTGCTTTTGCATAAGCATCAAGTTCTTGGGCAGTTACAGCAGATAGCATCTAAAACATACAGAAATCCTGAAAATTTCACCTCATAGAAAATACTCAGTTAAGGTTATAATTCCCTTTGGTTTGGCACAGCATATCACTTACAGGTAGGGAGCATAACATTGCAACTTCAAAGGAATCAGCAATGATTTTCACCAGTCACCTAAAAAGAGGTAATTATGGCCCCTTTTGTAGTTCTAATGCTTTTCATAGCAATTTTGATAATTCTAGCCAACTAAAAAGGTGTTTTTACTTGTTATGGCTACACAAAAAATATATGTTAAGGAGAAAAAAATCTGGATAGTAGAAATTGAATTTTTTTAGATATGAATGACGTGAATTTCCGTATTAATTTTAGAACCACAGAGACGCATGAGGTAATGTTCAAAATGTCCATTTCTTTACATTTTTTCAAGATGGGGTAATTTGAGATTACTTAACTGAAAAATATAGCTCAGACAAACAAACAGGTCTATTATAGTAAGAATCATACTTTTAAGTTTCGAACAATTCGCATGCAAAAGGAAAAAAAGACTCAGAAATATTATTATGGGCACACAAGGTGAAAACAAGCACGGTTACCCCATCTTTTCATTGTTTTTTTAATGTAATATATAACGGCTGAAATTGTGCCAAGTTTGAAAAAAATGGATGGTAGATCATTTTCAAGGGAATTACCTAAAAAAAAATAACATACAATACTAATAAGATAAGAACATTTTTGTTTAAACAGATCAAGTTCTCTTTTAAATGCCACAACAACTTAATAAACACAATGGCAGTTTAAACCACAATGACCCAAGGATAATGGTACATTCTGTTCACTTGGCCACCTGCATTTAAGCAGTTAAAGGTTTTTTTGGCCTGTAAGACAGTTCATTTCTTTAAAAGCTTGGAGGATTGAAACCTTGTTTTATCTTTTTCCAGTTGAATTATAAGGAACAAAGCTGAATAAATATCGGTTATTGCTAACATTTTTGGTCATCAAATCACAAATGCCAATATGAAAATTTTTCTCCCTTATCTAATTGCATTTGCACAGTATAAGAGCAATTAAGAGAAAGCACATCTTTTCTCAGCTTTGGTACCTCAAAGCTTTAAGCTGGTACACGTAAGGGTAACATGCATCACTGCATTGAAAAGAACATACCTTTGCCATAATACCACCCGCGATCATCAACAATGGACTGATGGCAATGATGACAAGAGTAAGCTTCCAGCCATACACAAAACCCATTATAAAACCCACAAGAACTATTGTGATAGCTTGAAGGAACATGCCAATTTTTGTACCAATACCATCATATACTTTGTTCAGGTCTCTGTGCAAAAACAAAACAAATGAAAATGAAAATGCTATTTAATAATAAATAAATGCAAAAAAAATTATAATAATATTTCAAGTTTCTTTATAAATTCCTAATAGACGAGGCAGTGAGGGGTACAAATTTTTTTTTGAGAGGAGGGTTGACAAAGCTGGATTTTACTGATAAGTACAAAATGTAATAAAAATTAAGACACAATATATTCCCATTGTAGCAATAGATTAATTAAAACCCACTTCTTATCTAAATGTGACTTTTTTCAACAATATTTTTTTCAACACTTTTGAGTCATGAATGATCACCACTCTTTTTTCTAAGAATGCTACAGTCATGATTGACTATTTAATGCTTGAATCCTCAACCTAAAAATTTGAGTAATTACTAAGCAGTGTTCCGGCCAGAAAATTCTACTTGAGGGCCAAAGTGGCCCAACAACCCATTTTTAGGGGCCAGATTTTTCAAGAAAGGGCCAATATTCCGCTTTCTTTCTAATATGCAAAAGAGAAGAAACAGTTGGGAAGTTTAGTAAATTAAAATGGCAGTTTATTTAAAGCTGACATGGAGCATTCCTTTTTAAACACAATAGAGTAAATCTTCAGCAATAAAGCAAACATTAGTACAATCAGAAATAGCAAGTATTTTTTTGATTGCTGAATCATGCATCACACTGAAATCATTCAACCAACATCTGAACAGAATTTTTTTCCATATGAGCTGGTTTTTGCTCAGGATAGTCTCCTCAGCTCCGCTGCACCATCTACGTTTTCCAATTCACCGTCAAGATCTTCTTCTTATCACTTCTTCTGAACTGCTTTGCCACCATCCACTTTTTTGTTACTTACTGAGAAAAAAACTTTCGATAGACCTCAAAGATGTGTTTGCCAGGTAAATCTCCCAAGTCATAAACATGTTGGCCGATTCAAAAAGATTCATTGATTGATTTTCATGTTATGTAAACAGGTACAGAGTTGTTGTTCTTTAGATTAAAAATTATGTTTAATTGGAAAATTATTGTAGTTGAAGTAACAGAGACATTTTAAAACCCTGGGAATTAAAAAAGGAAAGTCCACACCCTGGAGTGGATATTTTCCCGGACCTGTCTCCAAGGGCTAAGCCTTACTGTGGGGTAAAATGCAGCCGGGGATTGCACTTCCCTGCCACAGATTGTGGAGCATGGGGGGACAGGGGACACAATGCCCCCGCAGTAGAAAGCCAATAAAGTTGTTACTTATGGACTAGTATTAGCTAAGAGTCTGGGTACTTCTAAAATGGTTGCAAAGAATTTCTATGTGTATTGTTACTTACTCAGTGAGTCGACTGTTGAGTTCTCCTGAGTCATTGGTGTCAAACCAACCAATATCCTGTCTGAGTATCGATCTAAAGAAAGCCAAGCGCATTTTTTTCACTTGGCGTGTTGCAGTTAGCGACCACATTGCCATCTGTCCATAGGCTACCACCAAATTTCCAATTGCCAGATAAACGTAGTATAAGGCAAATTGAACCATTTCTCCTTCAAGATCAAAAGGTTGCTCTATGGTTGAATTAGCATTTACTAAGGCTCCAAAGTTAATGAATTCGTCAATGAGATCACCAAAAATGATGAACTGTAGAGGAACTGCTGCACCATGGCCAATTGCTGATAAAGTTCCCAGGACCATAAGTATAATGTCCAACCTATCACTGAACCGGAACTGGCAACAAAAGAAAACATTTCGTTTACAGCTAATTGCCATTAAAACTGGTGTACATGTAAAAGCTCCACTTTTTTTGCTTAAATTTTAGGGTGTAGCTTATCTACTATGCAGATAAAGTGTACAAGGCAATCTCTTTTGACTGGGGTAAAACTGCCTGCCAGTAATTTGGTATGAAAATTAAGAACAAAGATTAAAAGACTTAGCCTCGGCTTAGCAAATAATCAACTTTCAAACAACTGGGCCCTGAACTCTAATTGACATAGAATTGCACATCTATCTGCAAATCTGGTGGCAGTGATGCCTGCAGCTGATCATTAAAAGAGTCATCTTTCCACCAAGTTCCAAAAAAAAAAAAATACCGCAAATATCGGTGGGCCAAAGACCCACAATTGTGTTGCTTTTTCTTACTTTAACAGTGTGTTTTTAAATGAGATTGCTGAACTCTTCTTTACCAACAAGTGTTTCTCTATCCAATTGATGGCCTCTTACACATTATAATAGGCAAGGTATTGATCAGTAATTTCAGACAGTGCCTCTTGCTAAAATATCTAACAAAGTTACTTACCAACTGGCGTAGTGGCACTGCAGGGGGTTTCTCATCCTTCCCTTTCTTGTCTCCTTTTTTGTCCTTTTCACTAATGCACAGTAATACAGTCAGTATTATTTCAGTACCAATCAAATGGGTTGTCTTTTGTGGATATATCTACACATGTACTGTGTGCCATTAGTACTCTCATACATGCATTATATTTCTAATTATTAAAAACTGAATCATTGGATAATGCAAATCTAGAGCTGTGATTGGCTTAGCCATCACAGTAGACATGTTTGAGCCATTATACCATGCTCTCAAAATATGATAACTGTATGCGTCTGCTCAAAATGAAAAACAAGCTAAAAATCGATTGTTTTTACAAATAAAGTTGGGAAGAATTCTCGATTTTTGTGGGTGTTATTATTCCACTCACCATTGTTGGATATGGGATGATTATAGCCAACTCTGCGATACCCATCTCGCTGGCTATCTACCATCTCGTATCCAACGCACACTCATGGAATAATTGTTAATAAACAGACTTCAAAATGTCTGTTTTTTATTCATGCTTTGACAGGGAACATGAGCAAAGAACCTGCCAGTGGATTTAACAGGGACAAAAAGTTGCAAAATGTTCATTATATAAATTCCATCATAGAAAATTGAACAAAACTAGGTTGAAGGTTTGAGCCAATAAGGGCTCAAAAAAACTTGAGCACCAGAGCTGTGACAACAAGCCACAACTCCTCAGGACAGTGAGAAGCTGTAACATATTACTATACAATCATGCACCTGGTTTTTTCCATCCTAACAGTATTTAGGATAGACTAACTTATTTTACTCTACATGTACCCTCCGCCAGCACAAAAACCATAACAGATAGGGTGTCTGTTCACACAGCAGAAAAGTGATTTCAGTGTGATTATTGTAATAGAGTGAAGGTGCACCACACCAATCTTGAAAATTGATTGTCATATTTGATTCACATACAGCTATAGGTTTCTGTGCCACTCTTTGGTGGCGCACTGCCGCCCAGTTTAATAGCTCGATAAAGCACTGGTCTGCCGAGCTGAAGTCGCGGGTTCAAACCCCAGCCGGACCAACACTCAGGGTCTTAAAATAATGGAGGAGGATGTGCCACCTTTGTTGTGACATCTACAAATGGCCGTCCTAGTCTTGTCAGATAAGGACAAAAAACTGTAGGCCCTGCTTCAGAGCTCTTTCAGACCCTTCACTGTTCTGATTCTTATGGGATATATAAGAACCCACACTGCTGTTCATAAAGAGTAGGGAGCACAGACCCCAGTGGTTTGGTACAACCTTTCTTGGACTGTGTGGGGTAATGAAGGGGTTGATTTCAATTGGGACTTAGGTCCTGTTTCATCCCCTGTCACCATGTTGAGTCACTGTGGCAAATTCAATAAAGATCAAGATTGCTGAACAGGTGTTTATTCTAAACTGGATAGGTTTTCATGTCAACATGCAAAGCTATCCAGTGTGGCATGTGTCCCCTTATAGCCTAGTAAACAAACTGTGGTGTCAATTTATTTCTTTTACTATCAGTCACAGATAACAATTTTAGATGCATTTTTAACTAGAAGCCTTTTAGAACAACTTGATTTCAAATTTTAAAAGAATGTTTCCTTAAATATAACGCAAAAAAATTAGCGAGTGGTCTGGGTGACCCCTCAAGATGGTCTACATGACTCCCCACTTGAAAGAATAAACTGGAACACTGATCTGTCTTTTGCAAAATCTGAAATTTGGGAAATGAAAAACTGTAATTTGTAAAATGAAAATCTGTAGTATGGTTAAAATGGTTTCATGGTAAAATAAACTCCAATGAGTTCTTCTGGACAAAATCCACACTACCCCTGCAAAGGGCATGCTGGAAAATGTCATGGGAAGGGGGATAATGGCTCTGGAAATCCAGATGGGAGGGGGGGTCTGAACCTAAAACTAAGTACATTATTGGGAGTTCGAAAAGTTTTGAAAAAACTGCTTTGCGTTTTCAAATTTTATTATTCTTTCAAACTACAGACTTCTTACCACCTTTATTTTAAGTTTCCATCCATACGCACAGCTTTGTTACTAGTGTAAAAGGATATGTGATAACTTGAAGATATCATATGACATTTCAACCTTGAATTAAACATTTTTCCAATTAGGTCAATGCTATTTCAGGGAGGTTTACCACTTGACACATCTCAAAGGACAGCTGAAACCTTTGAATGGATTGATTGTGGTTGTTCTAATGGTTCTGCAGCCATTTTGAAAGGCAAGTAGTGTAGTCAGCGGTATAGTGCATGAAATAATATCCCACCACTGTCTTTTGACTTTCTTTTGTAGTCATTTTTTTTGGACAAAGAAGAGACCCTTTTATTTGAGTACATAAGTTTTGAGCTGTACTGTGGTATAGATTGCCGTATATTTTGCCTGGTCTGGAAAAAAGAGATGTTCACTGAAATGTGAGGTTATTTGCAAAATGTGTAAGCCTGCTAGAAGATTTTTTTTTTTTTTTTTTGACAACAAATTAACAACATTAATACACAGCAAAAAGTAAAAGAATAAATAAATAAATTAGTCAATAAGTAACAAAACAAATTACAATGAAGATAAAAATATTTGGAAGATATAAAACCTGTCAGTTGCCACACATATTTAATACTCTTTGCCACGATTTTCAATGCAATATTGTTCAAACAGCTTCTGTAAAAATTCATCTAAAGTAGGTTTCGTTCCAATGTTGTTGCAAGTATACAAGTATTTCTTTTGCAGTAAAACCGATAGACAAAGTTTGCTTTGAGTTGAATTCAGCATTTGCATTGGAATTAAAGGAGTCATCGAACGTGTTAAATAAACATTGCTTGTTTGAAAGTTGTACGTTCTCTTTATGATATTCATTAAACCACCTTAAAGTTTTGGAAAAGAATTCCTTTGACTATTCACAATATGAAAAGGTGTGTTCAACTGAAACTAGATTAAGGCAGAACGGACATTCGTCATCAGAGCCTAATTTATATTTCACACCCTGATCAAACCATTGTTTCCAGAAGACACTATTCCCTTCTATCGTAATTCTCCAGTTATTCTAAAGAATGAGGTCATTGTTTTTATCGTATTCTGAGAATTTCGTTAGTTCTTGGTATTGCTGTCAAGAATTGCAGTATAGTAGATGAACTTAAGATGGAAGGGCAGGCCGCTATATTTATCGAAATAGAAATTCGGTATTGCCTTCCAATTATCATCACAGCTGCTAATCAGTCTAGCTATCCAGCCTATCCTGCTAGAAGATGTGAAAATATAGTCTTAACTTTAACAACAAACACAGATTTCAATAAGAATTGGGAGTTATTTAAAAAAAGATTATCTAAATGCCTAAAAGAATCTTCTACATTGAGTGTAATATCTAACAGTTTTTATGGAAATCCAGATGTGCCTTCTGCTAGGGGAGGGGGGATTTTTTCTGGAATAACCCAATGTGCCTTATGTTACATATTTCTATAAGAATCCTTCCACATATTAACAACAGTTAACATGCCGTACTGAAACAAAAAATATTACATTTCAATCTCATCCATCATCAAGTTTCCCGTTACTTTATAAAATCTTAAAACACGCCAGTGGCATTGTTATATATTGATCAGCTGACCAGTATTAATTACAGAAGTTTCTTTCTCGGGGTATTTCAATTTTTTGAGATTTGGGGAGAATGTGTGACGCTTACTACTTTGAGTCACATCTATAAGTTTTGGGGACACATTTGTTCGGTCAAAGCAGCATGGCATTCAAGTTGCCAATTTTTTGGCCATCAATTCTAAAGAAAAATATTTTCATTTTGCCAATTAGAGATTTCCATTTTGCAAATTACAGATTCTATTTCACAAATATTATTACAGATTTTCATTTCACAAATTGCAGATTTTCATTTGCAAAATTAATACAAATTTTGCATAGTACAAATAATTTCATTTTCCAAATTACAGTAGTTATAGTAGGCCCTCTGGACCTCACTCCATGGTCCCTGATTCTTGATAATACCACCCAGAAGTAAACAAGTAGTATTTAAAGTATACTTTGAGTATACTTAACAAAAGTATACTTAAAGTACAAACTTTTGGTCACTTAAAAAGTATACTTGAAGTATACTTCACAAGAAGTGTACTGTGGGTGTACTTCCAAGAAGTATACTTGGAGTATACTTCAAATTATTATTCACCGAAGTGGAGGTGGATATTTACCAAGGCTGCAAAGTGGTGAGGTAAATATCCACCACTAGTATGTACTAAACCAGTGAGATAATGGGCACAAAAATGATGATTTTAACTCAATTACTGTTGCCAACGATTACACTTTTGGCGCACAATGACCAAACGGCCTTGGTCGTCACTTTTCCTTGCCAACACATTTAACTGTTGAAGGCATTTGTTTAGCTCTTGTGGGGAAATTTCTTCAATTAGGAGTTGTGAATTCCTTTTGTATTTAAAATCATTCTGTAAAAAAGATTATCAAATTTAGTTTTAAGCTTATTCACGAACAAGTCAACTAAATAAAGTAACACAACACTTAAGCTTCATTTGCATTGGTAAACAAAAAACTTTTCCACCGGTTTTTTCGATAAATTCAAGTCAAAAGGACAAAGCTTTACCCGTTAAAACTTCGCCACATTTTTCGTGTATTTTGGGAACAGCTTGCTTTATTACTTGTGAAATTTCTTTGTTTGTTACGGCAGCAAACCGGGAAGGCATTTTGCTCCCAACTTACTCGAGTTTGGCGTCGCTTGTTTGGAGGATCTGGAGGTGAATCGGTGAATGGTGCAGGATATTCACTGATTGAGTAGCCAACGCGCAAAAAACACTATCCACTGTTTTAGTATAATACTAATATTCATTGGTTAGTTTATCCAGAAATTGAAGTGCTCAGCTTTAATGGCAAAGAAAAACATGAAAAGTTGGTTTTACCAACTGAGAGGGTTTAGTGTAGCCTGAATTTCATCCGATTACTTCGAGTCGTTATTACTCCCTCAGTAACGTCTGAATCGACCGGCCGTTAATGCCATCCAGTGACGTCACTCACTACCCAAAAACCAGGTAGTGATTTTGACTGGTTGATTGTCTAAACATTTGCTTAATTATGTATAATCATGAAAAATTTTAGCGGGATTGTCATTTGATATTCAGTGGATTGCATCCCTGGCATTCTTTTGTGTAGTTCAAACATTTCAATGAGCTTAATCTTTATCTTAAAGAGCAAAATTGCCCTTGTCTTTGAAACTGAGATGCTAAATTGAACTGCGAATGAAGGATCATTGCAGAGAGTCGGTAGGTTTTTCATTTAGAGCGCCGCTTTGCGGTTTCTGCGGCCGGCGATTTTGTTTATGTGAAGTTTTCTGCGATCAATGTTATAATTCAGCCTTCTTGCTATTTTCACCATCAAGTGTAATGATTCTGCATTTTAGCTTTTCTTTCTTGTTTCCTTGTTCTTTCTCTTCATTAAGGACCAAATAGCTTCTTGTTTTTGAACTAAGTGTACTGTGTGTGTGTTTATTCCATTGCGTGATTGCGACCGAGTTTGATTATAGAACTACAACCCGTTCAGAGTTGTACTGCAAGCAGTTGATAGTTTGAATGTTAAACATGAATTACGATCGAAAAATAGAGCAATTCTCTATCATGCAGAAATTTCCAAACGATATTTCTCGGTTTGCCCCTGGAAAATCGTGTTCTACTTTTTGCATGAATTAAAGCAAAAGTCAAGGAGAAGTGGAGTCACTGGACGGCATTAACGGCCGGTCGATTCAGACGTTACTGAGGGAGTAATAACGACTCGAAGTAATCAGATGAAATTCAGGCTAGGTTTAGTGCTCAAACCTCTCTACACTGCACAATTTACATCAGCTCACAAAACCAACCAAATGTTTTGCTAAATACACATATCAATAACTTAGACGCCCAAAGTATATGTCAGATTTGTTTAATACTCTTTGGCTACAAAGTTAATTGTTCCCTTACTTTATCAACGAAATATGTCTACCATTTATGGACAAAAACTGAAACAAAATGCGATCTAACGAAAACAAGACTTGGGTTTTATATTTTTGAACTTACACGGCACTGTAGGCGAAGTAAACAAGCTTTCACTTTGTAAACCTTAAGGCTCGTGTGCAATTCGCAAATGACTGGCAAAGGAGAATCGATATATATTTAAACGACTGGAACCGATATATTTTTCACCACAAAACTTACTTGTATCGTCAGAATTCACTCATGGTGTACTTCTTTTTTTTTTCTTTTCAAGTTCCACTCATGATATTGTACTCGATAAAGGAAATATTCCAAACGTATAAATATCTTGAAGACACTCTCAGCGAAGCTGAACAAACTTTTCCTTTGAGTCTGTATCGCCCGCCAAAACCATATACGGAAGTAAATGATTCATACATGACCGTATTAGGACGTCAACAAGATCCCGTATATGTTCCGACGGTACTGGAAGTCAGCGGTAGTTCAACCCCATTCATGTATTCCTTTCCTCGTACGTAAAGATGGCCCCATCGACGCAGTGCACGATTGGTCACCTGCACGATTTGGGGATAACTGTTAAGGACACAAAGTTTGTGATTGCATCACATGAATCACTATACCTTATTAACATGAGTTTTAAGTGACGTTACCCCAATATCATGCCGGTCTGTTCTACCATTCACTTATCATATGAGGTGGCACAAATTTGGTTCACCAATTTTAGTATCAGTAGAAGGCTTTAAAACACGCAGCGTCACAAGGTACAATACGTATCACAAAGTATCACAAGGTATCACAAAGTATCACAAGGCATCACAAGGTATCACAAAGTATCACAAGGCATCACAGAGTATCACAAGGTATCACGAGGTATCACAAAATATCACAAAAGTATCACAAGGTATCACAAGGTATCACAAAGTATCACTAGTTATCACAAAGTATCACAAGGCATCACAAAGTATCACAAAGTATAACGAGGTATCACAAAGTATCACAAGGTATCAAAAAGTATCACAAAGTATCACAGAGTATCACAAGGTATCATAAGGTATCACAAAGTATGAAATATTTTTCAAGGTTAATTGGCGTGCATGAATTTTGTTTCACTTAATTTTCCCCTGCACGGATATTTTTTTTGTACTTCGCCCGCCACCCCCGTAAGTTTTCTAATGGTCCGTCCCTTATAGGCAAACCTTTAAAACACTAACATGAGACAGTTGATTTGTAACTATTTTATCCCTTTGAAACTACATACATAAGAAATGTGGAAAAAAATATGTCATAAAATCAACTAGACTGCCAAACGTCCCATTCACCCCTTTCTGGATTTTCTGGATCCACCCCTGGCCATGTTAACACTGACCTGTTTTTTCGTTAACAAATGTTGTGTTAAATGATTATTATCATCAACGAATGGGCTCTTTAAGTAAGAGTATAGTGTCATATATAGTCAGCATCTGGAAGGATATCGGACCGTTATAAGCCTTTTTGAATTCTTTGCAAAGAATACTATTACAGTCATTACGCCTCACAAGGTCAATAGAAACCTGAGTATCTCTCTGCACGTCTGGCTTGAGCGCACTAGAGCTAGGGATTAGACTATCTCTGTATTGTACATCGCAAAAACATCACATGCTTTTATTCGCTTGACAGTAAATAGTTTGCAATTTATACGCTACATTGTCATATGTAGAGTAATTGTAGATTCTTCTACAGGACTGACACCGTGTGGAGACCTTGATCCACTCAATCCGTAAACAACCACATCACATTGATTGTTTACAGAGAGAGTGGAATTCTCACAGACCAAGCACATGTGGAGTAATTGTAGATTCTTCTACAGGACTGACACCGTGTGGAGACCTTGATCCACTCAATCCGTAAACAACCACATCACATTGATTGTTTACAGAGAGAGTGGAATTCTCACAGACCAAGCACATGTGGAGTAATTGTAGATTCTTCTACAGGACTGACACCGTGTGGAGACCTTGATCCACTCAATCCGTAAACAACCACATCACATTGATGTTTACAGAGAGAGTGGAATTCTCACACACCAAGCATATGGAAGTCAGAGGAAATAAAACTTCTCTTTGACTGTGCAATTCAGAAAAGACGTTTGATACACAATCAAAGGCATCAAAATCCTCCACGACGTTTGGCTTAGACTTTTAGAAGGGACGTTTTCGTGCGGAACAGGGCAAGAGTGAAGAAGACTTCAAAAAACTCATGCATTCATATGTCACTTGGAGCCTATATTTTGCCACAAACCAGCTCTCTAATGTTATCGTGTTCCATCAAAAATTCTCAAAACTGGTCAAATAGCCGCATTGACATTGACATTGACTTCCTGTCAGACTAATGTGCTCTCAATTCAGAAACGGAAAATTCAGCACCCCGTTTCTTCTACATGTTCCCAACTTCTGAATTTATTCACTGACGATAACTGACCACGACAACAATCATGTAGAGTTTTGCAAGCTCTACAGAACCCACCGCAAACAAAAGAGTAAGGACAAGGGGATTAAAGTTATTCTCATGCGTGCATGGTGCAAAGATCACGGTGCATAGATGGATCAAAAGCTAAGAAACTAAACAATCTTTGAGTGAAGTTCGTAATCACAAAGCTAGTTAAACAATTGTTGTTACCTTGCCATCATTCTAAGTGCATAATTCAAAACAAAAGATCTGAAAGCATATGCCCGCATGCAATATCCTGTTTAGAGTCACAAATTGTTAAGGTGGAAGTAAAAAAGCAGCAACAAATTTGGCAGCAGTCTTTGTGATACTTGTGATACTGTGACACTTCACAAACTGTGTAATGCAATCCTCTACTCCCCAAATCCGGCAGCAAGTGTTGAGTTCTTGTTCTGCTTCTGAAGGTCCTCATAAAAAGGAGGTAAAACGATGCGGGCCTTAATTACATCCAGTATCTTTTACAGCCAAGTGCAAAAAATTCTACGAAAGACCTTAAAGAAATGACCAGAATGACCTGTGCGACTTTGCTTATTTCGCCCAGGGATCGGCGGATGATCTTCTTACGAAGTCCATCGAACATGTGTGCCTTGTGTATCTAGAAACCTGCTATATACTTCACCACTCTGAAGAAATGCTTATATGATCTCATTGTGTCCTTAATAGATGAACTCTGAATTGATCTGAATAGTGTTTTGAAGTTAAATTATACTTAAAGCAAACTTTTATTATACTTTTGTTTTGGAGAGCAAGATGCAGACAAACCTAGATTCTCAGAATGTGTCTTTTAGTTTATACTTCAAGTACACTTAAGAGGGTCGAAAAGGGGGGGGTTGTTGTGCACGGTTCACGGGAATTAAACCAGACTTTTCCAGAATCATGCAAAATTCAGCGTTTGATTTTATTTGTCATCCATATAGTATTGCAGAACTGAAGTGTCAACTATTTTGAATTATGCATACACAAGAAATAATTGTTTTCACACCCTAAAATACTAAATTTATGCCGGAAGTGTCTCAAATGGTTTTCTCTTGGCTTTAGAAGCCTGTTTAGTTAATTTGGAGTTGCCCTAAAAACTGTTTATCTGTTCAGGTGTCTTAGGGGAACTTTGGTTGTCACGAACGTTTTTGGCTTTTTCGTCTCATCCGAAAATGTTAGCTACCCTTATGGATCCGGTAGAAAGTTTGAGGACACAAAGTAGCCATGCTTTCATTAAAAAATTACAGGAGACGTTTTGTCTTTATACCCAAAGTTTTAGGACAATAATTGCAAAACCTTAGTATTAAAATATGAATAACACAACCTCCGAAAATCATAGTTAAGCTATTAGAAAACCTCCCAACATTTAAGACAAATGGGACGGTTTTCCAGAAATTTTAAGCTTTTCTCAAGCTTTAGAAATTTCTAAGCAATATGTGCTCCTTTGAACAGTTATTTTACAGAAACAATTCGCTGGGTGCCCCTGTACTCTATACAAGCAGAACTGGTTACACTTGCACTGACACTTACACTGGTTGCAATCCTTTAGTGTGATGCATATGTGCAAGAACAATATCTTTGCCAGTACTTTTGTAGGTCTCATAACATCTACATCTACTTTAATACTCTTCAACGCTATAACACATTAAGAAGAGTTAAAAGAATAAAAATGTAAACAAAGCTAATAAAAAATAATTAATAAATAAATAAAACATGTAATTAAGAATATAGCTATACTTAAAAATAAAACTTAAAATAATTTTGCACTGCAAAATGCTGAATAATTAAGTGATCTGGTTTCAGGTAATAAACAGTTCCAGTCCCTTATCGTTCTCGGGAAGAAACTATACTTATAGTAATCATGATGTATAGATGGTTGAATAAATGAATTCATCAAGTAATAATTTCTAGTTTCCCTAATAGACAATTCTACAACTGGTAATAAGGCGGAATAGGCAAAGCAATACCATTGTACACAGATTTATGGAAAATTTGTAGACGGTGGGATTTTCTTCTCTCGCTTAGTAAACCAAAAGAGAGGGATTTCTTCAATTTGGAGACGCTGGTGTTATAACTATAATCATGTTTAATAAATCTCACTGCACTACTTTGGATAGCTTCTAGTTTCTCCACTTGATTCTGTCTATAAGGATCCCATACTGCAGTCGCATACTCTAGATGTCGCCTGACAAGTGATACATCTGCTGCTCGTTTGGTTTCTTCAGAGCAGGCATACAAGTTCCTTTTCACAAATGCAAGTGAAGAGTTCCCCTTGTTAGCAATGCTGTCCACATGAGAGTTCCACCGCAACAAAACATGTAGCAAAACACCTAAATAGGGATGTTGCCGAACAGCTACCAGGGTTTGGTTGTAAAGGGTGTAGTCTTTAACTACCGGGGATCTACTACGGAAAACAGACATTTTGTAGCATTTGGAGGGACTGAACAGCATTTACCACCTATCAGCCCATAGGCCTAGTTTGTCTAGGTCACGCTGTAAAGCCAAGGTGTCATCATTATGAGTGACTTTATGATATAATAAAGCATCACCAGCAAACAGTCTTAGTGTACATTCTAGATCATCTTGCATATCATTGATGAATAAGGAAATGACACAGACTGTACAATACACTGTTCACTCTCTGAGGCCTGCACGTTCTACCACGTGCCTTACAATTGCCTGCAAGGAGCAGTGCTTTCTCGATAAGGAATACCTACACGCTCTTTGCTGCCAGTCCACAACAAATGCATTCATTGTATTTGAGGATGTTGTTGGATCCACATAATAGACAACACCTTCCAAAACTTGGAAAATGCCTCCCTCACTGTCCGTGCTTAAATTTTTGTTCGCCATATTTCATATGATATCAAATACACGTCATGAAAGAGTTATTTGTGCGAGTCATTTATTTTGATCATTGTGATATCTGCACATGTCTAGGATGTGCATGGCATTTTGTTTATCTTTGTTGACAGACATGACCTTGATATATCAAGTTCCTCAAAAGTTTAGGTTGAATATTTCACGAAAAATTAGCTAATTAAAGACCCTGTTCACGAATCTCGAGAAATAAGTTAGTTATTTCACGAATCACAGGATCACTTTTTCTCACAGATCACGAGATATATATTCTTTCATTCACGATTCACGGCAATCAAAAACAGGCGTTCACAGTTCACCCAAAACCCCCCTTTTGACCCTTACTTAAGTATTTGAAGTATAAATGAAGTACATTTGCCAAATATACTTCATTTACACTTTTTTCTGGAAGTACAAACAAGGTATACTCCAAATGGACTTTTTTTCTGAGAAGTACATATAAAGTATACTTGAAGTATACTTAATTTCGTAACACAAGCATACTACGCTGGTACGAAGCACCTATCAAGTTACAGGCATCCATGCGATAAACTGACCCACACTTCCATGTCACATCCCTAGATTTACCTCCAAGATAAATAATTTGAGTGAACTAGGTTTTGAGATTTAAGGTTAGCAGACAAGAATATGAAGAACAAGCGTGTGTTGGTATTTAATAGATTTTTAAATAACTATCGTTTGGTATTTGAAACCTTGACAGCAAGTGAGAAATAAACTTACATTCAGCGATTTATACGGCCTAAGAAGCGAAACAAAGACACTTCCAGGTTGACTTTCTCCTCACCGTCGGCGCCGCCAGGTTCTAGATGTTTTTCCATCCCCTGTGCATAAACCACATTATGTACCTATAGGTAGCTACTATTCAAGTTTCAATAACTTAGTCAATGCGGCAAGCTCTGCTGCAGCTGTTTGTAATAAATTACGTAAGAATCCGGAGTGTGCCGGCCGGGACTGAATGCGTTCGTGGCGTGGGGCTTTTTCAGCACTGCCTAAGGTTGCATGTAGTCCTGATCACGCAAACCTAACTTTCTAACATCTATCAACTAATTTATTCTAATGGTGTTGGCTTACAACACTCATTTTTAATAAAGATTAACAATTGTAGAGATGCCTCACCTATCATCGAGGTCTTTATTAGAAGTAGTGCCATTGGCAGTCGCTTCGCCGTTCATTTGATGAGGAGCAATTTTCACCTCGAAATCGTCGTCATTTTTTCCAGGGTATGGGGGAGGAGGAGGGAATGGATCACTTGCAGGTCGATAAGTTCCAACTTTACCTTCATCGATACCATCCATGACTAAGCATGAAGATTATAAAGGTGAAAAATGTAAACTCTGAACAATGTTCCGGCGAAATCTGTAAACACCGTTCCTTCTTGTTTAACTTGTTCTCAGTATACTTGCTAAGAAAATATGATGTAATCTCAAACACATGGAGGTCTTTTATAGGTTTCCGCTGAGTAACAAACACTTTTCAGTTGAGGTCAGCAATATTAGCAAAGTGAAAATATACAAGGTCGAATAGGTCGTGCGATAATTTTTGCGCCCCTCAAATAGCATCTATTGCGCATGTCGTAACAGACTGCTGTCAATAAACACTGGCAAACATCACTTGCAAATCAATCGCGCGGCTTCAACACCTGCACACCCCGAAATTTTTCTCTTTAATTTGTAGAAAGGTTACAAAAAAAATTCCTAGGGAGATGATCAAGTGTGACAAATCCTGTAATTTGAGTACGTGCAGATGCAAAGTCAAATACAGTTAAACCCTTGTGATGCAATAATTTATACGTCATACATGCATCACTTGTTCAATAAGCGGAAATAAAACAATAGGGTGAATCGTAGCATGAAGATTGAACGATTGAGCGGTATTGGTCATATTTTTTTGCAGGCTACCAGGAGCCTATGAGGCTACTCAAAATCAAATCCTTAAGAAAGAGAAACTGTGACAATATACACGTATAATTTTTAGCTTTTTGTCATACAAAGTTTCTTATAATTTTTGTTTCTCCGTTTAGGAAATCGCGTCTTCATTAATTTTAGTCCCGGCTCAAAGTGTAAAGCAACCTTTATTTGACAGTCTTGCGTTAAATATATCCTTTTTTTTAAGCTAAAAAACTTTATCTGAAGTACATTACTTTACAAAAGTGTTTAGTGGTTAAAAATCATGTTACTAATGAAAGGGTTACAGAAGACACCGCCATTGAGGGCCTCTTGTGAGTTTCGATGAGTTAAACGTGCAGGATGCAGTCATATCCAAGGTCGAGTCGGTGGCCATAGTGAGTGTTGCTGAGTTAAAAATGTTCTGCACTCACTCAGTTGTCAGTTTTATATGTGGAAGTAATGAAGCCATCCTGGTGTTCTTGACGCGAGATTTTCAAGATCAGACAGCTTGAGTTTTAAGACCCAAACTCTTTGTTACACTGTATTATTTGGCACAGTAACAAATCCTTTTATTTCAAAACAAGACGATAGAAGTATTCAAATGAACAATCAGAACACATGACACTCAAGGGAACTCGAGTGAAACGAGTTTTGAGATTTTTGAAGTTCTATACAAATAACGAAAATTGAACAAACCGAATAGGGAGAAGGAGACTTTTTTCAACTTTCATTCGAGTAAATACTCAAATGAACCATCGCCGAATTTGTATTTTTAAAACAACACCTGTTCAGTGCAGGCCGAAGTCACGGAAGAAGTTGATTTATTATTCATTCAAATAATGATGAGCAGGTAAACCTCCTTTTAAGGAGACAGTAGTCCTTTCAAAAACTACTTAGTTTTTCTCGGCCACGTTTTCTTACTTTTTGCGGTTAGTGTGCGTAACTAATCACTTTTTCACAAAAATGCTTAGTCACGGCAGCCCAGTTCAACGTAATGTGCGTCAAATCGAATTTCCTTAAACCTATCAAAAGCAGCTTAATTAAGTTTTCAATATTTGTTGAGGGGCTTTTTAACTCCTTTTAAGGAGAAAAGTAACTGTTCCCGTGAATTCACTAAAGACCTTTGTCCAGAGTGAACACTCGTAAAATCGATTCCTTTTAAGGTATCGTGAAAGACATTTGACGTTTAATATCAGTCACAATTCTTAGGAGCCGTCGACATATTCATTTTTTCCTCTCTTAACGTTTAAGTCAGACCCCCCTCTCCCCCCTTCTTAACGTCCACTTGAAATTTTGCTGAATACTGACATGCACTAACGTGAAGATGTCAACGGAATCAACACAATTTACTGCACAATTCTCTTACCAGTTCATTTGCAAAATCTGTATAACTGCTTTTTTCCAGTCGATGTTTTTGATTTCCTACAAATTCAGGCAGAATCACTGGCACATGGCTACAATGTTTTGAAGGTATGTATTGAAAAGAGCCCAGTGATTCCAGTTGTGTTCACAAAGTGCAAACGTGTTTACAAAATCAGCAAACTAACCACAACTTTTGATACTGTATAAATTTATTTGTGATTTGAATAGAGTTTAAAAGAGCACAATGTAAAATGTACAATCGGTCCTGCTTTCTCTTAAATAATGTCACAAGGCGCCGTTCCACACATGACGTAAAATTTATGACAATGCATCAGTATGCTTTTGTCCAAAAATGCTCCGCACTAACGTCCACTGCCTTACCCCCTCCCCGTCTAAACGTCCAGTTGACATTAAGCGGGGAAAAAGTGAATATGTCGACAGCCCCTTACACACTGAAAATTTATTTATTTCAGAACTTAGGTTTGCACAAGGAATAGCAGGAGACGATTGCTTTCAGTATATGGGCCCGGACAAAAACGTACAGTGATACAACGGCTGTGTGAAATGGATGGGCACGCACGGGACTACCGTTGATGAACCTTTCAAAACTACAGTCTCCGGCGTCTTCTATCCTACTTTCGTTTGCCGTGAAAAGTTTCACTATCTTTTCTGGGGATTTTTTTTTTTCGGGAGGGGTGTGGGTGGAATAGCCGGTGCCTACGGGTTGAAATTATTACCTATATTGTGCAACATCCCATTTTCGTTTGTTGGGCAAAGATTTCAGGAACCTAAAAGCGTTATCTTTCTAGGAAATTTTTGCGGTGGAGGAGGTGGGGGAAAGGGGGAGAGGGAGAGGGGAAAAAGGGACATAGCCTGTGCCCGGTAGCCGACGAAATTCTTGAGGGTTATATGTCTTAGAAAGGCTGTAGAGAACTCAAAGGACTGGGGACCGGTTCAGCCGATTATCGTTTCTCGTTGCATTTAAACAGTGTAGAATTAATAGAAGTTACAAAAAAAAAAAAAAACAGCTCAATTGTTATTTCTGTTATTTGTAAACGAGAAACGAACGTCACCTTTTTTCGAATGGAACGGATATAAGGAGTCTGAAAACAAGTATATATATTGACCATTACTAAATCATTTTTAGATACCAAAGGTAACATGACCTGGGAGCTGAGGGAAGTGCATTGTACGCATTCAGTATCTACTGAATGCTTCGTTGTGGCAATATTTTTCCATAACAGACAGGAATAGATTAGTCGGTAATGTAACAATAATGACAACAATATTAACATCCTGATTCTAAGCAGAACTAAGACAACTACAGTAATCAATATATATACTTGTTTTCAGACTCCTTATATCCGTTCCATTCGAAAAAAGGTGACGTTCGTTTCTCGTTTACAAATAACAGAAATAACAATTGAACTGTTTTTTTTTTGTAACTTCTAAAAATATGTTGTTTTTTTTTTCACACCCCAGAACATGCTGGGGCCTTATATAACAACGATGGGGGTATGATGTAACATCCCCCTTTTCCAAAAACAAAACTTTCCATGAAAGAGTATCTCAATTTGAACAGCTGATGATCCGGACCAACTAGAAAGTTCAAAGTCTGATCACAGTTCACCCGCTGAATGTTGCCATAGCAAGAGCCTATAACCCGGAGCGGGCAACTCCCATACGGACCAGTTTATTTTTAGACAAGTGTCAGGGTATTTTTTCCTGCGCAAATAACATCTCCACCATGTCTATAAGCGCATTCGTAGTATAAGATATCAAAAAGGAAAACTAAACTTTAGTAAAAGGCAAAAAATATAATTTTTGGGTCTGTAGGTTCTGCTGCCTGCTTTGTGGAAGTTAAAAGATATTCCAAATTCGCGCCAAAACCGTGAAAACGCTGTGACACGAGGGCATGGAAGTTACCCGCTCCGGGTTATGGGACATAGTTCAAACACAAAAAATACTGGTTTTCAGGGCAGCACCTAAGAGCGTTTCCTTAACCTAGACTCGGAACTCGATGTTCAAGAATAAAAATATAAGTAAATAAATGTTTCTATTTCACACAACGAAGTCTAGAAAGTCTTAATCTGTTGCTACGAATCAAGGCGGGTTTGTGGTCTCACGAGTCTGCCTGAGCGTGTCCTCACTTCCTTTGGTGGTGCTGGAGTGCGCTGTGCATCATAACTATTGATCGACCTCTCTGTGGACTCATGATTCCTGCACTCTTGAAGATCTTCGTTGCGTCTGATTTGGCTCGCTGACCGCTGAATCTGAACTTTGGTGTTGGAGTCGGTGTTGGACTTGTGGACTTGCGATAGCTGGACTTTGGCTCTTTGCTGGCATGGGGGACGCTGGTTATCAGGGTTAGGGGGCCCCTTGTGCTGACGTCAGTCCTTCATTAAGAGGAGGTTTCGGACCATTTGTCAAACGTAACGTCTGAGTTGCTGATGCAATGTCGTCACTAGGTCTGAATGTTCTGTTTGGCTACCTGTATACTTGGACATATAGGTCTTCGCATCAGCGGGCGGAGCAGAAGCCAATCGGATCTCTAATCGAGTACTGTGTGTCTTTCCATGAGGGGTAACCACAGTGTATGACCTTAGCGAGGACACTTTCTCGACAGTGCCATGGGGCCAGGCTAAATGCTTGTGCTGAGGATTGGGTTTTGTATGTACCCATGGTCCTGGCTGAATTGCATCATGTGGCGCTTCTCCCAAATTTCTATCGTAGTAATGTTTCGCTCTAGTACGGTGCCCCTCAATCTCAGTTTTGTCGGTTCTAGAATCATCAGGCTACAGGAGCGAAGGCATCATAGGAAGGATACCTCCTGTGCGGCGGGAGAGTAGCCTTTGAGCAGGAGAGTGTTCTTGTCCTTGTTGGGTAGGGAGTATTCCTGCAGTCCAGTAGAGCCAGATGAATGTCCTTATTCGTTTAATATATCCTCTTCACTGTTTTTACTGCGGCTTCTGCCTTGCCATTTCCTTGTGGCCAATATAGTCAGGTCTCTTTAGGTCAGGATCATTACAGAGTTGACAAAAGCACCAAACTTTGCACAGCTATAGCTTATTGCTGTACTACGAATATTAGAAGGGGTGCCCAATGCAAATATGCCACTGAAGCGTGCTATAAACCAGGATTTAATTTTTGTAAATTTGACCGGGCGGGGTCCCTCTGGTGCCTCGTTTGAAAATTGCTATTTAATACCTTAAACCAATACCAATACCCTTCTCGTGTTGTAAATAACAATTTCACTCGAACATCTAGCATTCTCATATATTATAACCTTATTG